AGACTTGCTTTGCCACCACAGTTGGATAGGGTCCACAATGTTTTCTATGTATCGATGTTACGGAAGTACGAGCCAGATCTATGTCATATTTTGAGTTGGGTTGATGTAGACATTGATGAGGATGTTTCCTACGAGGAAGGACCAATTCATATCCTTGACACACAACAGAAGGTGTTGAGGAACAAGACGATACCCATGGTGAAAATCCTTTGGAGACACTACGGAGTCGAGGAGGCTACTTGGGAGCTCGAACAGGAGGTTCGCTCCAAGTATCCAGAGTTGTTTTCTTCTCCAGGTATGTCTTGATTTCGGGGACGAAATCTTTTTTAAAGTTGGGGAGAATGTAAAGTTTTTGACTTTTCAACTGTGGGGCCCACTTGAGTTATTAGGGTCATTACAGACCCATTTAATCCTAAATTGCTTTCTCTCTCGGGCAGCTAAATCTCTCTCTCGCTGCTTCTGTTTTTTTTTCTTTTCTTTTTCTTTTTCAACTTCAATCCTTGATTTCTCTCTCAATTCTTGGCGGATTTAGGTGCCGTTTGAGGCAAAACGACGAGCACGATGAGCTCTACGTGCTAGTACCAGAAATTCCATCTTTTGGTCCTCTTTGGGAGCTCGAATTTAAGGACCCAATTTCAAAGGTTTGGTTCAATTTAGAGGTAGGGGCTCTTAATCCATGTTTTCTTGCTCCATTGTGAATTATATCTCTCTTGTTGTGACAAGCATGTTAAATTTGGAAGTTAATTGTTTCAATGATTATATAAATGATGTTTAGGAAAATTCATGATTATGAATATGAGTAGAAAAGCATGCTTAGAGGTTGTCTTGTTGTGTTTAATGTTTTGATAATTCATTTGGAGATGTTGAACATGATGTATGCTTAATTTTGTGGTGTAAAATTTTGTGTTGTCTTGTCGTGTTTAATGTGTTGATAATTCATTTAGAGATGTTAAATATGATGTATGCTTAATTATGTGGTATAAAATTCTAAATGCCATAGTATTGAAAGCATGGGATATATATACATGTACATACCATTGGGTTTTCATGAAATGGGAGAAATTGTTCTTGAAATAAATATGGGGAATTTCAGGGAAGTGTTTTTGATGAAATGGTTTTATGCAAAACCTGGTCGCTGCGGGGTTACCAACGGGCCGGAGGTTAATATAGCCTAGAGGGGACTAGGGAGTCGCCCTATGACACCCCCACATTTTCCACGCATAAGTTGATCAGGCTTATACACGAAAAACGAGGGATATCAAAAACAATTGGCAACATACAAGCATGGAATACAAAATGATAATAATAAAAGAATTTAGACATGAAAGGAACACTAAATAATACAACATCCATCCATCCTTTACTTAATACAGTACTCCATTACAACTTGGAAATCCTATGTCAAGGATCCCTAAATATAAACTTGAGAGTTCAACGTCAAAAGTAAATAAAAATTGAAACTGAAGTAATACATAAAACTTCTACCCTGAACTGGATCGTAAGAGTAGATGAGTTCGGATGGTGGTCCCACACTGCTAACCTCAACCTTGGAACGGGTACTGACCGTATCCTGAAATAACAACAATGGTGGGTCAACCCCACGAGCAAGTCCTCTCTACTGTGACCCAAATCAGAGAATCAAATAAATTAATCATTATGAATTGGATGAGTACTATATCTGTATACATCCTAAGGGAACTACCCAATGTATAATATGACCTCAACCAGAATAGACGGTGATCACTTAGACTCACACTAGGTGGTTAAGTGTCTCCTTTCCCTACCCGGGAAATCAGCTATTATACATGGTGCACGGTACTGACAACACAGACTATAACGAACTACACAGTGATAACACCTCTCAAAGTACTGATGAATATACTGAGCATATAAATTAGGCAACACATGCCAATAATATTACTAAATATACTGAGTACGTCAATTAGGCAACACATGCCAATAATATTAAACCACATACCCCGACAGCCACACATCTGTCTATCGCAATGAATGCATAAGGTATAAATGAGTCTAAACTTATTAGCCAGCTCACATGGTTCTATATGGCAACACATCCATATAATATAAATGCGACATAATTAAACAGTCTATTTATTTCCTGAAATGCACACAGCATAATAATCATGGTTTATATATCATTTAACAGTATAAACATCCCATAAGATATCATGGATAATTTATATGACTAAAACCATGGCATTATTTAATTTAACAGTAATGTTTGATACCATTTAATAAGATAATAACACTATTTATATTTAACAATGTCGTTAAATAAATCACATTCATATCCGTACTGTAAACGAGCCAATAAATGCTTAGAAAAGATTAATCGGCCATAAGAATAATTAACGGGTAATAAAATAATAATTTCGTGGCCCGCAAACCCGTAAATACCAACACAGGCCCTAAAAATCAAAGTTTAAGGTTCTGAAATTCACAAAAATGGCCCTAGGGGTAGTCTGGTAATTTTTAGCAGCTGAAAGGGCCCTTCACGCGCCCCCATGCGCTGCCCTAAGCTTCCCCACGCGTAGCCCAACCTTCCCCACTCTCCCACGCGCTTGCATGCGCTCCTACGCGCGTCTGGAGAGTTCCACGCGCATGCACGCGCTCCCACGCGCGCGTTGATGGCTTCTTGTTGACGCGGCGTCCTCAGGTTGGTTGGCTGCATCATCTTTCCTACATGAGCGCCACACCGGATCAATCCACCTATGTTCCTTTCATCCTGCGGCTGATGATTAGCGCGCACCATCATATAGTGGCCCGCGCTACACCGAATCCCTCTTTTAATCAATTTTCCATCAACCGGTCATGGATCCATGCGCACACGGGTTACCTTGCGCCGCAACACACCGGATTGCTCTGGTCTTCTTCCGCGCTGCCGGCGACCGGAAATCTCGCCGGAGCCTCGCCGGAAAATGCATAAAATTACCGAAAAATTCTAGAAAATTCTAGAAAAATCCCTGAAGCCTTAAATAATTATTTTTAGCTAGATTTAATTGTATAGGATAATAATTAAATATCTACCATCCTAAATAATTAAAATTTTATTAATTAAATAAACTAAAAATAATAATTTATTAACTCCTAACATGCTCTCAAGGCTCCATAATAATTTAAATAATTTAAACAATTAATTTATGGATTCAAAGGGGAAAAATAGATAATAACTTGCCTTTTAGATTTAAAATAAATCCGCCGGTTGCGCGTAGTCGGGTAAATTCCTCCTACACCGGTCCAAGCTCCTTTCTTTCTCTCTCTTCCTTTCCACACTTTTACAATGGCTCACTGAAAGCTATAACTTTTTCTAACTCCCGTTCATTCATTCTAAGGTAGGCTAAATAATTTATATACAATTTATATAATATAAATATTACAAATATCTAATTTTACATTTAACTAACCACATTCCCAACCATATGGCTTCAAGTCATGTAACCACATTTCTAACCATATGGCTTCAAGTCTACCCATAAACATTAATGAAATCCTATCCTAATCTCTAATTTCATCATGACATTATGATTTAATACTATTATTATTATTATAGCTATTATTATTATTATAACTATTATTATTATTATTATTATTTTTTTATTTTTTTATTTTACATAAGAATACATTACAATCATAATCATACTTTACCATATAAATATATTACTTTAAGTAACTAATACTGCTTAATACAAACCTTACCAATAAATAAAAATATAAAATATGAATACATGCACAATTAAATTAATTTAATTTAATACATTAACATACACAATAATAGATGAATAACTATCACATTAAATATACAGAAATAATTTAATTTAATTTAAATAAGCCCTTTTTAAACTACAGGGTATTACACGCCTTAGCGTGGTTGAGCCAGCTGGGCCCCATAATGACGCCGCGTGGTTACCAAGGGTCAGGGACACTAGCCAATCCTCCTCTCGTGTCGCGGCGGGGCTACCAAAGGGCAGGCTGTATTAACGGTTTGGAAATGATGTTTGGATTATGAAAATGAGGAGCGACATCGGCATGCATTTGCATTCCATGGCATTGCATTGTTTGCACTTGAGTTTGGTTGAAATGTTGTATTATCCCGACACTGTATGATCCCCATTTCTATTGATCTATTCTTTGTATGGATTCACAAGGACACAAGATGCGTGTCTTAAGTGTCACCTACTGAGCATATAGCTCACCCTGCATACTTATTATTTTTTTCAGGAAACGAGAAAGAAATGGCGGATGATTTTCCACCACAGGCCTAATCTGAACTAGAAGACTTCTTTTGCTATTTTTGTATTAAGTCCCATATTTTTGTAAAATCTTAGTTTGTTATATTTGGTATAGAGATTCGTGAACTCTTGTTATTGTAACTATATTTTGGGACTGTAATTATGATAATTTGGATTAAACGGTATGTAGATGTTCCACCATGAGATGAGCCACGTTGAGGTTTAATGAACGGATGGATGGGATGTTGAAATATATTAATTTTATTATGTGTTGGGACAGGTTGTTGAAGGCCCATTTTTAGGGGAGGTTATACAGAATTTTTTTTAAAATTTTGACATCAGCTAGGGTAATTACAATTCACCAATATTTGCACCAAAGAAAATTGAACCTTAAACTTGATGCAACAAGCTCATGTGCAATTATAATACTTGTTTGTCAACGAAGAATGTATTACCTGACCAAGGGTTAATGACTATTTTCTATTATTAGAAAAATAATAATAACAATAATAATTCCATTTGGAGTTCTACCTCCATTTAATATTTTTTACCCTTCTGGATGCTCCCAAGTTTTCAAGGAATTAATTTGTTTTTATTTAAAATTCCAGTACTAGCATACCACTTAACTCAAAAATTTACCATGTTAATTTAAAGTATACATTTATTTAGGGATAATTATATATATATATATATAAAATAAAAAAAAAATCACTCAGACTCTATACAAGTACTTTTCAAATTAAATTAAACGCTTATAATTTTACATTTTTAAGTGGATACTCCACCCTTATTTATTAGGCTTCACATTCACTGCCACTTACCTCTCCTGCTCTCTCATCTGTATTTTCCGTGTGTCTCAATATGCCAGAGAAACTTTTGACCGGCTCCGATGGTGTTGTCCCTGAGCCCCCTCCGCCATCGGAGTGGCGCCGAGCTCGATACCTTGAAGATGGCGACCAATTTTGGGACAAAGTCACCACTTTTCCCGAATCCTCTAACCCACCCACCAACACCAAACCCTTACTGTTGGAACCTGAAACAGAGGAAAGCCACACAGCTGATCATTTACCATCTTCTTCCATTCCGCGTCTTTTGATCGAACGCGGAGATTTCCCATACTCCATTGTCGAATACACAAGCACTACTCATACCAGTCCTCCAGGAGGACCCGATTGGGTACTTTGGTCACGGTATATACTTGACAATGAGCGTTATCGTGAAATTCTCATTAGGGCTAATATCTATCATTCGGTTCGCCTTTTTACAAATTTGACAGTTCAGCTTGATCAAACAAACCTAGATGTGCTCCTTTCAAGGTGGAGTTGCCACACTCACACCTTTGTGGCTTCTTGGGGTGAGTTCGCGCCTTCTTTGGAAGATGTCTGTGTATTATTCCATCTTCCAATCTTCGGCTCAGCTGATTCTGATCTTTCCGTTGTATCGGAAGAGGACCGGGAAATAGTTGATGCATTGCGTAGCTCGGCCACAGAGGCGGCAAAATGGGGCTCACGCTTTCAAGGCTCTGTTCTTCTCAATTCGCCTCCTCCATGTTCGACAAAATACCCGACTCATGCCCAGTGGTATAGATATTTTTTCCGAGATTATGATCAACATTCTCTTAGAAGCGTCAGAGGACCTGGGTATGGAAAACGTTATGAGCTAGCGGCCTACTTATCATACTGGTTAGACAGGTTTATTTTTGAAGGCAAACCCGAAGATGGCATTAACGAGAGAGTGTTCCCTTTGGCTGCGGTTCTCTCTCGTGGCCATGCATTGCCTCTTGCTCCCATGTTTCTTGGTACTTTATACTACAGGCTGAGTATGCTGAAGCAAGATTGGGTTCGGTCTCTCGGTCGGTATGAAGTGACTACTTATGTTTCATGCTCTTTCTTGACTTTGTTTTTGTTTGAGCGCTTCCCACATTATGCCCCTGGTCCCAGAACCTTATGTGAAAAAGCTGATGGCAAGCTTCAATGCTATAGTCATGCAATGAGATGGACCAACCTCACGACTCCTTGTAGATTGGGTGACTATATTGATGAATTTGAAAACTTCTGTGCCCGTCCATACGTTGTTAAGCACGACGGCATTTTTTATCCAACATTTTGTGGGGGTCCCGAGGACGCTGTGGTTGTGTTGAAGGATGACAACAATACCAACACTTTAATTTTCATTGCAGTTGTGTCCAAATGTGCCCTTCCCTACATAACTGAGACCGGAAAAGGGACAATCACATACAACCCTTGTAGGATTGCTCGCCAGTTTGGATATGACCAAGGTGTACCAAGGCCTACCAATTGTCCAGAATCATATACTTCCAGCTGCGCTAGATTTTGTAGTTTTCGCCAACGCGCCCTTTCTCAATATGCTGCTAGCTTCACTATGCCCTCACGTAAACGCCAAGGTAGGTGCACTCAACGCTTTCGCGAGTATTGGGCTAACATTTTAACGAAGTTCCTGGCCTTCCGATCGAGCTCTCCTCAGCCACTGGACCAAGTCCCTATATTCGAAGATGACATTTCCTTGAAAGCTCCCAAAAACCACCTAGATGTATCCCGTGAGGGCTTAAACCATTTTGCAGTAGCCACCGCCACCACTATTGCTGCATCAGCTCAAAAAACATTTCAGCCACGTAGGTCTGCGCGCCTTCAAAACAATACCACAAGTTGCGGCAAAAGGCAACCTCCATTGATCAACCTAAGGCCACCCATGTTGAAGCGCATGAAAATGGTATTAATCAAGTTTCCTTTCCACCATCTTTGTCTGCTAATCATCTGTGTTGGTTTTTATTTACTTTCTTTACTTCTTGCATATAGCTCTCCAATACCAATTCAGAGTTTGGCTCTTCGCTTGATCATGGTTCTGATGAAGCACCTGTTTCTCCTAGCTGTCTTGAAGTCGACGACACTGCTAATATCACTGAGAAGTCACCTTCAGAGAGCGAGCAACAGGGGAGGGCATCTGAATTGCAGCGCTTGGGGCTCCTTGATAAGATACCAAGAAATCAGCTTGTGGTATGCCATGAAAGCATACCTGTTGCTTGGCTCCTTTATCCATGTGGTTCTAGAGAATTACTCAAACTCTGTGCTGATGAAGAAAAGAGGGATCTATCTGCTGGCAAAGGTGGGTGTGCGGATGATGATGTTGTGGAGGAGGTTGCATCTCCTAACCCCATTGAGATCAGAGATAGTGTTGGTGATAGGCACTTAAACTCCGAGGAAATCCACTTGAACCTGCCGGAAGCTGAAAATGTAAATGTAGCCCCGGCTTCAGCTTCATCAGCAGGTGCTTCAGTACCCAACACAAGTCTTGCACAGCCCCTTCCTCCACCTCGAGAGGAGAACATTGGCCCTGATGAATTAGTGCAGTGGCACGGATATAAATGTAGCTTCCGAAGCATTCCATACCTTGATTGTATATTTCACAAACACCCCAAGACTTTCGATGCTTTTAGAGTGAAAAGTGGACAGTTTCAGGCGATGTTGTTGGATGCCCTCGCCGGTCTCATCAAATCTTTGGCAGGAAAAAGGATTAGCCAAATTACTACCGACGATATCAATGATGCTAGAGATCTAATGACGGACTGGAAATCCTTGGCGGGGTTGGATCTATCATGGCTCGAGCAGAGGTACACAGATGCTAATGCTAGACTTGCGGTCCGTGGACTTAACCAAGAAGCTGCACAGATGTTGTCAGACTTGCAAGAGACTGATAAGAATATTACGAATCTCCGTCGCGACCTGGCGGTAGAGGTGACAAAAGCTGCTTCTCTTAGAATCAGGTGCGAGGAGTTGGCCAAGAACATCTCTTCTGAGGAAGCTCTTTTTGACCATACTCTCAGTTATGAAGATGAAATTTTGAAGGACTTATTGACTGATCCTTCACACCCAACAACCTGACCAACAACCTCTGCAACTTTTGGCTCACTTGTGGCCTTTTCCCTAGACTTGCAGCCCTCTCTGTTTTTGATGAGCCTTTGAGATCTAAAAGGGCAATGAATGGTGACAGAATGAATGTGCTTCGACGGCATAGAAGTAGGTTAACTTATGGTGGAAATGGCTAGGAAACTTAGAAACAACGTAGCTAGCTCACTTAATGCTCTTTTGTAATGTGTTTTGTGTTTGTATAAACTACTTGTGACGTGTTGCATGAATCCAATGTCTCTATCCAACACCTGAGAACACCCCATGATAAATTTTTCCTCTTTCTATGATCTAGCTCAACAGGTTTAGGTTGAGTTTCCATCGACCAATCAGAAAACCATGTTGTTTGTTTCAGTGTTTCTTTTGAATACCTGCAAAGTGGGAAAATAGTTTGCAAATTCATAGCATTGTTTCGTTTGCACAGGAGAAAGCAGAAACAGAAATTTGAAAATTGCGTAAAACTTTCTGCTTCAAAGCGCGGCCACTGCCTGGCTTTTACAAGGACAAGGAAACTTCAATGAATCAGATAAAGAAGGTAGCTCTATCTATCTACCATGTGACCTCAAATTGTTGCTTATTCTGCTTAAGTTACACTGTTTCAACAAGTACAGTGTCTTGAACAACAATGGAGGTCCTGATATAATTTGCAATTAAGGTCTTACACAAGATTTTCTTATCCATTTGGACTTGCTACACAGATATCAGCACCAAGCCTTTTTGGCTTCATACAAAATTGCTCTCTTTAATTCCCCACTTCCACCAAGGCACCCTAGTTGCTAATGCTGTTCTGAGTCGATTACTCCCCTGTATAAAGCCAACAAATCCGTTTATATACCCTCACATTTCGGGCACTGATAATTGATATCTGAAGCTTAATATATTTAAAATATTAAATTAGTATAAAATTTAAATATAAAATATGTATAAAAATAATATTAGAATTTGGGTGGATTAAGATAAATCCTAATTAAATTCGAAACCCAATTCTAATTATAAAAATACTTGTCCAAACCGATGAAAAATTGGGTTATGTTCAGTTCATCCACTCAAATTGCACCGATCCCAACAATAAATATTTGTTGTCCACCTTCTCTCATTTGATCACCAATGAAAACCACCACTTTGCCCAATAACTTGAATTTGAAGAGTAATGTTACAAAAATAGAGTGTCTCTCATCTTAGAAAGTTAAACTCAATAATTGTGACACCAGTTGATCCAAAAATTTATTTATTTTTTCAAAAATAAAACAATATACTAGAAAAGGTAAAATATACAATAAAATATACTCCATATATATATATATATATTCAGGAAAAAATTCAATTTAATTTAATTTAATTTATTTTTATCGATGATGGTGTCAAGGCTCTTAAAACATTCTACTATTCATCATTGGATCCATTGATTTATAGTATAGGTGCATTTTGAGTCAAATTAGAAAGAATATTTGAATCCATTGATTTATAGTTGTGTTATCGGTAGAAGAAAAAACTGTTGTACCATGGGAGACAAGTGCCTAGATTATTTAGCACCAAACAGGTATAAACATAGTATTACACTCCATTCAGGTTCTTTATATTTTTATTTATTACTTTACTGTAAATATTAATTAAATATTTAGAGTAGAGTATTTAATTAATTATGTAAGCATATTCATGATTTTATTCCTTATCTCATAAGCGTGTTAGTATAATACATGATTAATCTTAAATAATATATGAAGCATATATTTTTCAACACTTATATAATTTACCAACATGATCACGAGTATTAGGGTTCTTGCCCTAAATGGTCACACCGGAACGTGATCGCTTCAAGCGTTATGTTTTGCCCTCAGACAAGAATAGTCTAGTTCACCTGTATTAAATTAGAAATGTCTTCATCTTTTGGGTTAGGCCCTGTGTATACTCATTTGTTTTTTGTGATTTGGCAAGCCCATCATTCGTGGACTTGGCCCAAAGTGGAGGCTTGCCTCCGTTTGTATTACCTCTTTTAATATATAAAATCACCCTCATCTTTCGAAGAAAAAAAAAAAAAAAACATTTAAATTAGTATTTATATATATATATATATAAACAACTAATATAATTTACAAACATGCTCACAATATGATAACAATTAACAAGACATTAAGCTAGTATTTATATATTAAAAAAAAAAAACAAAAAGAATCAGGAAAAACATAACATTACATAATTAAACATACTCACATTCACAATATTGTTTTTACCAAACACGGGAAGAGAATAGGTCATATAATTTCCATTCATAAAATAAAATGTTATATTAAAAAAAGGTAAAATAACAAAATAGTATATTTTAAATGTTCAATTTGATTAAATTAAACAAAATAATTATAAATGTATTAAAAATTATTTTTAAGGTCCAAAATACCCTTTAAGCTTTTATTCCAAAATATCAAAATATTCTTCTTAAAATTATTTAAAATTATATAGGTACAAAATATCACATGCCTCTTTAGTTGTCTGTTTGTTTTCTTCTATAATAAATTAAATTGCTTAACTATCAAAAAATAATAATAAAGAATATCAAAGAAATTTGTCCCAAATTATCTGTTCAAAGCAATTGTATGTATAATATGGACGAGACCAAATTCACAAAATTATAGAATAAAATAAAAAAGCGTATAAACCACCAATTTCAGCATATTTGATAGTTTTGCTAATTTTTTTGGCATTTTGGAATTATGTGATTTAAAAAAATATATTTTGATATTTTGAAATAAAAGTTTAGAGGGTATTTTAAATATTAATAATAATTTTTAATAAATTTGTAATTATTTTATTTAATTTAATCAAATAAAAAATGAATAGATAATTTTATTAATTAGTGTATGATTGCTTTAATTTCTTTTGAAAAAAGAATCTCAAGGAATGACAAGGCATAGATACCAAGAGATTGATTGGCAGACGCTTCCCCGGTATAGTATTTGAAAAGACGCGCACAGTAAACCCCCACCTTCCTCTCCTGCTTTCCTTCTCTCTTCTCTGTATTTTTCTTTTTCCTTTCTACACTCTGTCTATCTATGCCGGAGAAACTCTTGACCGCCTCCGATGGTCTGGTTCCTGAGCCCCCTCCGCCATCCGAGTGGCGCCGAGCTCCATACCTTCATAATGGTGACCAATTTTGGGACAAAGTCACCACTTATCCCGACTCCTATAACTCTAACCAACCTATCAACACCAACACCAAACCCTTACTGTTGGAATCTGAAATAGAGGCGAGCGAGACCACAGCTGATGATTTGCCAGCTTCTTCCATTCGCCGTCTTTTGATTGAACGAGGAGATTTTCCATACTCCTTTGTCCAATACACAAGCACCACTCATACCAGTGCTCCAGGAGGATCTGATTGGGGATGCTGGTCACAATATATTCGCGGCAATGAGCATTATCGTGACATTCTCACCAGGGCTAATATCCTTCAATCGGTTCGCCTCTGTTCATTTTTGACGGTTAAGTTCGATCAAGCGAGCCTAGCTGTGCTCCTTTCGAGGTGGAGTTGCCAGACTCACACCTTTGTGGCTTCTTGGGGTGAGTTCGCGCCTTCTTTGGAAGATGTCTGTGAATTATTCTATCTTCCGATGTTCGGTTCAGCTGATTCTGATCTTTCCGTGGTATCGGAAGAGGACCGGGAAATAGTTGATGCCCTGCGTAGCGCCGCCACAGAGGCGGCACAATGGGGCTCATGGTTTCAAGGCTCTGTTCTTCTCGATTCGCCTACTCGGTGTTCGTCAAAAAACCCAACTTATGCCCAGTGGTATAGACACTTTTTCCGAGATTATGAGATTAGTTCTGCTCAACATCACCGTAGAAGTGTCACAGGGCCTGAGTATGGAAAACGTTATGAGCTAGCAGGCTTCTTATGTTACTGGTTAGACAGGTTTATTTTTGAAGGCAAACCTGAAGTTGGCATTAACCAGAGAGTGTACCCTTTGGCCGTGGCTCTCTCTCGTGGCCATGCATTGCCTCTTGCCCCCATGTTTTTGGGTACTTTATACTACAGGCTGGATATGATCAAGGAAGATTGGGCTCGATCTCTCGGTCGGTATGAAGTGACTACTTATGTTTCATGCTCATTCTTGACTCTGTTTTTGTACGAGCGCTTCCCACACTACGCCCCTCCTCCCATAAAGGACAAGCTTCAATGCTTTGGTCGTGCAATGAGGCGGACCTACTTCACCACTCGCCATAAATTGGGTCACTATATTGATGGATTTGAAAACTTCTGTGCCCGTCCATATGCTGTTAAGCTCAACGGCGTTATTCTTCCAAGGATTTGTGTGATTCCTGAAGATGATGTGGCAGTGTTGAAGGATGACTTCAACATCAACACTTCAATGTTCATTGCAATTGTGTCCAAATGTTCTCTTCCCTATATAACTGAGACTGGAGAGGGAGCAATCGCGTACAACCCTTGTAGGATTGCTCGCCAATTTGGATATGACCAAGGTATACCAGGGTCTACCAATTGCTCGGGATCATATACTTCTAGCTGTGCTAGATTTAGCAGTTGTCGCGAACTCGCCTTTCGTCAATATCCTCCTAGCTTCACTATTCCCTCAGACAAACGCGAAGGTAGGTACACTCGATGCTTTCGAAAGTATTGGGCTAACATTTTGAAGCTGTTCTTTGCCTTCCCTTCCGGCTCTCCTCAACCATTAGAACAAGTCCCTATATTCGAAGATGATATTTCCTTGAAAGCTCCCCAAAGGCGCCCAAATGTAACTAGTGGTAGCTTAAGCCGTTTTGCAGTAGCCACGACCACCATCGCTGCTGTAGCAGCGCATAAAACATTCCTTCCACGTAGGGCGGCACACAAAGCCGCACCTTCAAAGCCTCAGAAGCGTGGCAAAAGTCACTATAAAAGGCAGCCTCCATGGATCAACCCAAGGCCACCCAAGTGGAAGCGCATGAGAATGGTATTATTAGTTCATTTTCCCTTTTCACCATCTTTGTCGGCTTATCGTTTGGGTTTGTTTTTAGCTACTTACTCTAGTTCCTGCTTATAGCTTTCCAAAACCTATTCGGACTTTGGCTCTAAAGTTGATTTCCGTGTGGATGGTGAACAGAGAGATCTATCTGCTGCCAAAGGTGGGTGTGCTGCTGATGTTGTTGAGGAGGAGGTTGCATCTCCTAAGTCCATCGAGATCCAAGCTAGTGCTGGTGATAAGCACTTAAACTCGGAGGACATCAACTCTAACTTGCCGGAAGCTAAAAATGTAAATGTCGCCCCTGCTTCAGCTTCATCAGCAGGTGCTTCACTGCCAAAGACCAGTCTCGTGCCACCCCTTCCTCCACCTCGAGAGGAGAAAATTGGCCACAACGAATTAGGGCAGTGGCATGGTTATAAATGTAAATTCGGTAGCATTCCATACCTTGATTGCATATTTCACAGACACCCGGAGACTTTTGAAAGTTTTAGAGTGAAAAGTGCATATTTTCAGAGGCTGTACTTGGATGCCCTTGCAAATCTCATCAAATCCGTGGAAGAAAAAAGAATTAGCCAAATTACTATGTGTAATATCAATCTAGCTAGAGATCTAATGACCGATTGCAAATTGGTGGGGTTGGATCTATCGTGGCTGGAGCCGAGGTTCTCTGATGCTACAGCTAGACTAACCGTCCGCGGTCTTAACCAAGAAGCTGCACGGATTTCGGAGGAATTGCAACAGAACAATATGTATGCTACGCAACTCCGTCCCTATTTGGCAGCAAAGGAAGCAAAAACTGCTTGTCTTTCAGCCAGGTGCGAGGAATTGGCTGAGAACATCTCTTTTCAGAAAACTCTTATTGATTCTAATCTTAGCTCTGAAGATAAAGTTTTGAAAGACTTGTTGGATCATTCACACCCAGAAAACTTAAACTCGGGGGGTTTAGCATCAGCCACCTGCCAAGTGCAACTGATCAACCCATAATTTGATACCACATTGCACCTCTGCAGCTTTTGGGACACTCTTGGCCTTTCCCTTGACTTGCAGCCCCTCTTTTTTGATGAGCCGTTGAGAGCTAAATGGGCAATGAATGCTGGCAGAATGAATATGTGTTTCGACGGCATGTAAGTATGTTAACTTATATAGAAATGGCTAGAATACTTAAAAGCATTCTAGCTATGTCACTTACTACTCTTTTGTAATGTGTTTTGTATGTGTAACTGTGTATAAACAACTTGTGATGTAACTTTTGATGGAAATGGCTAGGAGACTTAGCAGCAGTGTAGCCCACTTGCTGCTCTTTTGTAATGTGTTTTCTGTGTGTAACTGTGTATAAACAACTTGTGATGCGGTCCATGAATCCATTGTCTCTATCCAACAGCTGAAAACACCCCATGATAACTTTTTTCTTTCTATGATTTAGTTAATTAGTTTAGGTTGAGTTTGCATCAACTTAAGCAGACAACCATGTTGTTTGGTTGAGTGTTCTTTTTTCATTTTCTTTTTCGCATGCCTGCAATGTATATTAGAGTAATATGGGGAAATAGTTTGCAAATTCCATATAACACAAATAGGATGAAAGGAAATAATCCATTAGTTATTATACGAAATTATAGTGGAATGCCCAGCACCAATGTGACACTAATACCCGAGAACTGAAAGAGTTTTTTTGTATACTTGCTTCATGTCAGAATCTCAAACCACTTCTGCATCTCTCAATCTATTATTGAGCCTCTCACTAAAATAGAATTTAATCACAAGAAAAATATGGCACATAATTTGAAAATATAGGTTTACTATGAAAGAAGTATAACACAGGCATTTTATAACTATCCTAAAGGATTATCGTTCTGAGCAAAATGATTGCATCTTTAGAGAATGATCTCAATCAAACAGCTCCATGCTAACTGGGGCAGCTCGGAAATGGTAACTGCTGATCTGCCTGTGCCGTTTGCAAGTTGAAAGGGTCCCCTCTTTCAATCGATAATAGGTACTACTGTCAACACTTCAAGTATTTGATAAATTTGACTCCTGTCAGAGAATCTGATAAATTTAGTACCCGACTATACGGAAGATTGGAAGTTCAAGAGGTGCTCCCAGTTGTTCAAAGGCACCTAAAGATTGTGTGAATCCTCAACTCCAACTGCGGTGTCTCTTTTTCCTCTGCCCTGCTTTCTGTTCCTCAAATGAGGATTCTTTTTCATGAATGCTAATATTAGTTTCTTTTCTCACCTGCAGGAATATGTGAATGGGGTAACAAAGCACAATCCTTTAGCAACACCTAGTTCAGAAAATATGAGGTAACTGGTTTAAAATATTCATCCAAGAATCTATAGAAAAGAAGTCTCAGGTTTCCAACTAATGGTACTTGTGTTTAGAATTTTCTCTCGCTGACATGAACATATTTTGTCACATCTACACTTGCAGGGCTAGAACACCACTTGATCCCTCATTCTCACAAAGTAAAACAACTGGACCAAAATGGTACATCCTATCTGCAGTGTAAGTGGCTTTGTAACTTTCTAATATTGCAAATTGTGCAGAGCATTCAATTGGTAGAGCACTAGAGAAACTATGATGTAGGATGATCCAGTGAACTTAAGGGAACTACTTTGAAAATATATACCAATGTGTTGGTTCAGCACACCGCGCAATTGGTAAGAAATCAGAATCCAGCATATTTTTAAGGATCTGCCTAGGAGGCCTATTAAGCTCCAGAAATCAAATAAATTATTATTAACATTTTCCTGAACTTTTCTTGTATCATTTGTGGATAACTATGAGAACATAACTGGTTTGTTTGAAGGATTTCTATGCACAAATTTATTGAAGTATTTCCTCCTGAAAGCAAGAGATGAAACATTGTCAAGTCTATTGTAGCAGCCATATGAGTCACTTGCTAAGAAAGAGCTGCTATATGATTTGTTGCTATTGTATGCCAGTAGTTCCAAGTCCATTAGTGCCTGCTGAAACAAATTACAGTTGCCAACATTATCCACTCCTTTAAAGTTGAGGACAGAGGAAGGAGCTGCAAGAAGGAAGCAGGCAATTCTTGCCTTGTTTATTCCTCTTTTTCTCTGTCCGTTACTCCAATATATATCTACTAGGCTGTGGTATCACATGGTTTATCCCTCAATACTTTCAGAAGCTTGAAGAGAAATTCAATGCGAAGGAGGCAAAAAAAGTGCAGAAGCAAACAAAATTCAAGGTTATAGTTCAATTGCCAATCCAGAGCATTATTCTCTCCCTTTATAATGTACAAAACTAAGCCGGAGAATAACTAGGCTCCACCTATAACACAACATTTTATCGTTTGCGCAGGACAAAGCGGAAACAGAAATTAGAAAATTGTGTCAAACTTTCTGCTACAAAGCGTGGCCACCGGACATTTACAAGGACAAGGAAACGCCTAAGAATCAGGTAAAGAAGGTAGCTCTATCTATCATGTAATCTCAAATTCTTGTCTGCTCTGCTTAAATTACACTGCCTTGACAAGTATAGTGTCTTCAACAATTATGGAGATCCAGAGAATATTTGCAATATAGTCTCACATCAGATTTTCTTATCTATTTGACCTGCTACACAAAATATCAGCAGTAAGCCTTTTTTGTTTTTTCCAAGTAAACTTTCATTAACCAAAGAAACTGAACTACAAGGCCAAGAGAGAGGGCATACCCTCACTTAACAAAATGAGTGGAATGGCTGCATTGAACACCATGTTGCATGAAAACATTATTTTACTTTAGATAAAAAATAAAAATATTAAATAACATGAATATTTAGCAGTGTCCATGTGTTCATCTGGTTGGAGATTTGACACGTCTGATGCATGAATACATATCTGTGCTTAACACACGCGCCAAGTCCATGTAACATAGCCTATAACAGTATGACAAATAGAAGAGAGACAAATACCCTCAATTGCAGATTCAAAGGGAGGGAATTTTGTTCTGAAGGACATGGCGAGTTGTGAAGCATGCTGCAGGTCTACTTTGATGCCAACAAACTTTATACCACTGCCTTTTAGGTTGATGACCTCTCAAATTCTTCCAAGCTGATATGAATGAAAAGGAACCATGTTTCCATAGAACTCTATGTGTTCCTCGATGGATCTTAATGGTTAAAACCAGATTCCAAATGAATTTAGCCTCACTAGATAAGAATCGAGGTTTCAACCATTTGTTTCCTTGCATAATGTCATTAACACTTGAAATCTATGAAAAATCAAACCGTGTCACCACCCTATGCCCAAAAGCTTGAATGAAAGTTGACCTTCCACCAAGGATCCAATAACTACTTAACTAATTGACCATCCTCTATTTTTAAAAAGATATTGGGTATCCAATGTTCTCTAGTATCTAGTTGATTCTTTGAGAACGTAGAGAATTTACTGCTATATATACAGCTCCATATTGATTGAACAACACCCCTCAAAGATTGGAACCAAGCAATCCACAACCTGTCTTTACCATGAATGAAGTGCCACAGTAGGGAAGTTTTAGCAACTCTATCAATCTCACTTAACTTCCTGATGTGAAAACCACCTTCTGATCTAGGTTTGGTAACCTGACTCCACTTCATTAGATGTATTTTCTTTGCATTTTCTCTGCTCCCACAGATAGAGGACTTCTTCATGTTATCAATCATAGCAGAAGTGTAAGCATTACTCCTGAAAGCGTAGCACCAATAATAGAAAAATGAGGATATAACTGTCTTAACCAATTCCACCCTTCCTGCACGAGACAAGTTAGAAGAGTTTCAGCTGCTAAACTTAGCTGTAATTTTATCCATAAGCTCAGAGCAGTGAGTGTTTTAATCTTCTGTCCACCGTGGGCAACCCCAAGTATTTCATAGGAAGCTCACCCACCTTCATCTTCAAAATATTCTTCAGCTTTCTTGGTCTCTTGACAGAAAACTTGTCTTTTCTCAAAACTACAGCCAAACCAAAAATTGTGTGAAAGTCCTGCAGCACTTAGTTTATGCATTTAGCTGTACTAATGTCAGCCTTTTTGACTAATATAAGATCATCTGCAAAGAAACAGTGAGAGAACTGCAAACCACTCTTCTGAATTACCTTGCACAATTGAAATTTCCCATCGTCAACCATTTTCTGCAATTGACTGGAGAAGAATTCAGTTGCCAATGTAAACAACAAAGGGGAGAGAGGACATCCCGGTCTCAATCCTTTTTTAGGCTGAAAGAAACATACAGGAGACCCATTCACTATTATATAGAACCAGGGTGAACCAAGACATTCCGTATCCCAGCCAATCCATTTCCTTCCGAAACCAAAAGTTTGAAGAAGAGAGAACATGGAAGGCCATGACACAAAGTCATGGGCCTTTTCAAGTCAATCTTGATGGCCATTGTTGGTTTTAATTTTGAAGACTTGAACCCCCTAACTAGTTCATGGATCATGATAACATTATCCTACAACTTCCTCCCCTTAATGAAAGCATTTTGCTCCTTTCCCGCAACATTCCCCTGAACAGCACCATTTCTTAAGGCCATGAACAGCACCAAGCCTTTAGTTTCATACAATTTTATTTTATTTTTAAATTTTAATTCCCCACTTCTACGAAGGCTCTCTAGTGCTAACAAGAAGATTAAGTTATTAGAGGGGGTGTAACTTAAACCCTTTTCTAACATCTAAACCATATGGGTGCAGGAATAAACTTTTTAATTGACATGGTTAACGATTGGAATAACAAATTCCAATCAACATGTTTGACATTATCTAGGAGGTAGATTTGAAGGCTGGATGTTTGACAGTCTAGGAGGGAGTAGTTTATCCCATCCAGTTGGTTCACGAGGATGTCGTGCATAGACTGAACGTTGAATGTTAGGTTTCTCTATATTTTTAATATAGAGATTAGAACTAGAAGCTTGAATAGTGGTAACTGTACGTTCCTCTATTCGAACTTTCTTTTCTGTGTCGATACCTTCGAATAGCCAATTTCTTGGTATTTTGAGGTCTGTCCATTTCAATAATTTTGGTTCAATTATTGAATCGAAGGGTCGAGGTTCAAAAAGAGTGACCAGTTTGGGGTCAATCGGAAGAGTAGAAGTTTCAGGTTCTTTGGTCAGTTCGTAGAGAACTTTCCATTGAATTCCTAAACTTGGAGAGTTACGATCCATTTGAAGATTTAAAAGTTTGATTTTGACTTTTAAAACTTTTTCAATGTTTGGATCATCGATGGAAACAAAATAATTTGGCGTTAGTTTAAACCAAATAACATTGTTAACCAGATTTGATTGAACACCGCCGATTAAGGCGTCAACCGGGTTATAGAGTCGGTTATCCATAACAAGAACAAGAATGGGTTGATTAGTTCCTTTTCTGAACAAAGAAGTGATCTTGATTTGGACCATTCCTATATGAATATATCTAGCATGAGGAAATTGATTTTTTCATCTAGCAACTTTTTCTTTGCTAAAGATGTTGAAATCAGGCATACCATTGGAAGATGTGTAATCAATCGAGGTATTTCTGCTGAATTGTTCAAAAATCTTTTTTGAAAAGATTTGTGACAACTTAGAAGTCTTGCATAGATCTTCCTTCTTCAGCTTTTGGAATTTAGCGAACTGAATGAGCTGTTCGTTCGTAAACTGTACTTTTTCTCCAATAACATTGCTGAGTTTAATGTTAGAGGATTCTTCAGGATGAGAAGTAAAATTTATCATATAAACTTCCTCATCACTATCGTCGGATTTTGATTCACTAGATATTTTGTAGAGAATATTTGTAATGTTTCCAATTTTCGCCATTTTCTATTTTCTGGAATTTTTCGATTTTGCGAGGGTATTTTCGTCTTTTCTCGTTTTACGTGCTTGACACTGTGAGGTGTGCCGGGTGTGTCCTAGAGTTGGTTGGGACATTCCATTGAGTTCAGGACTCATGGAAATGCATCGGTTGCCATTTCGGCATTTCTCTGTTTTTTGAGCCGGACGGTCCTGAGTGGGGCCCGCTACCGGAATTGTTGCGTATGGGAGTTTTGGTTGGGTCCATTTGCATCACATCTATTTTTTATTTATTGTGTTTTACGTGGATGTGATTTAGTGTGTGTGTGCATATATGTGTGGTGGTAAATGAAAAAAAAAAAAAAAAAGTTAAAAAGATTTTTGGTGGGACCCACCACTAATTCCATTAAGTGGTCAAGAAACCACATTTGGTCTCCATTTCTTTTCTCTCCCGTAAGCTCTCGCTTTCCCTTCTCTTTTTTTTTTTTTTTTTTTTCTTTTCTTCTCAATTTTCAAACTTCAATTACTCTGCAGCCATTTGGAATTTTTAAGTGCCGTTTGCGGCAAAACGTAGAGCTCGGCGAGATCTATGCATTGATAGAAGCAATTGCTTGTTTGGTCACCCATAGGATTTTCGAATTCTAAGGTTTTGGGCTTGGAAATTGGGGATTTTTCATTACTTTGAGGTAGGGGTGTTTAATTCACAACTTCTTAGATTTTTGTGAGTTATCTTGTGTAAATTGTTGCCTAGTATGCTTTAATTGTGTTGATTCCTTTAAAGTGACTAAATTGTTGTATGTGGAAATATGATTATGTGTATTAGTTCGTATTGTGTGAGAAAGCATGCTAAAATGTTTATATTTCATGTCAATTATGTTACATGAGTTGAATTTTGTTATTTAGAAGCATGATATAAAATGTTGATGATTTTCTATAAAGCATGTATATTGTGAATATATTTGATTTGCATAGAATGATATTTCTTGTTGGCATGTCATTTAAATGTATAAAATATTCATGCACTCATTGGGAAGGAAAGAAAAAATTGGCTTTGAAAGAAATAAAAAAGGGAAATTAGCCTTCGAAAGAAAAAAATAATAATAATAAATAAATAAATAAATAAATTTGGGAAATGGTTGTGGAAATGAGGAATGACATTGCATCCCATTTCACGGCATGTTCATTCTTGACTTGGGTTGTAGATATTGATATTGTGGTTATTTTCTCCCCGGCATGGTATGATCCTAATTCCTGTATTTCTATTCGTTATGTGAATTCACGGGGTTTCAAGAGGTGTGCCTTAGGCACCTCCTACTGAGCTTTTAGCTCACTCCATTATTTAACATTTTTTTCAGGTTTGGAAAAAGAAGGGGCGAGCGACAACGCATTGCAAATTAAGACTAGACTAGAATTCTTATTTTGTTGTCTTTTGTATAGAAACATGATTATGTACCTTTTATAAATAAAAAAAAATTAGGTGTAACTTGTATAGTGTTGTAATGGTAGAATTTGTGTAAATAAATATATTTCATGGACCGTAACTTAATTTAATTAAAGTGATTCCTTGTTTGGAGGAGATGGAGGAACGGGACATTTGTATGAATGTGTTGATTTTGGGGATATTGTATATTATTGCATTGTGCGTTGGGACAAGATAGATTAGTTTTAAGGCCAAATGAGGCCATTGCATTTTATATATATTTCAGCAGGTCGTAGTAACACAAAGATCTTTTGTTTTGATCCTTTTAATCATCTTTGATGTTCCTTTACCTTTTTTTGGGCAATTAGGAGCGATGTGGCCTTCTTCGTCGCAGATGTAGCATTTGCATCCTTTCTTTTTTGCAAGCGCTTTCGCTTTGGACTTTGAAGTATTACGTTTGATATACTTCTTTTGCTGAACAGGCTTCTTTCCTTTCTTCCATTTGAATCTTTTCTAGCTAAAAGATCGTTTGGGATATGATTTGCTTGTTGAGCATCCAATCTTCCAGGTTTCTTTGAGAATCTTATCACAACAGCGTTGACTAGAGGGTGTGGTGCTGATTTGATTCCTAACCTGTTTTTTGGCTTTGATTTCTGAACATTTTTCGTTTATGAGTCTGTAAATATAACCAATGCGTAGACCAAGGTGATCGTTTTTTTTTTTTTTTTTTTTCCACGAGCCAAAAAGTCTGGGTAACCTCTGGGTTCTAATATTGTTCCTTATCAATAACTACCCTGTATAAAGTCAACAAATCCGGTTATGGACCCTAACATTTCTTGAACTGAAAACTCATATCCAAAACTTATACTATCCTTGGTGGTGGTCAGAATTCATTAATGATTTCCTTTATGTTATCTCCTTCTTTGTTGCAGACTCCATTGACGTGGCCTGAGACACCCAAGCTAGGAAGAAAACCAAGTTATAGCACAATGCAAAGCTATCTGGCTTGACAGACGACTTTGTCCAGTACCAGTTGCACCAAAAATGCCATGAAAAAGAATAGTTGAGTCCCAACTCGTTCTCTCACATCGACTTCACAGCCTAAAATGATTATTTATGAGAGCACAGCCCAGATGTTCAGCATTGATCAGAAAAAAATAAGTGGTATTGCATTTCAGGCTACTTCTAAAGCAAAATGGTCTTGGAAATTTGTCAGTGCTAAAAGCTACTATGACGAGTAAATAACATGATGGCTGAACTCCATAGTAGAATTCCCTCATGAAAATAAGAGTGAAGACTTGGAAATTATGGAACTTAAAAAGAACAGGTTGCTATGTGTTGGCACCAAAACTTGGCAGCCACTTCAGCAGCGACGTAGACCAATGGGAAGCCGATAAGTGTTGAGCATGTCCAAGAATGGTCGGCCAATGGAGAAATAGTAGGAGAAAATTTAGGAGGATATCTATATATTCAGCCACCTCACCAAAAGGGTTGTTACTAAACAACCGAGACTTGTGTTAATTTCAAAAGGAAATTTCATTAGAAATAGAACATTGGGAGAGGTTGGCTAAGGTGACATAATTAAGTTCCTAAAAAATAGGGATTTAGTTATGAGAAAGGAAATTGAATCCTTATGGAAATGAAATTCAAAAAGAAGGGGCAGCCACGTGAGTGTATGGGTCAAGGCTATAAATGGTCTTCCAGCCATTTAAGGGAAATATTTCAGTCAAGCTTCAAGAAAGAAGTTGCTAAAAATCAGCAACTTACTAGCAATCTTCCAGCAGCTTTCTACCGACTTCTTAGCAATCAATATTTTCTTCAACAAAGGTATTCTATTTGAAGCAAGACGAAACAAGAGGAGAAGAGACGTGAAAGACTACTAGAATACGACCTATTTTCAGCAACAAAGTAAAGCAAATCAAGGAAAAGAGAGATTTCAGTAAAGACTTTCCCATTGAAACTGGAGCATCGATATTGAAGGCGAGGAATGTTGGGCCGTAGCTTAGTTTGAATTTCAAAAGAAAATGATTGAAGCAAAAGAGATTTTCTAGCAATTAATTAGGAAAATAAGTTGAGATAGAACTTCTATAAATAGAAGTATTGTACTCCATTTCCAATTCGTCCAGCACCAACACAAAACATGCATTTCAACTAAAAATGTTTTCAATTGACTCTACGTCATTTTTTCCTATCAATTTCTTTATTTCAATTTAATGGCAATTGATTAGATCATTGTCAACTATTTCAATTCAGCCATTTACTTTCTTTCAATTTCAATTATGCCAATTTTAATTACGCAATTTTAGTTAAGCTTTCAATTCAATGGCAATTGATTAAATTCTTGCCATTGAATCGTAGTGACAATTGATTAAATTCTTGTCATTACTTGGCTGATGGCAATTGATTAAATTCTTGCTATCACGTTTCAGTGGCGATCGATTAAATTCTTGCCATTGTGTTTGGCTGATGGCGATTGATTAAGTTCTCGCCATCACGTTCGGCCGGCGATCGATTAAGTTCTTACCGCCTGTCTTCACTCGGCCATTCCATTCGTTCAAACATTCATCAGCCGTTGCATTTCTTTAGACACTCTAAAAAGTCCTTGCTACAAACAAGGTATAAAAGAACCTTGCTGGGAGTTCTTACTAGTCTCTCTCCTACACAATCGCTTGAGAGTCAGCCATCGGAAAAAGGGATAGGCTGGTGTTCAATTACATATTTTGGGTATTTTGTACAAATACTCTGGCACTCCCGCTAAGAGTCCATCGACCGGCGTAGGGAACAAAAACCGCGCGAACACGTTTTGGCACGCCCGGTGGGACCACTACTAGAGTGTTATAAAAGAGGCAAATATGCCGCGGCTCACAAAAAATTCTAAGGCCGTGGCTACTGATGAAGATTTGGAGGAAGGCGATCAGCTAGTACAGGCTGAGAACTCTGCAGCAGGTCCTACTGATGAGTTAGCCGTACTTCAGGCACAGGTTAGCTCCTTGGTAGATGTAATGGGAAGGATGGGAGCACGCTACAACGACTTGCATGAAAATATGTCCCAACTCTCAGCCTTTATTTTGAACAAGCCGACTCAAGCTAGCAGCTCCAACAATCAGGAATCGGCTTCTCAGCCGAATCTATCACAAGCTGCTCGGCCAGAGAGGGCCATTGAAACATCACAGCCATGGCCGCCAGTAGTGACACTCCAACCAGGTGCAACATCAAGTCAGCCGGTTCATACGCTACTCACCTGGGCAGAAAGCTATCTTCAGCCTACGTTGGCAGGTTCTAATCAGCCACCAGTAGTAGGTTCGCAGCCACAGGTAATTCTACCAAACCCTCCTCGGATGCCTTTGAACTCGGGGGGCAATCAGATCAGGTGGAGGCCACCGAACCCACTGTATACTCATGTGCCGCCACAGGTAGGGTCGGGGGGTAGAATATGGCTAATTAGCCACATGATTGGCCGAATTGCTATCAACCAGCGGCTAATCAGGTACCACCAATATTAAATCAGCCACCTCAAGTCATGTTAGATAGAAGACAATTAGCTGATTTACTCACAGAAGAATATGGCCTGGAACTTAGAGGTGCCGGCCGACCAATTTATAGAACTCCTTATCTAGAAGTGGTAGACCAAGTTGAGTTCCCTAGAGGATATAAAGTTCCTGACTTTATAACCTTTAGTGGAGAGGGGAATCAATCGACCGTGGAACACATTGGCCGATTCACGGTTCAATGTGGAGAGGCCAGTGTTAGCCCGTGGTTGAAATTGAGACTTTTTCCTAACTCTTTGACAGGGGCAGCTTTTTCATGGTATATTCGTCTACCTCCTCACTCTGTTTTTAATTGGCCACAGATGGAGGAATTATTCCACAATCAGTTCTACCGTACGGAGACAGAACCTACTCTGGCCGATTTATCCAGACTAAGTCAATTGCCTAGTGAATCGGTCGAGACATTCATTGCAAGATTCAGGAGAGCAAGATTAAGATGTCGTGTACCTCTTCCAGAACAGGAGTACATTCGTTTGGCTTTGAACGGCCTTGATTTTGAACTTCGAAAGAGGTTTGAATGAGTTCCATTTCGTGACATGTATGACCTGGCCGAGAAAGCTACCAAGTATGAGTTGGTTCTCAAAGAGGAGAAAGAACGAAAAAATTCCTCTAAAGGTACGTACTATAGGGACCCCAACTATGAAGTTTATTCAACTGATGTGGTTGAAGAGGAAGATTTTGAAGCTAATTTAGCCGAAGTCATTCTAAAGAAACCTTATGTATGTGACGCTTTAACAAAACCAAATGTATCCACCAGTGGTACTCAGCCATCGACTTCATCGGCCAGGAAGGGTACGGCTGATACTGGTAAGGTTTATACGTTTGATCTGGCCAAAACAGAACAAATTTTTGATCATTTGTTGGCCGACAAACAAATTGTTCTGCCAAAAGGACACAATATACCATCGACCAATGATTTAAAAGGAAGAGAGTTTTGCAAATTTCATAATTCATGGAATCATACTACTAACAATTGTTATATATTTAGAAATGTATTGCAGAAGTCTATCGATGAAGGTGTATTGAAATTCCCTGAAAAGAAGCCAGATGTAATGGGGGTCGATGGCGATCCATTCCCTAATATTGTCAGTACCAATGTAATCAGCCTGGCAACTGAAAAAGCAGCTGATAATGGTAGACAAGAAAGATTACCAAAAGTTCTTGGTAGTTCATCGGTCAGTAATGATGAGCAGAAAGTTAAGGACTTGGAAATTCAGTTAAGAGAAGCTCAAATTGCCCTCATCAACCATGGTTGTTGTCCAAATTGCAAAGGCCGAAGGAATGACTCAGACAAGAGGGGCTATTTCCAATCAACCAGAAAGCGCAGTGTCCATGAAAGGTTAGGCCATCAGCCTAGACAGAATCACGAAGAAATCAATCGATCAATATTTAGTGAAAATGGGCCGAGGGCAGTGAGAATCATTCGGTCATCGGTGGCCGATAGAGTTCTGCCAGAACAACATTTTTATCCTAGTTTCAAAAGGAAACCAACAATTCAGTCAGAAATATGGGTTCAAAAAGGAGAAGAATCTAGCCGTGTAAGAACGGTTAGACCTCCTTTGGTTGGCCATGGCAGATGGACTCGAGTAAGTCACCCAAAGTTTCCTAAGCAGCCTCCTACACGTACCCAAAAAAGGAGGATGCAAAGGAAAAATGCAGAACTCAAAAGGAAAGAAGACAAGATCGACCATGATCAACTAGAAAGGAAAAATGAACCAGTGGTGGCTGAAGACATGGAGGTCGCTACATCATTTGAGAATAATGCATGCTTTTATGAAGAAAAAGATGATCAGCCCGACCAGGATCCAAAACACGCGGCCAAGTACAGAATTCGTTTTGGTTCTCTCCCGGATAAGGTAAATTGTAACATGGTATTTGTTTTGCCTTCTGTGTTTGAAGCAAGGATATAACCAACGATGAACAGGGATGTTGAGTCAGCCAAGCAGGAAGAAAAGGCTGAATCTTCAGAAATTAAGAACGATTCGACAAGTTCATCGGCCGGGATAGGATTGATCTCTCAGGATCAGCCATCTAAGGCCGATAAAATCATTTTTGAAAAACCACCTTTGTCCATGACACAGCAGTTGAGGCCGTTGTATGTTAAAGTATGGGTTGAGGGTCAGCCAATCAATAGGGTTTTGGTTGACAATGGTTCGGTGGTGAATGTCATTCCATCAACTACTTTGAAGAAATTGGGTAAAACCATGGATGATGTAGTTCCAACCGACGTGGCCATCAGTGGTTTTAATGGAGGATCTAGTAACACTAAAGGTATTCTACCTTTGGAAATTACTATTGGCGGTAAGACATCCTTTACGGCTTTCTTTATCATTGATTCAACCGCGGCCTATAATCTCCTTTTAGGCCGAGATTGGATTCATCCTAACATGTGCATCCCATCAACCTTGCATCAAATGTTGATTTTTTGGGATGGAAATGAGGTAAAAATTGTTGAGGCCGATAATAAACCCTTTATAGCTAGGGTGTATTCGGCTGAGGCTGCTCTTTATGATGAAACTGTTGTACCTATCAAATATGTTGGCATTAACAGGATGGGACGACCAGCAGCAGCAACAATGAAGAAGAATTTAATTAATGCTGATATTAAAGAATTATTGGCAGAAGCAGCTCGGCCGAAAATTGATATTTTCAGGTCGACCATCAAGGACATTGAAGATGTTACTGATGGATCACAAAACCAATGAAGAAAAGAAGCGGCAAGCTTTCAGGGCCGCTTGCATAAGACTGAAAGCATATCTGGCTGAGAAGAGACTGGCCAGAGAAGAACAGCTATATGAAGAGGTATCGGCCAGCACGGCCGATATAATTGAAGAAGGTTTCGAAAAGCTGGATGCAATCCAACTTGAAGATTTGGAGTCAGCCCCTTCCAGGATGGAAGATAATAAAGTAGAGGTGCAATATCCTTTATTGGAAATAAATGTTGGTACTAATAAAGATAATCGGCCATTATTTGTTAGTGCTTTGCTTGAGCCTAAATTCCAGGCCGATTTGATTAAATTATTAAATGAATATAAGGATTGCTTTGCTTGGAGTTATGAAGAGATGCCTGGCCTGTCTAGAAAATTGGTAGAACATAGATTACCGATCAAGAAAGATTTTCAGCCATATAAACAACCACCAAGAAGGATGTCTTCGGAAGTAATGCTCAAAATTAAAGAAGAAATTGAGAGACTTCTTAAGGCAGGATTTATTCGAACAGTTAGGTATGTTGAATGGCTTTCTAATGTTGTTCCGGTAACGAAGAAGAATGGCAAACTTAGAGTTTGTGTGGATTTTTGCAATTTAAATAATGCCACTCCAAAAGATGAATATCCAATGCCTGTGGCCGATCAACTTATTGATTCGGCCGCTAAGCATGAAATATTGTCTTTTATGGACGGCCATTCAGGTTATAATCAAATCTAGTTAGCCGAGGAAGATGTTCATAAAACGACTTTTAGATGTCCTGGGCCAATTGGTACTTTTGAGTGGATTGTGATGCCATTTGGCCTAAAAAATGCTGGGGCTACTTATCAAAGGGCAATGAATTCTATCTTTCATGATATGATTGGCCGATTCATGGAAATTTATATAGATGATGTAGTTGTGAAATCATCGGCCAAGAGACAGCATTTGGAACACTTGAAAAGGGCCTTTGAAAGGATGAGGGTCCACAAATTGAAAATGAACCCATTGAAGTGTGCATTTGGAGTTTCAGTCGGGAATTTCTTGGGGTTCTTGGTACACAAACGAGGTATTGAAGTTGATCAGAACAAGGTCAAAGCTATTATAAATGCTAGGGCCCCAGCCAACAAAAAACAAGTGCAAAGGTTCCTCGGCCAGGTAGGTTTTCTTAGAAGATTCATTTCTAACCATGCTGGCCGAGTGCATGTCTTTTCGACTTTAGTAAAATTAAAGTCACATGAGAAATTTCATTGGGACGAATCCCATCAGAAGGCTTTTGACAAAATAAAAGAGTATTTGGCAAACCCCCCGGTTGTAATGCCTCCAAGAAAGAAGTGGCCATTAAAGCTTTATTTATCGGCCGCAGAAGAATCAATTGGTAGTATGCTCGCACAAGACAATGAACATGGAAAGGAGCAGGCTGTCTACTACCTGAGTAGAGTACTAACTGATGTAGAATGCAGATATTCCTCAATTGAGAAGCTTTGTTTATCTTTGTACTATTCGGCCATGAAGTTAAGAGTATACATGCGGCCTGTTGATGTTTACATTCTTTGTCAGACTAACGTGATCAAGTATATGCTATCAAGGCCATTGATCACTGGCCGAATAGGTAAGTGGGCTTTGGCTTTGATGGAATTCAATTTTATCTACGTCCCACAAAAATCAGTAAAAGGAAGGGTTCTGGCTGATTTTTTGGCCGATCGTCCTTTAACTGATATTGATCCATGGGTTTATAATGAATTGGAGTCATCAGCTATATTCTTAACTCCTTGGATCTTGATGTTTGATGGATCAAGCACGGCTGATGGAGCAGGAGCAGGTATTGTTATTATTTTGCCAGCTGGCAGAAAGGCTTCATTCTCTTTCTTTTTAGATTTTAAATGTTCAAATAATCAGGCCGAATATGAAGCGCTTATAATCGGCCTGGAGATTTTAATTGAAATGGCTGTTAGAGATGTAAAGATTTTGGGAGATTCAAACTTAGTCCTTAGCCAAATTTCTGAAGATTTTAAGTGCCTAAGTTGGCAATTAAGGCCGTTTCATTCTCTGGCCACTTCATTAATTAATCAATTTGATAATGTTCAACTTAAGTTCTGGCCGAGAGGGCAGAATAAGGAGGCCAACAGCATGGCCCAAGCAGCCTCAGGAATAAGAGTACCAGTCGGAATAGAAGATCAGTTGATAAAGATAACACGAAGATCTTTGCCATGGGCCGAATTGAGAAATACTATGTTGTTTGATACTTGGACAATTGATGTAGAAGATTTGGCCGACGATGACTAGAGGTTACCATTTATAATGTTTCTTCGAAATCCAAACATCAAGGCTGATAGAAGTATTAAAAGAAAAGCGATCAACTTTGTGCTTCTAGATGGGGATCTATACAGAAAAGGGTTAGAAGATGGGCTCTTACTACAATGCATAAGCAAGGAGGAATCACTTCAGGTTATGGCCGAGGTACATGAGGGCAGCTGTGGGGCTCGCCAAGCTGGGATTAAAATGAGATGGTTGATTCGCAGGTATGGATATTATTGGCCAAGAATGAGGAAAGATTGCATAGATTACTCAAAAGGTTGTCAAGCTTGTCAAAGACACGGGCCGATTCAAAATGTACCAGCAAAAGAATTACAACCAATAATCAAACTTTGGCCATTCAGAGGTTGGGGCCTTGACCTTATTGGTAAAATTAATCCACCATCAAGCGAAGGCCATCACTAGGTGATTGTTGCCACAGATTATTTTACTAAATGGGTTGAGGCTAAGGCTTGCAAAGCGGTTGATCAGCAAACAGTGATTAATTTCATGGAACAAAATATCATCCACAGATTTGGGATTCCAGAAACACTTGTTTCAGACAATGCAACAGTATTTAGGGCAACTGATGTACTACAATTCGGCCACAACATGAATATTCATATGTCAGCCTCTACGCCATACTATGCTCAAGCAAATGGCCAGGCCGAATCATCAAACAAAATTTTAATAGAGATCATTGAAAAAATGATCAAAGATAAGCCAAGAAGGTGGCATGAGACTTTGTCTGAAGCTTTATGGGCTTATAGGAACTCAAAAAGAATAGGCACAGGAGTTACACCATACATGTTAACTTATGGTCATGATGTTGTTCTGCCTATGGAGATGAAGGTTAAATCAGCCAGAGTTGCTTTTCAAAATAATCTAACTCCAGCTGATTATACTCAAGCAATGTTGGTAGAATTGGAAGATTTGGATGAAGTTAGAAGGGATGCCTTGGATCATATCATAGCTCACAAGAAGAAGGTGATGAGGATCCACAACAAGAGGGTAAAACCTAAGTCTTTTGCTGAAGAAGATTTGGTTTGGAAAGTTGTTTTGCCAGTGGGTAAAGTCGATAGGAAATATGGGAAGTGGTCCCAAAAATGGGAAGGGCCATACTTAGTCCATCAAGTCTTAAGTGGAGGAGCATATAGGCTGAAGTATTTCAGTGGCCGATTACATGACTATCCCATTAATGGCAAGTACCTCAAGAGGTACGTACCGGCAATCTTTGAAAGGGAAAATTAGTGTTAGCCAGTACTAATGGCTGACCATGTGTACCTTTATGTAATAAAAATCGGCCTATTTTTCTAGGCTGATTTGGCTATTTTAATAAAAATTTTCTCGCTAAAATGTTGATACTTGTTTGGAGTAACAAAAGAGGCCATTTATTCATTGAAGTGTAAAAGATTACATCATTTAAAGATCATACACTAAGATGGCCACAAAAGGAAGCTAATATAAAAAAAATTCATATGCTTGCAAATTTTTCCTTGAAATCGGCTCAAATAACTAAGGACCGATTGAAGGCCACCATGGCCTGCCTCTTTGACTCTTCCAATTGAGGTAATTCTCCACGAAGATTTGCATGCTCGTGAGCAAGGTCTTGAGCTTCAAACTGCAATGTGGCAGCTTCAGCAGACAAGATGGCCTTACGAGCATGGATCTGGTCGATCTCTTTCTGAAGGACATGTTCTCTTTCCTCAAGGCCGATGAACTCTGTATTCACTCTTTCAAAGGAGGAAGCTTGAATTAACAATTGGTTAGCAAGGGTATCCTTCCTGTTTTTACTCTTGTTGAATTGGTTGATTGCTTCATTGGCTTGGAAAATATCATCGGTCAGAGTTGGTAGTTGGCCTTTAAAGGTAGCAATAGTGGCTTGAAGATCAACCGGAAAGTCTGGGTACTGGCTGAGTGTAGAAAACACTGCTGTGAGCTCACTTTCAAAATTAGGAAGATCAGCAGCATCTCTTTTCAAAATCTCAAGTAAAGATTTTTTGGTCTCTTCTAAGGATTATATAGGGATATTGGCTGAAGTGACTGGGGTGGCTCCAGAAGATTCACTTTCTTTCTCTTCGGTCACTGAAGCCACCACATCCTTAAAGAAATTGCTCAAGGCCAGTAGAGATGAAACAGGAGCTTTTTGTAGAGGAAATAAAGGAACAATTTGAGTTTTCTCATACATCACCTGACAAAATGAGGAAAGATTAGATCTTAATTTTTTTTTTTGGGATATGAGATAGTCAATACCTTAGATGATTCGGCTATGTCTGTCACTAAGAGTGGCTGATGACTAGTTTCTGGAGGAGGAAATTCTGGCTAAACCGCTGTGCTATCTCCCTGGGATAAAGTTTTAGCAGGAGTAACTTGAACATTGAAGGGCACCTCAATGGGATCATGAAAATCCTTCAGAGGGCTGAAATTTCTAACTGGGCTATAGACCAAGTCAAGAAGAGGAGATTGCTGCAAAAGAGAAGAAATTAAGGACCATATTAATTGAAAAGTTTGGAAATTTCAAGTATAGTTATCTTTACCTCTTTTTCATCTGAGGAATGATCAGAAGGAGTGTCAGCCACATTAATTATGGGATCATCGGCCATGTCTTCTGTAGGATGTGGGTTTTCTAAATTTTCTTCCACTTCGTGTTTCTTACGTTTGCTCAATCTTGTTTTTTTTAAAGTGCCATGAGCAGTTGTTTTCTTTCTTTTTCCCTGGAGATGGAAGCTTTATTAAAGTTTGTCTCGGCCAATAATAGTTGTGGCCGAGAATTGGAAATCAATATTGGCTAAATATTTTAATAATTGGGCCGATATGATTATCTTTGTATGTTAATAGATAAAACTTTTACCTTTGGAGGAATTGGAGGAACATCAGGGATGATGGCTGATTCAGTTATTGAAGGCTGAGGAGGTTGGCTGGAGGAAATTTCATCATCTTAGGGCTCAACGTTTTCTGGATTAGGCGAGGCTGATAAAGTTCCACTGTCTGAATCTGCAAAAAAAAAAGGGGGGGGGGGGGGTAAGAGAAATTCAATTAAAAGTTTTTAATATATATATACAAGTAAAGGAAGATCGTACCTTTGAGAAGGCTGGCAGTGGCTTTGGCCTTAGATTTTCTCTCTTTATTGGTCCTTGTTGGAGCATCTGCTGGCTGAGAGAAAGGGAGTTTCTTGGCCGTTTATTTTTTATCTTTGGGAGGATCTTTTTGAGGCATTTTCTTTGGAGTAACGGCCCGGGAAATTATGAATGCCCCTTCAAAGGCCACAGATATGAACTTAAAAGATTCCAATATTTTAACAACAAGTGACTGGCTATCAGCCGTCTTTGTAGAAGTAATGTAAGAAGACCACCATTGATCAAAACTAGAATCTGAGGCTGGGTTTTTGATGAAGGGTTGGAATTGGAATCCGGCTTGCAGATTTGAGAACCGGGAGGACACGTTCTTTACATAGGAGTCATCTGGAAATACCACACGCCTATGGAAGTTTTTGTTGAAAGAGAAATAAGGGGGCATGGGGATCATTTGAGTCAGACCAAATTGCCTAGCAAGTTGGTTTGGATTGTAGAACTCAACTCCAACTTTTGAGTTTACTGTGCCTAGAGGGCCAGTGTTGAAGTGAAGGTCTCTTGAAAGTAAGAAACTAACCCACATGGCCGAATGCTTATCAGCTGATTTTTTGGTAGACACTCCTTGAGGAGGAGTCAGCCATCGAGGTGCTTGTGAGCAATGAGAAAATGGAAGGAATTGGCTGATAGTCCTCTGTTCACAACCGGAGTAAAAGAAATTGAAGCAATCTCCAAACGAATGGGATTTAGGTACGGCCGATGCGTAACTTACAGAAAGTAATGGGTCATTGGCTGAAGGCCTCACCACAGGTCCGAGCTCAGGAAAGTACACTTGAAGCCAAATTTGAAATAACCAGAGGGGACCACCATAGTGTCCGAAGTTGGAGGTAAGCAAGTCATCCCTCTATATAAATGAGAAAGCACCAAGGGGGCAAGAGCAAGGTGTTTACCTCTTGAAAGGGCAACGGCCACATGAATGAAATCCTTTATGACTTGAAAGGCCGGTACGCATAAAAGAAACTTGTTCAGCCAGGCCAACAAGAAGGCAATATGTTCAGTATCATTCACAGGGACGCGAGGATCCATGGTGTAAGTTAAGTATTTGCCATAAGAGGATTCAGATGACTTGGTTCCAGTTTGCTTTGAAGGGAAGATGAAAGGAGAATCCTCTTCTACCAATAAGGTACTTACATCAATCCCAAAGGGTTTGAGGCCGGTTAGATAGCACACGTCTTGAATGGTTGGAGCCATCATGCCACACTTCAAGTGTAAGGAGTTGGTGGTGGTCGACCAATTAAACATGGCTGCTATCATCAAGGCTCTGTCTTGGGCGATGTTAGTTTTACTTAGCTGAATGGCATCATGTATGCCACAATCCTTCCATATTTCTCCCTTCACAGCTCCAACCCGGTCGACCCAATTGATCCAAGCATCATTTGGGCTATGCCATGTTCTAAAATGAAAGTGTGGCAAACTGCCATTTTCATTAGGAGGGAAGGTTTGAAGGAATGGAAGAACGTCGGCCGAAGGATAGAAAGGTGAGATTGATGAAGGAGCTTCGTCAAGGAAAGCAGGACCTAAGCCTTTGAAATCAGTACGAAGATCGATAAGGGTATTGAGACAGTATTTGTAAGGAGATAGAGTTTTTAGGGATTTTTCTATGATGTTGCCATGAGTTGAAGGATCGGAAGGTTGAGGGATAGAGGTGGAATCAGTTGATTTAGTTTTCTTAGGAGCCATAGAGGACGTCAGGAACGATTTTGCCGAGAAAGAATTTCAGAGATAGAAAGTTTAAGGGAAGAAGAATGATTTTAGGGATTAGAGGGCATCAAGCTAAATACTTGCTGGATGTAATAGCAGATTAGTGTAGTCTTTAATTGGGAAAGATAACCATTAAAGCAGGTGGTTGGGAAAAGGATTTATTACCAAAATTTGAATTACAATTTTAGGCCGATTCAAATTTCAAACGCTTCGTATCATAAGTGATAAAAGCATTTGAAATTCAGGGGGCATTTGTTGGCACCAAAACTTGGCAGCCACTTCAGCAGCGACGTGGACCAATGGGAAGCCGATAAGTGTTGAGCATGTCCAAGAATGGTCGGCCAATGGAGAAATAGTAGGAGAAGATTTAGGAGGATATCTATATATTCAGCCACCTCACCAAAAGGGTTGTTACTAAACAACTGAGACTTGTATTAATTTCAAAAGGAAATTTCATTAGAAATAGAACATTGGAAGAGGTTGGCTAAGGTGACATAATTAAGTTCCTAAAAAATAGGGATTTAGTTATGAGAAAGGAAATTGAATCCTTATGGAAATGAAATTCAAAAAGAAGGGGCAGCCACGTGAGTGTATGGGTCAAGGCTATAAATGGTCTTCCAGCCATTTAAGGGAAATATTTCAGTCAAGCTTGAAGAAAGAAGTTGCTAAAAATCAGCAACTTACTAGCAATCTTCCAGCAGCTTTCTACCGACTTCTTAGCAATCAATATTTTCTTCAACAAAGGTATTCTATTTGAAGCAAGACGAAACAAGAGGAGAAGAGACGTGAAAGAATACTGGAATACGACCTATTTTCAGCAACAAAGTAAAGCAAATCAAGGAAAAGAGAGATTTCAGTAAAGACTTTCCCATTGAAACTGGAGCATCGATATTGAAGGCGAGGAATGTTGGGCCGTAGCTCAGTTTGAATTTCAAAAGAAAATGATTGAAGCAAAAGAGATTTTCTAGCAATTAATTAGGAAAATAAGTTGAGATAGAACTTCTATAAATAGAAGTATTGTACTCCGTTTCCAATTCGTTCAGCACCACCACAAAACATGCATTTCAACTAAAAATGTTTTCAATTGACTCTACGTCATTTTTTCCTATCAATTTCTTTATTTCAATTTAATGGCAATTGATTAGATCATTGTCAACTATTTCAATTCAGCCATTTACTTTCTTTCAATTTCAATTATGCCAATTTTAATTACGCAATTTTAGTTAAGCTTTCAATTCAATGGCAATTGATTAAATTCTTGCCATTGAATCGTAGTGACAATTGATTAAATTCTTGTCATTACTTGGCTGATGGCAATTGATTAAATTCTTGCTATCACGTTTCAGTGGCGATCGATTAAATTCTTGCCATTGTGTTTGGCTGATGGCGATTGATTAAGTTCTCGCCATCACGTTCGGCCGGCGATCGATTAAGTTCTTGCCGCCTGTCTTCACTCGGCCATTCCATCCGTTCAAACATTCATCAGCCGTTGCATTTCTTTAGACACTCTAAAAAGTCCTTGCTACAAACAAGGCATAAAAGAACCTTGGTGGAAGTTCTTACTAGTCTCTCTCCCACACAATCGCTTGAGAGTCAGCCATCGGAAAAAGGGATAGGCTGGTGTTCAATTACATATTTTGGGTATTTTGTACAAATACTCTGACACGCCCGCGAAGAGTCCATCGACCGGCGTAGGGAACAAAAACCGTGCGAACACGCTAATAAATTTTAGATAAAGCTCATTTCAATCATCCATCCAGAATCATAGCAACCAGGAGTGGTATATTTCACTCAAACACCATCACAATCTACCAAGAAGACATGAAGCCATTTGAATATCGAAAAACATGAACATAATTTAAACCATATCACAGAGTTCAACATCATCAACATCATCGTTTTTAATAAAACACTATATTAATACACATTTAGCAGGTTTGAATTCTCAACCTTGTCATAAAATAAAGTACTACATAAAGAACATAACTAAAAATGCCAAGGAATATCAACAAAATCAATTGCAATGCAAATTAAAAGTCTAAGAAAATTCTTTTGCAAAAGACAAAAACTAAAACAGAACGACACAGTAAACCTCCTTCCTATAATTATGTAAAATAAGCTTGGAATTGGGTTTGACCTTTGACCACCCCACATATTGTGTCATATACCCATAAATGAGCCTATGTATAAATAGAGAGAGAAAGATACTCCCACATTTGGATCCACTCTCACTTCCTTTTACTGGGTTTTTTTCCATCCTGTCTGTATTTTCCATTTTCTCTTTTGTTCCGCTGTCTGGTTTTCTTCAATCTTGTCTGTATTTTCCATTTTCTCACTTCACAGCCTAAAATGGTTGTTTATCAGTAGAAACAAGTGGTATTGCATTTTACTAATAGATACTATGGATCATGATAATTACTGTACATCAAGACTGAGCTACCCAAAATGGTTGCATTCTGATAGGAATTCTTTTAGAACTAAGATCGATCGAGTAATTCTATTACGGGACCATTGGCATAAGTGGTATGACCTATCATTCTCGACCAGAAGGCAAGGGTTTGAGCTCCACATGTAGTATATTTCATTTGAACATGATCACAATATGATAACATGACATGAAAATGGTATTTAAATATTAAAAAACAGAAACCAAAAAGAAAGAAAGAGGAAAAAAAAAACATTAGATAGATAACTAAATCTAAGAACATAATTCAACACGCTCATTTTTACAATAAACAAGTCATTTTTTAATTATTTGAAATTTTCTACATGAATCTCATTTTTTTCATTTCAGATATGATCATTTTATGTACATAAAAAGTAAAAAAAATAATTATTTTCACCACCGTATGAATGAATCCATGATCCGTGTGGTAAAAAATTATATTTAGTTGTTTTTTAATCTACAGTGATTGAATTTAGAAAAGTTGACCAAAAATTAATATTTTGGATATAAAAATATAATTTATTAATTTTTATTATATTGATCTGTATTCTATTTTCTTTAAATTTGTTTATTATCATGTCATGTGGTATATTTGTATTGTGTATTTGTACTTCCTAACGATAACTTATTGGTAATTAAGTATGTATTTGCTTCAACTTATTGATTTAGAAAATACACAAAAATAAATAAATGAATCAATCAACAAGAAATTTATGAATGACAACTGACAAGACAAACAGACCAACTACCAAGAGATACTTACAGAAAGCATCTCCAAGTTGGCAGACGCACAGTGACAGAGTAGGACCCTCCTTCTCTCTTCTCTGTATTTTTCCTTTTCCACTTCTGTTTCTCTGATTCCTTTGGCCGTTATTCATTTTTTCTTTCCACCCTCTTTCCATCCATGCCGGTTAAACTCTTGACCGGCTCCGATGGTCCTGTTCCTGATCAGCCCCCTCCGCCGTCGGAGTTGGGCCGAGCTCCAAACCTTGAAAATGGCGACCAGTTTTGGGACAAAGTCACCACTTATCCCGAATCCTCCATCAACACAGACGCCGAACCCCTACTGTTGGAACCTGAAATAGAGGCGAGCGAGACCACTGCTCATCATCAATTGCCAGCTTCTTCCATTCCTCGTCTTTTGATTGAAGGAGGAGATTCCCCATACTACTTTCTCCAATACACAAGTACTGCTGCTACTACCAATACCAGTCGTCCAGGAGAATCTGACTGGGTATTTTGGTCACGATATATACTCGACAATGAGGCTTATCGTGACATTCTCAATAAGGTTAATATCTATAAACCCGTTCAACTTTTTTCATCTCTGACGGTTCAGATTGATCAAGCAAACCTAGGTGTGCTCCTTTCAAGGTGGTGCAGCGAGACTCACACATTTGTGGCTTCTTGGGGTGAGTTCTCACCTTCTTTGGAAGATGTCTGTGAATTATTCTATCTTCCCGTCTTCGGCATAGCTAACGGACCATCCAAAGAGGACCAGGAAATTGTTGAGGCCTTGCGTAGCGCCGCCACAGAGGCGGCACAATGGGGCTCACGCTTCCAAGGCTCTGTTCTTCTGTATTCACCTTCTACGTGTTTGTCAAAATACCCAACTCATGCCCAGTGGCTAAGACACTTCTTCCGAGATTATGAACCAATTTCTAATGAGATTGGTTCTCCCCGTAGAAGTGTCACAGGGCCTCAATATGGAAAACGGTATGAGCTAGCTGCGTTCTTATCTTACTGGTTAGATAGGTTTATTTTTGAAGGCAAACCCGATGGTGCAATTAACCAGAGAGTGTTCCCTTTGGCTGCCGTTCTCTCTCGTGGCCGCACATTGCCTCTTGCCCCCATGTTTCTTGGTACTTTATACTACAGGTTGGATATGCTGAAGCAAGATTGTGCTCGGTCTCTCGGTCGCTATGAAGTCACTACTTATGTTTCTTGTTCATTCTTGACTTTGTTTCTGTTTGAGCGCTTCCCAAGCTATGCCCCTCCTCCCAAAACCTTTTGCGAAAAAGATGAAAATGGCAAGACTCGGAGCCTTAGTCGTGCATTGAGGTGGACCAACCTCACCACTCCCTGTAAATTGGGCGACTATATTGATGGATTTGAAAACTTCTGTGCCCGTCCCTATGGTGTTAAGCTAGACGGCATTGTTTTTCCAAGGATTTGTGGGGGTCCTGAAGATGTTGTGGCAGTGCTGAAGGATGACTTCAACTTCAAAACTTTGAAGTTCATTGCAATTGTCTGCAAATGTGTTCTTCCCTACATAACTGAGACTGGAAAAGGAGCTGTTGCGTACAATCCTACAAGGATTGCTCGCCAATTTGGATATGACCAAGGTGTACCAGAGTCTACCAGTTGCCAAGGATCATATACTTCCAGCTGCGCTAGATTTCGCAGTAGTCACAAACTTGTACTTAGTCAATATCCTGCTAGCTTCACTATGCCTTCATGTAAACGCCAAGGTAGGTACACTGCACACTTCCGTAAGTATTGGGCTAAGATTTTGAAGTTGTTTGCCTTTCCTTCGGGCTCTCCTCAACCATTGGAAGCAGTCCCTATATTCGAAGATGACGTTTCCTTGAAAGCTCCACAAAAGCGCAAAAGGCAACCTCCATTGATCAACCGTAGGCCACCCAAGTGGAAGCGCATGAGAGTGGTATTACTTAATTTTCCCTTTTCACAATCTTTGTCTGCTTATCGTTTGTGTTTGTTTTTAGCCACTTACTCTAGTTCCTACTTATAGGTCCCCAAGCCCATCAAGATCCAAGATAGTGCTAGTAATAGGCACTTAAACTCGGAGGACATCAACTTGAATGCGCCAGAAGCTGAAAATATAAATGTAGCCCCCGCTACAGCTTCATCAGCAGGTGCTTCACTACCCAACACCAGTCTTACGCCGCCCCTTCCTCCACCTCCAAAGGAGAACATTGGCATTAACGAATTAGTGCAGTGGCACGGTTATAAATGTAGGTTCCGTAGCATTCCGTACCTTGATTGCATATTTCACACATATCCGGAGACTTTTGATAGTTTTAGAGTGAAAAGTGCATATTTTCAGAGGGTGTACTTGGATGCCCTTGCGAGTCTCATCAAATCTATTGAAGAAAAAAGCATTAGCCAAATTCCTATGCATAATATCAATCTGGCTAGAGATCTAATAATGGATTGCAAATCTGTGGGGTTGGATCTATCATGGCTGGAACTGAAGTACGCAGATGCTACAGCTAGACTTACCGTCCATGGTCTTAACCAAGAATCTGCCCGGATTTCAGCGGAATTGCAACAGAATAATATGTATGCTACGCAACTCCGTCGCTATTTGGCAGCAAAGGAAGCAAAAACTGCTTCTCTTACAGCCAGGTGCAAGGAATTGGCCAAGAAAATCTCTTTTCACAAAACTCTTATTGATTCTAATCTTAGTTCTGAAGATAATGTTTTGAAAGACTTATTAACTGATGATCCACACCCGGAAAACTTAAACACGGGGGGTTTAGCATCAACTACCCGCCAAGTGCAACTAACCAATTGATAATTTGATACCACATCACAAAACCTCTGCAGCTTTTGGGACACTCTTGGCCTTTCCCTGGACTTGCAGCCCTCTCTTTTTTGACGAGCCTTTGAGAGCTTGTGTTTTGATGGCATGTAAGTATGTTAACTTATGATAGAAATGGCTAGGATACTTGGAAGCATTCTAGCTAGATCACTTGCTACTCTTTTGTAATGTGTTTAGTGTGTGTAGCTGTGTATAAACAACTTGTGATGTAACTTTTGATGGAAATGGCTAGGAGATTTAGAAGCAGTGTAGCTCACTTACTGCTCTTTTGTAATGTGTTTTATGTATAAACAACTTGTGATTGTTCAATGAATCATCCATTGTCTCTATCCAACATCTGAGAATACCCCATGATAACTTTTTTCTTTCTATGATTTAGCTAAATTAGTTTAGGTTGAGTTTGCATCAACTTAAGTAGACAACCATGTTGTTTTTCTCTTTTAGTTTTTTTTTTTTTTTTTTTTTTTTCTCTTTTTTTTTTTTTTTTTTTGCATACCTGCAATGTATATTAGAATAATATGGGAAAATAGTTTGCAAATTCATTTGAAGTGAATCACAAATAACACAAATAGGATGGAAGGAAATAATCCACTAATTATTATAGGAAATTATAGCTGAATGCCCAACACCTATGTGACACTAATACCCAAGAACTGAGAGAGTTTTCTTATATACTTGCTTCATGTCAGAACCTGAAACCAATTTTTGCATCTCTCAATCTATTATTGAGCCTATCACTAAAATATAAATTTAATCACAAGAAAAATATGGCACATATTGCAAGTATAGGCTTACATAGAAAGAAGTATAACACAAGCATTTTATAAGCATTCTGAGCAAATGATTGCATCTTTAGAGAATGATCTGAATCAAACAGCTCCAAGCTAACTGGGGCAGCTCGGAAATGGTAACTGCTGATCTGCCTGTGCTGTTTGCAAGTTGAAAGGTTTCGTCTTTCAATTGATAATAGGTACTACTGTCAACCCTTCAGGTATCTGATATATTTATTCATGCCAGAGAATTTGATAAATTTAGTACCCAGCTATACGGAAGATTGGAAGTTCAAGAGTTGCTCCTAGTTCTTCAAAGGCACCTAAAGAATGTGTGACTCCTCTAAAAACTCCAACTGTGGTGTCTCTTTTTCCTCTACCCTGCTTTCTGTTCCTGAATACTATTTCCTATACATTCCTTAAAATGAGGATTTTTGTCATGAATGCAAATATTAATTTCTTTTCTCACCTGCAGGCGTCTGTGAATGGAGTAACAAAGCACAATACTTTAGCAACACCTAGTTCAGAAAATATGAGGTAACTGGTTTAAAATATTCATCCAAGAATCCATAGAAAATAAGTCTCACGTTTTCAACTAATGGTGCTTGTGTTTTGAATGGTCTCTCGCTAACATGAACATATTTTTGTCACATCTACACTTACAGGGGTAGAACACCACTTGATCCCTCATTCTCACAAAGCAAAACAACTGGACTAAATTGGCACATCCTATCTGCAGTGTAAGTAGCTTTGTAACTCTCTAATATCACAAATTGTTCAGAGCGTTCAATTGGTAGAGCACTAGAGAAACTATGATGTAGGATGATCCAGTGAACTTAAGGGAACTACTTTGAAAATATATACCAATGTGATAGTTCAGCATACAGCGCAATTGGTAAGAAATTAGAATCCAGCATATTTTTAAGGATCTAACTAGGAGGCCTACTAAGCTCCAGAAATCAAATAAATTATAATTATCATTTTCGTAAACTTTTCTTGTATCATTTGTGGATAACAATGAGAACATAGTGTCCATGTGTTCATCTGGTTGGAGAGTTGACACGTCTGATGCGTGGATACATATCCGTGCCTGACACACGTACCCGAGTCCATGTAACATAGCCTATAATAGTTATGACAAACAGAAGATAGACAAATACCCATCAATTGTAGATTCAAAAGGGAGGGGATTTTGTTCTGAAGGACAAAACAAGTTGTCAAGCATGCTGCAGGTCTACTTTGATTCCATCAAACTTTATACCACTGCCTTTTAGGTTGATTACCTCTCAAATTCTTCCGAGTTGATTTGAATAACAAGATGCCAAGTTTCCATAGAACTTGATCTGCTCCTTGATGGATCTTAATAGTTAAAACCTAATCCAAATTAATTCAGCCTCGCTAGATAAGAATCGAGGTTTCAACCATTTGTTTCCTTGCATAATGTCATTAACACTTGCATTCTTGGAAAGACCATCTCACCGCCTATACCCAAAAGCTTGAATCAAAGTTGACCCCTTCCACCAAGAACAACTTAAATGGTTGACCATCCCCTATTTTAAAAAGGATATTGGGTATTAAATGTTATCTACTATCTGGTAGATTCTTCCACAACATAGAGAATTTACTGCTACACGTACAGCTCCATATTGATGGAGTAGCAGCCCTCAAAGATTGGAACCAAGCAATCCACAACCTGTCTTTACCCTGAATAAAGTCCCACAATAGAGAAGTTTTAGTAGCTTTATTAATATTACTTAACTTCCTGATGCCAAAACTACCTTCTGATCTAGGTTTGCTAACCTGAATCCACTTCATTAGATGTATTTTCTTTGCATTTTCTCTGCTCCCCCAGATGAAGGACTTCATCATCTTATCAATCATAGCAGAAGTGTAGGCAGGAATCCTGAAAGCGTAGCACCAATAATAGAAAAAGGAGGATATGACTGTCTTAACCAATTCCACCCTTCCTGCAGGAGACAAGTTAAAAGAGTTCCAGCTGCTAAACTTAGCTGTAATTTTAACCATAAACTCAGAACAGTCAGAGTGTTTTATTCTTCTGTCCACCATGGGCAACCCCAAGTATTTCATAGGAAGCTCACACAACTTCATCTTCAAAAAATTCTTCAGAGTTCTTGGTCTCTTGACAGCAGCAGAGAAGAAAACTTGGCTTTTCTCAAAACTCACAGCCAAACCAGAAATTGAGTGAAAATCCTGCAGCACTTGGTTTATGCATTTAGTTGTACTAATGTCTGCCTTTGAGACTAATATGAGATCATGTGCAAAGAAACAGTGACAGAACTGCAAACCACTCTTCTGAATTACCTTGCACAACTGAAATTTCCCATCCTCGAACCATTTTCTGCAATTGACTGGAGAATAATTCAGTTACCAATGTAAACAACAACGTGGAGAGAGGACATCCCTGTCTCAATCCTTTTTGAGGCTGAAACCTGCAGGAGACCCATTCACTTATATAGAGAACCACGCTGAACCAAGACAACCCCTAACTCAAACGATCCATTTCCTTCTGAATCCATAAGTTTGAAGAATAGAAAACAGGAAAGGCCATGACAAAGAGTCATGGGTGGGCCTTTTTCAAGTCAATCTTGCTGGCCATTGTTGGTTTCAATTTTGAAGACTTGAACCCCCTAACTAGCTCATTGATTATGCTAACATTATCACGCAGCTTCCTCCCCGAAAGCATTTTTCCCCCTTCCCACAATTTTCCCCAGAACAGCACCAAGTCTCAAGGCCATGGACAGCACCAAGCCTTTAGCTTCATACAAAATTGTTCTTTTTAATTCCCCACTTCCATGAATGCACTTTAGTGTTAACCAGAAGCTTGAGCTATTCGATAGGGTGTCTATTACTTTAAAATTTATGTCTTCTAACATCTAGGTGCTAATGTTGTTCTCAGTTGACAACTCTGCTGTATAAAGTCAAAAAATCCTTTTATATACCCTCACATTTCTGGCACTGAAAACTCATCGAAAACTTATGCTATCCTTGGTGGTGGTCAGAATTATCATTGATGATTTTCATTATATTATCTCCTTCCTTCTTTCTTGTAGACTCCATTGACGCGGCCTCAGACACCCAAGCTAGGAAGAAAGCCAAGTTCCAGCACAATGCAAAGCTCTCTGGCTTGCCAGACGCCTTTGCACAGTACCAAACATGCCACGAAAAAGAATAGTTGATTCCCAACTCATTCTCTCACATCGACTTCACAGCCTAAAATGATTATTTATGAGAGCAGATCCCCAGATGTTCAGCAGTGATCTGAAAAAACAACTGGTATTGAATTTCAGGCTACTTCTAGGGCAAAATGGTCTTGGAAATTTTTCAGTGCTAAAAGCTACAATGACGAGTAAATAACATGGAGGCTGAACTCCATAGTAGAATTCCCATTTGAAAATAAGAGCGAAGTCATTGTTTTCACGTCTTCGTTCAGCATTAATATGTTATCGTTCAGAAGATTTGGAAATATTGTAAAATTTATTTGCTTTGCAACTCAAAGGAGCAGCAATATGTGTAGAAATTATAGAACTTAAAAAGGATAGTTTGCTATGCTGATTTTTTTTTAGATAAAAGTTCATTTCAATCATCCATCCAGATTGCTAATATCACCCTGTGCTTTTAGAATAAGATCCATTCTCAAAGAGGAGGACAGAGTTCAAGCTCCGGGAGTGGTATATTTCACTCAAACAAGATCAAAATCTGCCAAGAAGATAACATGAAGCCATTTGAATTTTGAAAAACATGAACATAATTAAGCCTTATCATAGTGTTCAACATGATCAGTTTTCATAAAACTATATATATGTATAATATATTTGAAAGTCCAAATATATATATACACACACACACACACATACCTATCAGCACTCCGCTCAATTAAAGAAGTCTTGAAGATTCTTTTGTAAAAGACAAAACACAAAAATAGAAAGAAATTAATGTCATACAGAAGCCCACTGTAAACCTCCTTCTTGTAAGTATGTAAAATAAGCTTGGAATTGGGATTGACCTTTGACCCCCACATATTGTGTATAGTGTGTCCCATATATAAGAGCCTCTATAGAGAGAGAGACACTCCCACATTTGGAGCCACTTTCACTTCCTTTTTACTGGCTTTCTTCTCTTATCTCTGTACTATCCGTTTTCTCTTTTGTTCCTCTGACTTTGACTTTCTTTACTAGTTTTCTTCTCTCTTTTCTATATTTTCCATTTTCTCTTTTGTTCCTCTGACTTTAACTTGGTTTTCTTCTCTCTTCTCAGTATTTTCCATTTTCTCTGTTGTTCCTTTGACTTTCACTTCCCTTTTGCCTTTCCACCCTGTGTCTATCCATGCCGGACAAACTCTTGACCGCCTCCTCCGATGGCCTTGTTCCTGACCCACTCACCAACACCAACAGTACCAAACCCCTACTGTTGGAACCTGAAATAGAGCTCAGCCAGACCGCTGATCATTTGCTAGCTTCTTCCATTCCCCGTCTTTTGATTGAAAGAGGAGATTTTCCGTCCTCCGTCGAGTACACGAGTCATACTGGTCCAGGTTCTGGTTGGCTAGTTTGGTCCCTGTACATCCTCGGCAATGAGCATTATCGTGACATTCTCACCAGGGCTAATATCCTTCAAGCGGTCCGCCTTTGTTCATTTTTGACTGTTAAGCTCGATCAAGCGAGTCTAGCTGTGCTCCTTTCGAGGTGGAGTTGCCACACTCACACTTTTGTAGCTTCTTGGGGAGAGTTTGCACCTTCTTTGGAAGATGTCTGTGTATTATTCCATCTTCCGATGTTCGGCTCAGCTGATTCTGATCTCTCCGTGGTATCGGAAGAGGACCAGGAAATAGTTGAGGCTTTGCGTAGCGCGGCCACAGAGGCTGCACAATGTGGCTCACGCTTCCAAGGCTCTGTTCTTCTGGATTCGCCGCCTCAATGTTCATCATCAAAAAGCCCAACTCATGCCCAATGGTATAGACACTTCTTCCGAGATGATGAACCAATTTCTTCTAATGCTCAACAACATTCCCGTAGAAGTGTCACAGGGCCTGAGTATGGAAAACATTATGAGCTCGCGGGCTTCTTATCTTATTGGTTAGACAGCTTTATTTTTGGAGGCAAACCTGAAGGTGGCATTAGCAAGAGTGTGTTCCCTTTGGCCGCGGTTCTCTCTCGTGGCTATGCATTGCCTCTTGCCCCCATGTTTTTGGGTACATTGTACTATAGGCTGGATATGCAGCTCAGGGAAGATCTGGTTGGATCCCTCGGTGGCTATGAAATGACTAGTTATTATATATTCTTGACTTTGTTTCTGTATGAGCACTTCCAAAACTACGCCCCTCGTCCCAAGACCTTCTGTAAAGAAGCCGGAATCTGCTACAGTCACGCAATGAGATGGATTGACCTCACTAGTACCTGTAATTTGGGCGGCTATATTGATGAATTTGAAAATTTTTGTGCCCGTCCTTATGCTGTTAACCACGACGGCATTCTTCTTCCAAGCTTTTGTGGGGGTCCTGAAGATGCCGTGGTAGTGTTGAAGGATGAGTTCAACATCAAAACTTTAATGTTCATTGCAATTGTGACCAAGCGTGCTCTTCCCTGCATAACTGAGACCGGAGAGGGAGCAATGGCCTACAACACTTGTAGGATTGCTCGCCAATTTGGATATGACCAAGGTGTACCTGCAGGGCCTAGCAGTTTCCAAGGATCATATACTTCCAGCTGTGCTAGATTTCGCTGTAGTCGTGAACTCATGCTTTGTCAATATCCTTCTAACTTCACTATGCCCTCATGTAAACGTCAAGGTAGGTACACTCAACGCTTTTGTGAGTATTGGACTAACATATTGAAGTCTTCGAGCTCTCCTCAGCCATTGGAGCCAGTCCCTATATACGAAGATGATAGCGGCTTTGCAGTAGCCACAACCACTACCGCTGCTGCAGCAGCTCAAGAAACATTCCAGCCACGTAGGTCTAAGCGCATGAGAATGGTATTAATTAATTTTCCCTTTTCACCATCTTTGTCTGCTTATCGTTTGTGTTTGTTTTTAGTTACTTACTCTAGTTCTTGCTTATAGCTCCCCAAAACCTATTCAGACTTTTGTTCTTCTTTCCGTGCGGATGATGAAAGGAGAGATTTAAATACTGCCAAAGGTGGGTGTGCTGCTGATGTTGTTGAGGAGAAGGTTGAATCTCCCAAGCCCATCGAGATCCAAGATAGTGCTGGTGATAGGCACTTGAACTCAGAGAACATCAACTTGAACCTACCAGAAGCTCAAAATAAAAATGTAGCCCCGGCTTCAACATCACCAGGAGGTGCTTCGGTACCCAACACCAGTCTGGTACGGCCCATTCCTCCAGCTCGAGAGGAGAACCATGGCCCTAAAGAATTAGTGCAGTGGCGCGGTTATAAATGTAGGTTCGGTAGCATTCCATACCTTGATTGCATATTTAACAAACACCCGGAGACTTTTGATGGTTTTAGAGTGAAAAGTGCATATTGTCAGAGGATCTTCTTGGATGCCCTGGCGAGTCTCATCAAATCTTTGGCAGAAAAAAACTTTAGCCAAATTACTATGCATAAGATCAATCTGGCTAGAGATCTAATGATGGATTGTAAATCTGTGGGGTTGGATCTATCATGGCTGGAGCAGAGGTGCGCAGATGCTACAGCTAGGCTTGCAGTTCGTGGTCTCAACCAAGAATCTGCACGGATTTCGTCAGAATTGCAACAGAACAATGAGTATGCTACACAACTCCGTTGCTATTTGGCAGCAAAGGAGGCAAAATCTGCTTCTCTTACAGCCAGGTGTGAGGAATTGGCCGAGAAAATCTCTTTTCAGAAAACTCTTATTGATCCTAATATTAGTTCTGAAGATAAAATTTTGAAAGACTTGTTGACTGATCATCAACAACCTGCTAAGGGCAAGTGAGCAACCGGTAATACGATACCACATTGCATGACCTCTGCAGCTTTTGGGACACTCTTGGCCTTTCCCTGGATTTGCAGCCCTCTCTGTTTTTGATGAGCCTTTGAGAGCTAAAAGGGCAATGAATGCTGACAGAATAAATGTGTTTTTTGATGGCATGTAAGTATGTTAACTTATGATGGACATGGCTAGGAAACTTAGAAGCATTGTAGCTAGCTCACTTACTGCTCTTTTGTAATATGTTTTGTGTGTATAACTGTGTATAAACAACTTGTGATGTAACTTATGATGGAAATGGCTAGGAGATTTAAAAGCAACTTAGCTCACTTACTGCTCTTTTGTAATGTGTTTTGTAATGGAAGGCTCAACACAATCCGACACTAATATATGAGAACCGAAAGGGTTTTTTTTATTTTTTATATTTGCATAATGTTGAACTCGAACTAATTCTGCTTGTCTCTCAATTTATTATTGAGCCTCTCACTAAAATAGAAATTTAATCACAAGAAAAATATGGCACATAATTTCCAAGTATAGGCTTACACTGAAAGAAGTATAACACTAGCAATTTATGACGATAAACTGAATCCCATGATTATCTATTCTTCAAATGCTCCTTTGTGGCTCCCTTGTGGACATTTGTACAAACACCTTGTGCATTTCATATCCTCCCATCCTCATGGTCAGATTTGGTAGCATGGGGAGACCATCATTGGAGTGGGAATTCATTGAATTACGGGGCTTCTGCATTGAGACTTGCACTTGAATCCCTTGTCTATAATGTTTGGTGTGAGAGAAACCCTGGTAGGATCTTCAAAAAGAAAAGAATATCAGCGAATTCAGTTCTGCATTGCTCTCTGGAACCAGTTCGTTTAAAGCAAATTTCCAGCTCCCTCATCGACTTTCCGATTGCCAGACGAATTGAAAGTGAATGGGAGCTCCCTCTCTGTGTAATTCATAACCTCCGGACTAACCAATTTGAGGAGCCAAGACTTCACTAATGTATCTGATAGTTGGGGTTTGAACTGTTGCAACGGTTATTTTTCATTTGAAATGTTGCTAGTTGGGCCAGTCTTCTAGCTTGGGCTTGGGTGTTTTCGGTATTGGGTTTTGCTGTATCGATAATTAGTCATGGGCTTTTTATTTTGGTGATAGAACACCATTATTGGAAAAAGTAGAGCAAAGTCACCGACTCACTTGGCTTAATTGTAATCATGAGAAGAAGTAACAACAATTGTGCTGTAATAACATTTTTAATTGCTAAATTGTTACTAAACTATTAAGAAAAGAGCCTAGAATGAGAACTTGATAGAAAGTCAAAATTGAAGATAAAATTTTATTTTAAAATATACTCCTAATAAATAAATTATAATTCAAGTGGAAACATGGGCAAATAAAAATTTCCCATCCTACTAATTATTTGTTGCTTTAAGTAAATATTTCTCTTTAACTTATATATATATGCCAAGTAATTTATAGGTATATTCATTTTAGATGTTTATCAAGCTTTAAATTTTGTAGTAAAAAATATTACTATATCATTTCATTAATTATCTATTCATCATAGGGTTTTAATAACGTGCATTGCACACGTCTTTTTTTTCCTACTGAATTATTATTTTTACACATTCAAAATTTTCTCTATAAAATTACAAATCCTAACACCCTTATATATCAGGGTAATCACGTGCCAAGACTGTACTCAATTTGCTTTTTATTTTTTTGCCATAATTGAGTCGCAAGAAAGCAAATTCGAGCACAACTCAGTAACGTGCTCCAATATCTGATTTGACAAATTTTTTTACATGAAAAGTTTATGTTATTTTTCTGTTACATTTCTGAATTTGTTTTGCCTCTTGTTTTGTTTTGTTATTATTTGAGGGACCCTCGTATACTTTTCTGTCACATTTATGAGTGTCTTAAGTACTTTAAGGCTGTTGTATTTGATTAATTGTAACCATGAGACATTATTTAGTAAATTCATCCTTATTGTTTAGGATTCATAAATCACAGGTATGTATGTACATGATGGCAAAGTTTTCAGGAAGTGATAACTTCTCCATCCCAATCAGCCACAAAAAATTGCAATAGTAAATATAGAAAAAATTCCTCACAATCAAAATAACTTAAGTGAGATGAATCCTAATCACAACTCCTCGTATTTAACCAACATCTGAGCATAATTATATTTTAAAAAAAGACGCATTCAACATAGGCATAATCCCTAATCACTAGATTATTAGAAAAGTATGCAGATCAAGATGCAAAGTCTTACATGTTGCATTGATCATGACCTAATTTACATAAAACGAAAGTGAAAGTAAGAGTGAATTCAAAAATGAAAGTATGAAAATGATAGAATTAAATCATAAGGAATAAAAATTTAACCAAGAAAACGTGCCGGAGCATTAAGAACAAAAGAATAATTCTGTCATCAAGTCATAACAAGTTATAGCATGAGCATTCCAATAAGCTAAATCTGTCCAAGCCATATTATCAAACACTCGATCGGCATCATAACGCATATTCCAACTTTTGCTGTACTGTTTCTGTTGTCAGATGGACTCTAGCGTGTTAACCCGTTAAAGGGTCTAATTCAATTTTTTAATATTATATAATTTTGTTTCTATAACACTTGTTGGTCTTTCATTGAGCCACGTCATCTGATTCGTACACCCACACCTTTGGCGCCACTTCTTCCTTCCCTGGTTCTCTTTTCTTCCTCTAATTTATTTTTTCCCTTTTGTCTTTTCCTTTCCATCCTCTGTCCATCCATGGCGGACAAACTCTTGACCGCCTCCAATGGCGTTGTTCCCGAGCCCCCTCCACCATTCGAGTGGCGCCGAGCTCCGTACCTTCAAAATGGCGACCGGTTTTGGGACAAAGTCACCACTCATCTCGACGACTTCAACTCTAACCCACCCACCAACACAGACACCGACACCAAACCCTTACTGTTGGAACCTGAAATGGAGGTGGGCGAGACCACCGCTGATGATTTTCCAGCTTCTTCCATTCCTCGTCTTTTGATTGAACGAGGTGATTTCCCATACTCCTTGGTGGAATACACACATGCTACTCCTACCCTTCAATCGGACTGGCTCATTTGGTCCATACATATTCTCAGCAGTAAGGGTTATTGTGATATTCTCAGGAGAGCTAATATCCTTCAATCTGTTTGTCTTGATCCAGCTAGCCTAGATGTGCTCCTTTCAAGGTGGAGTTGCGAGACTCACACCTTTGTGGCTGCTTGGGGTGAGTTCGCGCCCTCTTTGGAAGATGTCTATGTATTATTCCGTCTTCCCGTGTTAGGATCAGCTGATTCTGATCTTTCCGTGGTTTCGGAAGAGGAACGGGAAATAGTTGATGCCTTGCGCAGCGCCGCCACAGAGGCGGCACAACGGGGCTCAAGCTCTGTTCATCTAGATTCGCCTCCTCCATGTTCGTCAAAATGCCCAACTTATTCCCAGTGGTATAGACACTTTTTCCGAAATTATGAACCTGCTTCTAATGGGATTGAGATTGGTTCTGCCCAACATCCTCGTAGAAGTGTCACAGGGCCTGAGTATGGAAAAAGTTATGAGCTAGCTGCATTCTTATCCTACTGGCTAGACCAGTTTATTTTTGAAGGAAAACCCGAAGATGGCATTAACGAGAGAGTGTTCCCTTTGGCTGCGGCTCTCTCTTGTGGCCGCGCATTGCCTCTTGCCCCCATGTTTCTGGGGACTTTATACTACAGGTTGGATATGCTGAAGGAAGATTGGGCTCGATCTCTCGGTCGGTATGAAGTGACCACTTATGTTTCTTGCTCATTCTTGACTTTGTTTTTGTATGAGCGCTTCCCGCTCTACGCTCCCAAAACCCTCTGTATAAAAACTGAAAAAGACCAGTGTCAAGACTATAGTCGTGCAATGAAGTGGACTTGCCTCATGACTTCCCGAAACTTGGCTGACTATATTGATGGATTTGAAAACTTCTGTGCCCGTCCATATGTTTTTGAGCAAAATGGCATTGTTTGTGGGGGTGCTGAAGATGTTGTGACAGTGCTGAAGGATGACTTCAACATCAGCACTCTAATATTCATTGCAATTGTGTCCCAACGTGCTCTTCCCTACATAACTGAAACGGGAGAGGGAGCAATCGCATACAACCCTTATAGGATTGCTCGCCAATTTGGATATGACCAAGGTGTACCAGGGATTACCAATTGCCAAGGATCATATACTTCCAGCTGCGAGCTTGCCGTTCATCAGTGTTCTAGCTTCACTATTCCCTCAGGCAAACGCGAAGGTAGGTACACTCTACGCTTTCGCAAGTATTGGGCTAGCATTTTGAAGAAGTTGTTTGCCTTCCCTTCTGGCTCTCCTCAACCATTGGAACCGGTACCCATTTTGGAAGATGATATTTCCTTGAAAGCTCCCAAAAAGCGACCAGATGTAACAGCTGGCGGCTTAAGCCGTTTTGCAAAAGCCATGACCACCGCCACTGCTTCAGCATCTCAAAAAACATATCAGGGACATAGGTATGCCACAAGTTGCGGCAAAAGACAACCTCCATTGATCAACTTAAGGCCATGCAAGTCCATGAAGAGCATGAGAACGGTATTTGTTAATTTTCCCTTTTCGCCATCTTTGTTGGGTAATCATTTGTGTTTATTTTTAACTACTTACTCTAGTTTCTGCTTATAGCTCTCCAAAACCAATTCGGATTTTGGCTCTTCGCTTGATCATGGTGCTGATGAAGATCCTGTCTCTCCACCTGTTTCTCCTAGTCGTCTTGAAGTTGATGAGTTTACTGACACTGCTAATATCACCAACAAGTCACCTTCAGAGAGCGAGCAACAAGTGAGGTCAGCTGAATCGCAGCGCTTGAGGCTCCTTGATGACATACTAAGAAGTCAGCTTGTGGTATGTCATGACAGCATACCTGTTGCTTGGCTCCTTTCTCCGAGTGGTTCAAGACAATTATTCAAACTATGTGCGGATTATGAAAAGAGGGATATATCTGTTACCAAAGGTGTGTATGCGAATGATGTTGTTGAGAAGGAGGTTGCATCTCCTAACCCCGTCGAGATCAGGGATGGTGCTGATGGTAGGCACTTAAATTCGGAGGACATCAAATTGAACCTACCAGAAGCTGAAAGTATAGATGTAGCCTCTGCTTCAGTTTCATCTTCAGGTTCTTCAGTAGCAAAGACCAGTCTTTCGCTGCCCCTTCCTCCACCTCGAGAGGAGAATATTGGCCCTGATGAATTAGTGCAATGGCAGGGATATAAATGTAGCTTCCGAAGCATTTCATACCTTGATTGTATATCTCACAAACACCGCAAGACTTTTGATAATTTTAGAGTGAAAAGTGCCCATTTTCAGGGAATGTTCTTGGATGCCCTTGCCAGTCTCATTAAATCTTTGGCAGGAAAAAGGTTTAGCCAAATTACTATCGACGAAATCAATGTTGCTAGAGATCTAATGATGGATTGGAAATCCTCAGCGGGGTTGGATCTGTCATGGCTCGAGCAGAGGTACGCAGATGCTAATGCTAGACTTGCGGTTCATGGACTTAACCAAGAATCTGCACATATTTTGTTAGAATTACAACAGACTGATAAAAAAGTTACGGATCTCCGTCATGATTTGGCGGTAGAGGAGGCAAAAGCTGCTTCTCTTAGAGCTAGGTGTGATGAGCTGGCCCAGAATCTCTCTTCTCAGCAAGCTATTATTGACCCTACCCTTAGCTTTGAAGATGAAATTTTAAAAGACTTATTGATTGATCGTTCACACCCAGAAAATTTCCCTATCCTGACCAGCCAGTAATTTGATTCCACATCACATCTCTCTTCAACTTCTTGGCCCCTTTTGGCCTTTCCCAGGACTTGCAGCCCTCTTGTTTTTTATGAACTTTGAGAGCTATAAGGGCAATGCTGTGAAAGAATGAGTGTGTGTTTCAACGGCATATACGTATGTTAACTTATGATACAAATGGCTAGGAAACTTAGAAGCAATGTAACTAGCTCACTTGCATTTACTTATAATAGAAATGGCTCATTTGCAGCTCTTTTGCAATGTGTTTTGTGTTTGTATATACAACTTGTGATGTGTTCCTTGGTAACTTTTTCCTTTCTATGATCCATCTAAATTGGTTTAGGTTGAGTTTGCATCAACCAAGTTGACAACCATGTTGATTGGTTGAGTGTTTCTTTTGTATACCTGCAAAGTGGTAAAATAGTTTGCAAATTCATTTGAAGTGAATCATATATGTAACACAACTAGGATGAAAGGAAATAATACTTTAGTTATTATAGGAAATTATAATGGAATGCTCAACACCAAATTGACACCAGTATTTGAGAACTAAAAGTGTTTTTTATGTACTTGCTTCATGTCAGAACCTCAAACTGATTCTGCATCTCTCAATCTATTCGTAAGCCTAACAAAAATCAAAATTTAATCACAAGAAAAATATGGCACATAATTTTTAAGTATAGGCTCACACTAAAAGAAGTATAGCACAAGCATTTTATAACAATCCTAAAGGATTAGTGCTTTTAGCATATGATTGCATCTCTAGAGAGTGATCAACTCAAATGACTCCAAGCTAACTGGGCACCTCAGACATGGTAACTGCTGATCTGCCTGTGCTGTTTGTGAGTTGAAAGGGGCTCCTCTTCCAATTGATGGTAGGTATTACTGTCAACCCTTCAAGTATTTGATAAATTTGACTCCCACCAGCTGATAAATTTAGTAACCCCAGCTATACAGAAGATTGAAAGTTCAAGGGTTGCTCTTAGCTCCTAGTTCTTCGAAGGCACCTAAAGATTGTGTGACTCCTCTTAGAACTCCTCTAAGGCACCTAAAGATTATTTGTTGTCAAGTTCATTATATTGGTGGACAAAGCCATAGCAACTTTGCTTCAGTGTTTTCATACTGTGATTACATCTACGGAACTGACAAGGTTACTATGCAATTAGTTTTATGGCTATACCTATTTATAGTTTCTGTTTTAACTCAGAACTAATAATTCTGTAATGTAATAATGCTTCTTTGATTTTTACTCATCTGGGCTACAGGTATCAAAAGAGGCTCCTATGGCAGGTCAGTTATTTTTCATTTTCATTTGTATCAGAGTTGTTCGACAGCTTGATTGAAACTTTTTTTCTTATTTATTCTATAAACGTGTAGGGCATCTATTCAATATATAGGTCAACCAGAGGCTGATTGAATTATTATAGCTGGTTGAAACTTTATTAATATTATTTTTTAATAATTTGGGTGATCAATAGTGAATAGTGGGAACTCAGAAGTTTTATGAAGTTGGATTTTCACATCTTTTGATTGGTTGTTTTGGTTATGAGACCTATGTTATTGCTAAAAAAATGTTTATTTAGTTGGTTACATGTGATGCTGGGAAGAAGGCAACTCAGGTCTTCTGTCTAAATTTTGATTTATTATGTGGCAGTGATCCACCAAGTTCTATTTCTTGTATCCCTTATGGGTTAGTTTGTTCTCACCATTTCCTGTTGGTGTAATTCAGTTGAAAGATGAATCAAAGAGCAATGGACAGCAAAATGGATGCTCATACATCTCTGCTAGAGATATTAAATATGACTAGCTGAGGAACTTCTGGACTTTGGAGTGACATTTACTTCTTCTGGTATGCTCCTAAATAGTGACGACTCTGTGGAACCTTTTGTTCAAGTTAACGATGTCTGTTGTTCTCACTATGCTAGTCTGGTAAATTAGAAACTCTTAGTGCTTCAGATGAGGATTAACCAGGAGTTTATTAGAATTACAATCTTATGTACTTTGAGGGGAGGATGTTAAATATTTTGCCAAGATAACCTGAACTTCTGTTTTTTGACAGTATGTTCAAATTAGTATCTTATAAATTTTGGCTCATCAATTTTGGATGTGAATTTCATGATGAGTTTCTATCTGCATCTCGAGTTCTAGATTGAAATTGTTGATGGTCCTGTTGTGGTTTTGTACTTTAGACCAGTTTCATTCTCAAATTTTAAGACATTAATATAGAATATTGTGTGAAACAAGCTGTAGAAAGAAATAAAGGGACTCTTATATTCTTACCAAACTGTTCAGCTCGGATTTCATATAGCTTGTGGGTGTGAATTTTAGGAATTCTAGTGTTGTAGCTTTAAGTTCAATGGTCAACACATCATGTTTTTTTAAAAAAACTGAAAAATGTAAGTCTTTGTTCAGGTTTAGTTTACAGGTATGGACTTTTTTATTTTAGTTGATGGATATAACTGTAGAATTTGGCACCACGGTAAGTGTTAAAAGGGAAATAACCTAAGCAATAACGATTTTTTTATTAGCTTTGCTGTTGTATTTGTTAAAAAATTACCTTTTCTTCCTTGTTTAACATGGGGAATTCACATACTTCTTAGATGCCTTTACCAAATCATTTACTTTTCAAACCTGCTCAGCCATAGATTCTACATTTTGCTTATGATAAAATCTATTATATTTTAAAATGGATGAATTTCTTTTGGCAAGGTAAGAGGACTGTCACCAATGAGCACTAGCCTGGATAGTTATAATTCTCTTTCCCATAGAAAGGTAAGGCGATGGTCCATGTCTCATTATTGTGTTTTTTGCTTCTTTCATAAGTCAATACCTGTAACTAATGCTCATATGTCTACATCTCATGCTCATATTTCTAAATCTCATTAGTACCTTATTATGAGGTTCTCTTTAACACAAGTCCATCGTCAGTTAAGTTTTGCTATTAAAGTTTCATAGACCATGGTACATCATTTAGATGCATATTGTATTGTTGTCTATTTATCAAGCTATACTTGGTGTTTCACTGTTGTTTTCGGATTTCAACTGTTATTAAGGTTGAGCAGAGGATCACTCTTTGATAGAGGAGAGGATCCAGGCTATGTTTGCACCTTTCAGGGCTAATTGTTGAGTTTGAGTTTTATTGTTGACCTTTCTTATTTTTGTTGTGTACATACTTTAGTTTTGATTCGAAAATTAGAATTCTAATAAACTGTGTGAGTACTTTAGTTTTGTTCCGGAAATTAGAATTCTTATAAATTGTATACAAGTAAAATTTTTACAATCCCTTCAATTATTGTACTTCTTTTAGAAACTGATTTGATTTAAATTCAGATTTATTTATTTATGTTTTGTGAAAAACAAATTAGTTGCTACGAAATTGGATTGTAGCATAAGTCAATATATTTGTAGGCATTTGTTAAAGAGAATCGCTACGTCCTACTATTGTAGCAAATCGCTTATCATTTGCTACAAAATGAAATTGTAGTATCTAGAATTAGATTTGAAGCGATTGACTTTCTGCTACTCCACCTTTTGCAAATTTTTTTTTCTCTAGAAAGTTTTGTAGCAGAAAACCTAATTTGTTGCAGTAACTCCAACTATGGTGTGTCTTTTTCCTCTACCCTATTTTCTGTTCCTAGAATCCATTTCCTGTATGTTCCTCCAACTGGGGATTTTTGTTATACATGCTAATTTAGTTTTTTTGGGTAAATTACATTGACGTTTCCCATAGAAAGTCTAAATAATAGGGACCTCCCCTGTGTTTAAAAGATAACATTGACCTCTCTTGTAAGTGTTGTCAGTTTATCGAAGATGTGAAATGACAATTACATCCATTATACTTTTACCATTACAACATATGGACATAAATGTCTTTTCAAGCGTTCTAGGGACAAAATTGAGTTTTCAAATTTTCTGGCATGGCATCAGCAAACAACACTGACCGATTTTATAACAAGAGAGGCGAGTATTACTCTGACCAGAACTACAGGGGAGGTCAATGTTATTTTTGAAAGTATAAGGGAGGTCCCCGTTATTTAGGCATTCTACAAGGGAGGTCAGTGTAATTTACCCTAATTTCTTTTCTCCCCTGCAGGCATGTGTGAATGGGATCGCAAAGCACAATCCCTTAACAACACCTAGTTCAGTAAATAGGAGGTTACTGGTTAAATTTTTATCTAAATCCATAGAAAAGAAGTCTCAGGTTTCAAACTAATGGTGCATGTGTTTATCAAATTCTCTCACTAATATAAGGATAGAACACCACTTGATCCCTCATTCTCACAAAGCAAAACGACTGGACCAAGATGGCACATCCTCTCTTTAGTGTAAGTAGCTTTGTAACTTTATATTATCAAAAATTAATTGTTCAGAGGTTCACTTGGTGGAGCACTAAAGTAACTATGATATAGGATGATCCAGTCAACATAAGAGAACTACTTTGAATATACACATCAATGTCTTAGTTCACCACACACACAATTGGTAAGAAATCAGAACTCTGTATCTTTAAGGATCTGCCTAGGAGGCATACTAAACTCCTGAAATCAAATACATTATAATTAGCATATAAACATTTCCCTGAACTTCTCTTGTATCATTTGTGCATAACAATGAGAACAAGCTTCGAAAGATTTCTATGTGCATATTTTATCCAACTCTTTCCCCCTGAAAACAAGATTTGAATTGAACATTTCTTTAAGTCTATTATGGCAGCCATATGTGCCACACACTAAGAAGGGGCTCTGAGTTGCTATATGACCAAAAATTCACCTTCGAAGAGTGAGCAACAGGCAAGGGCAGCTGAATCGCAGCTCTTGAGGCTCCTTGATAACATACTAAAAACTCAGCTTCCGGTATGTCTTGACAACAAACCTGCTGCTTGGTTCCTTTCAGAGGGTGCTTCAAGACAATTAGTCAAACTCTTTGCCGATGATGAAAAGAGGGATCTATTTGATGCCATTGGTGGATGCGTGGATGATGTTCTTGAGGTGTGATCAGAGATAGTGCTGGTGATAGGCACTTAAACTCGGAGGACATTAACTTGAACCTGCCAGAGGCTGAAAATGTAAATGCAGCACCCGCTTCAGTTTCATCAACAGGTTCAGTACCCAAAACCAGTCTTGTGTCACCCCTTTTTCCACCTCAAGAGGAGAACAGTTGCCCTGCCAAATTAGTGCAGTGGCGCGGTTATAAATGTAGCTTCCGAAGCATTTCATACCATGATTGCATATTTCACAAACACCCCAAGACTTTCGATGATTTTAGATTGAAAAGTGCACATTTTCAGGGGATGTTCTAGGATGCCCTCACAGGTCTAATCAATTCTTTGGCAGAAAAAAGGATTATTCAAATTACTACCTACGATATCAATGTTGCAAGAGATTTAATGATGGGTTGGAAATCCTCGGCTGGGTTGGATCTATAATGGCTCGAGCAGAGGTATGCAGATGCACTAGACTTGCAGTCCTTGGACTTAACAAAACATCTGCAAAGATTTTGTCAGAATTGCAAGAGACTGATAAGTATGTTATGGATCTCCATCGCAGTTTGGCGGTAGAGGAGGCAAAAGCTGCTTCTCTTAGAGCCAAATGCAAGCAGTTGGCCCAGAATATTTCTCAGCAAGCTCTTATTGACACTACTCCTGGTTTTGAAGATGAAAATTTTGAAAGACTTATTGACTGATTGTTGACACCCGGTGGGGATTTAGAGTCCACAACCTGTGAAATGACCAAATAGTAATTTGATACCACATCACATGGCCTCTGCAGCTTTTGGGTCTCTTATGGCCTTTCACTGGACTTGCAGCCCTCTCTTTTTTTATGAGCCTTTGAAAGCTACAAGGGCAATGAATGGTGACGGAATGAATGTGTGCTTTGATGGCATATAAGTATGTTATGATGGACATGGTTAGTATAATTAGAAGCAATGTAGCTAGCTCATTTAAAGCTCTTTTGTAATGTATTTTGTGTGTGTAAACAACTTGTGATGTGTTCCATGAATACAGTTTCTAAATCCAACTTCTTAACGCCCCTCATGTTGTTTGGCTCATCTTTATAAGCTTTTGCTCTCTCTCTCTCTCTCTCTCTCTCTCTCTCTCTCTCTGGATGGCTTAATCAATAATTGGAGTCTTTTGATTTGGTAAATTTAGGTTTGTGCGTTTATAATTGTACCTTGTAACTTATTTCTTCAATATTATTTTCATAACTGTTATAGCCTATTCTAGTTATTCTGATTGAGCTGAGAGCAGCTCAGATTTGATTTTTGTTCTTGAGGTAGTCAGGTGTGATATAGGTTTTCTTTTTCATGGTTTTAGCACTTGTTTTGTCATTTGTTTTTTTCGCTGCTTCATCTCTCTTGTTTATTTTCAAGCATGAATTATCAAGATTATAGTTTGTCGTTTGTGAATTTAGGGTTGATTGTGAACTACAATTTGAATCTAAATGCATCCTTCCGAAATTTCAGTGGAATTCAGTCAATTTGAGATTTATAATTTTTAGTTATTCTCTGAATTTAGCTAAACCTTTGAATAATTTCAGAGAAGCATGCATGAGTCTTGTCTGAGATTCTTATTTAATGCCTTTGTCCCTTAATAGAATACTAACCTAGGAGTGTTCGGGTCTCTTTACTTTAGGCTCTGCAAGTTAGCATTTTCTTCCTCTGTTTTATTACTTGTGTTACTGGTTCTTGGTGAGGAATGGGGATTATGTGAGCCACTGGTTCTTCTTTATTTTCATTACCTATCAAAATGAAGGGGAATAAGGATTCTTGGTGAGGAATGGGGATTATGTTCTTGATGTTGCACTATAACCATAAGTGATATGATATTTTGATATTGTTCTTCTCTATTTGTGTTGCTAATGTCTTTCACTGCTCTTCAAATTCTCTTCAGGTAAATTCTCTTAGTGTCTGATTGTTCAATGTATCAGGATGGCACTTTTTTCAAGTCTGTTTAGTGTATAATGTTGCTTATTAGTATCACTTCATGCTTGCAGTTGCAGATGACATAATGAATGATGGAAACCAAGTTGAGTTGGTTGTAGACCAATTTGGCAAGTTGTATCAGTAATAATGCTTGCAGATGTCATCCTTCATTGTATCAGTTCATGCAAGGAATTTTCTTCTCCTCCCTGCATACTTAAATGGTTGCCGGAAATGGTTGCAAAATTTGGTGGCATTCTTGGATGCAAGTCATCATCTTTGATGGCATTACTAGGTTCGGTACTTATTATTTTTCTTGTACATGCTCAGATTTTATATGATCAGCCTTGTAAAAGTTCAATAATTCAATAGTTATTATTATCTCTTAGGTCCATACTAGTACATGTTCAGAAATTTATCTTCCTCCTTGTTTCAGGGGAGGTATGCCTCTTTAAAGCCTTGTACATGTTCAATACTTAATAATTATCTTTTATCAATTCCATATTTGAGTTTTAGAATCTTATTGCTCTTTTTTTCCTTTCTTCATTTTGAGCAGCCCCAAATTTTTTTATTTTTATTTTTAAAAAACACTGATATATGATAAGTATTGGAGGATTTCTTCCAATCAATAATAGAGCAAAGATCAATTATTGGTAGTTATGATTTTTTTGTTAATAGACAAGCAAAAGTGGAACCAAGGGTAGGTGAAGTTGGGCTGAAGCCCATCCCTTTTTTTTTTACCGTTCTACTTTAAGCCCAGCCCCAAAAAAAAAAAAAAATTAAATTAGTAATAGTAGCCCACACCAAGTAAGTCCAATCCAAAGTTAGCCCACCCCATTCAGAAATGCTAGATCCGCGGCAAGTATCGACAAACATTATTATGGAGAAGTCATCATAGTTAAACTCATGTAAATTCAAACATGATACCTACCTATTGTATTTGTGTCTCTATGGTGCAATTTGAGCTTTACCGGAGCTTATTTTTTGTAATAAAATCATTGCAAGTTCGCAACGTCCTTCTCTCGTTTGCTCTCACCTTCAATTACATTACAAACTATAAATTGAAAGATGTGAGAAATTTTGCTCCATTTTTTTTCTTCTTCCTGTAAATGGTAAATTGAGAAAATTGCTCTAATGTTAAAATTTAAATGGTAAAGGGAGGTAATTACATGTTTTGCAAATGCAAATTTTTAGGGTAACAAAAATATTCTCTAGTTTTTTTTTTAAAGTATGTTTAATGTTACCAAACAATTTTTTATTTTTCATTTTTTTGTTTTTTTATTGTGTTCAATTTTTTTCAAACAGTTTAATGTTAACAAACAATGTTCTCTCTAGTATTTTTGTTCTATCAAACAATGTTTTTGTTTTTCAAGAGATGTTTAAGTGATTTTTGTTATACATGTACATTTAATTGAACTGACCCTGTAGTACATTGTGAAAATGCATTATTTTTTTCTTGGCGTGACGAATATTATAAATTTATATGAAAAAATTATAAATATATATTGGTGACAAAACACAGCTGGGAATATAAGGGTCCCACCGCAAATATTTTGGCTATATCAGCAGATATACAGTGTACTCAACACAGTTGGCGACACTACCATTTCCTCTCCTGGTCTCCACTCTTCTCTATACTTTCTTTTTTCTCCTTGCCCTTTAATTCCACCCTCTGTCCGTCCATGCCGGAGAAACTCCTGACTGACTCCGATGGTCTTATTCCTGAGCCCCCTCCGCCATCGGAGTGGCGCCGAGCACCATACCTTGAAGATGGCGACCAATTTTGGGACAAAGTCACCATTTATCCCGAATCCTCAAACCCACCCATCAACACAGACACCAAACCCCTACTGTTGGAACCTGAAATAGAGGTAAGCGAGACAGCTGATGAATTGCCAGCTTCTTCCATTCCCCGTCTTTTGATTGAACGAGGAGATTTCCCATACTCGTTTGTCCAATACGGCAGTCATACAGATTGTGATTGGATGATCTGGTCCCTACATATTCTCAACAATGATCGTTATAGTCACATCCTCAAAAGGGCTAATATACTTCGCTCGCTACGCCTTTGTCCATTTTTGACAGTCCAGCTTGATCAACCAAGCTTAGCTGTGCTCCTTTCGAGGTGGAGTTGCGAGACTCACACCTTTGTGGCGTCTTGGGGTGAGTTCGCGCCTTCTTTGGAAGATATCTCTGTATTACTCCATCTTCCCGTCTTCGGCGCAGCTGATTCTGATCTATCCATGGTATCCGAAGAGGACCAGGAAATAGTTGTTGCCTTGCGTAGCGCCGCCATAGAGGCGGCACAATGTGGCTCACGCTATCAAGGCTCTGTTCTTCTCGATTCGCCTCCTCCATGTTCGTCGAAATACCCGACTTATGCCCAGTGGTATAGGCATTTTTTCCGAGATTATGAACCAATTTCTAATCTGATGGGGTCGGCTCAACTTTTCCGTGAAAGTGTCACAGGACCTGAGTTTGGAAAACGTTATGAGCTAGCGGGCTTTTTATCTTACTGGTTAGACAGGTTTATTTTTGAAGGCAAACCTGAAGGTGGCATCAACGAGCGAGTGTTCCCTTTGGCCGCGGCTCTGTCTCGCGGCTGCGCGTTGCCTCTTGCACCAATGTTTTTAGGTACTTTATACTACAGGTTGGACATGTTGAAGCGAGATTGGGCTCGATCCCTCGGTCGCTATGAAGTCACTACTTTTGTTTCTTGCTCATTCTTGACTTTGTTTTTGTATAAGCGCTTCCCAAACTATGCGCCCAAAACCCTTTGTGAAAAAGCTGGAAATGGACATTCTCAAGACTATAGTCACCCAATGTGGTGGGCATACCTCATGACTTCCAGTTACTTGAGTGACTATATTGATGAATTTGAAAACTTCTGTGCCCGCCCATATGTTGTTGAGCAAAATGGCATTCTTTATGGGGGTCCTGAAGAATTTGTGGCGGTGCTGAAGGATGACTTTAACATCAACACTTTAATATTCATTGCAATTGTGTCAAAATGTGCTCTTCCCTACATAACTGAGACCGGAGAGGGAGCAATCGCGTACAACCCTTGTAGGACTGCTCGCCAATTCGGATATGACCAAGGTGTACCAGGGCCTACCAATTGCCAAGGATCATATACTTCCAGCTGCGCTAGATTTAGTAGCAGTCGCAAACTCACCCTTCATCAGTATCCTGCTAGCTTCATTATTCCCTCAGGCAAACGTGAAGGTAGCTACACTCCACGCTTTCACAAGTATTGGGCTAACATTTTGAAGTTGTTGTTTGCCTTCCCTTTTGGCTCTCCTCAACCATTGGAACCAGTACCTATATTGGAAGATGATATTTCCTTGAAGGCTCCCAAAAAGCGACCGGATGTAACACGTGGCGGCTTAAGCCGTTTTGCAGTATCTAGGACCACCAAAACTGCTTCAGCAGCTCAAATAACATATCAGGAACATAGGTCTGCGAGCAAAAGGCAACATCCATTGATCAACTTAGGGCCATCCAAGTGCACGAAGCGCATGGGAATGGTACTAGTTAATTTTCCCTTTTCACTATTTTTGTCAGCTAATCATTTGTGTTTGTTTTTAACTACTTTAGTTCCTGCTTATAGCTCTCCAAAACCAATTCGGAGTTTGGCTCTTCGCTTGATCGTGCTGATGAAACTCCAGTCTCTCCACCTGTTTCTCCTAGCCATCTTGAAGTGGACGAGTTTACTGACACGGCTAATATCACCAAGAAGTCACCTTCAGATAGCGAGCAACAGGGGAGGTCAGCTGAATCGCAGGGCTTGAGGCACTTTGATAACTTACCTGTTGATTGTCTCCTTTCTCCGAATGGTTTCATACTCCGCGTGGATTATGAAAAGAGGGATCTATCTGCTGCCAAAGGTTGGTGTGCGGATGATGTTGCTGAGCAGGAGGTTGCAGCTCCTGACCCGGTCGAGATCAGAGATAGTGCTGGTGATAGGCATTTAAATTCGGAGGACATCAAATTAAACCTACCAGAAGCTGAAAGTATAAATGTAGCCCCTGCTTCAGTTTCATCTGCAGGTGCTTCAGTACCCAAGACCAGTCTTGCGCTGCCCCTTCCTCCTCCTCGAGAGGAGAACATTGGCCCTGATGGATTAGTGCAATGGCTCAGCTATAAATGTAGCTTCCGAAGCATTCCATACCTTGATTGCGTATTTCAGAAATACCCCAAGACATTTGATGATTTTAGAGTTAAAAGTGCACATTTTCAGGGGATGTTCTTGGATGCCCTCGGCGGTCTCATCAAATCTTTGGCAGGAAAAAGGTTTAGCCAAATTACTACTGAGGATATCAATGTTGCTAGAGATCTAATGTTGGATTGGAAATCTTCAGCGGGGTTAAATCTATCATGGCTCGAGCAGAGGTACGCAGATGCTAATGCTAGACTTGCTGTCCGTGACCTTAACCAAGAATCTGCACAGATTTTGTTGGAATTGCAAGAGACTGACGAGTATGTTATGGATCTCCGTCTCGATTTGGCGGTAGAGGAGGCAAAAGCTGCTTCTCTTAGAGCTAGATGCAAGGAGTTATCCCAGAATATCTCTTCTCAGCGGGCTATTATTGACCCTACTCTTAGTTTTGAAGATGAAATTTTGAAAGACTTGATTGACTGATTATTCACACCCGTAAAACTTCAACTCTAACCTGACCAAGTAGTAATTTGATATATATTGCATACCTCTTCAACTTCTGGGTCATTTGGGCCTTTCCCGGGACTTGCAACTCTCTCGTTCTTGATAAGCTTTGAGAGCTAAAAGGGCGACGAATGGTGACAGAATGAATGTGTGTTTCGACGGCATGTATGTCAACTTATGATAGAAATGGCAAGGAAACTTAGAAGCAATGTAGCTAGCTCACTTACAGCTCTTTTGTAATGTGTTTTGTGTCTGTATAAACAACTAGTGATGTGCTCCATGAATGCAGTGTCTCTATCCAACAACTGATAACCTTTTCCTTTCTGGTTTAGGTTTGAGTTTGCATCAACCAAGCTGACAACCATGTTGTTTGGTTGGGTGTTTCTTTTGCGTACCTGCAAAGTGGTAAAATAGATTGCAAATTCATTGGAAGTGAATCATATATAACTCAACTAGGATGACAGGAAATAATCCTTTCGTTATTATTGGAAATTATAATGGAATGTTGCCACTAGTACTGAGAACTAAAAGTGTTTTTTTTATATACTTGCTTCATGTCAGAACCTCAAACCAATTCCGCATCTCTCAATCTATTCTTGAGCCTCTTAACTAAAATAGAAATTAAATCACCAGAAAAATATGGCACATAATTTCCATGTATAGGCTCACACTGAAGTATACCACAAGCATTCTATTGCAATCCTAAAGGATTAGTGCTCTGAAAGTGATCCCAATCAAATGGCTCCAACCTAACCGGGGCACCTTGAACATGTTCAGAAATTTGTAACCCGGCCCGTTTTGTCCCTAATGGGATAGGTATGACAACGCTTTTTGAAACCGAATCGGAACCGAACCAGTTTCACGATTCCGGTTCGTGTTTTCTTTTTAAATTTAATGACTCTAAACCCATTCTTAATACATTTTGATATATAATATTATACATTAGAACATACTTTTATTAAATATATCTCTTTGTATGTACAATAGACATATATATATTAATAATTATATAATTAAAAATATGATATTTATAATTATTATACGGTTCTGGAGTCTCCGAAATCGAAATCGTTCTCAACGATTCCTAAAAATTAAAATCAGAGTCTCCGAAATCGAAATCGTTCTCAACGATTCCTAAAAATTAAAATCAGAATTGAACCCGCGGCTTCGATTTCAATTTTGATTCTGATTTGGTTTGATTCCATCCGTTCTTTGTGCCCTCCCAGGAGATAAAATAAGAATATAGTTTTATTTCCTCTATAAAAAGTTAAAACTGAGGTGATTCATTGCTGTGTGACAGTGTGTGAGTGACACTGGACATTGTTTGCATAAATGCTTTAAATAAAATTTTACAATGAGTTTGTATGGGACCGAAATGCGGATATGAAATCCTATTAATGGAATTTAACGGGATGTGATGGGTTTAGCATACCTACCGTCGTCATCCCTACTTCAAATACAACTGGGAATTAAAAAATTATTTATTTATTTATTTAAAAAATATATATATAAGACTCGAACAAATATTATATATGCCTATATATTGCGAGTATGATTGAAGCTCACGTAGGGTATCCCAATCCTATATATATATATATATGCCTATATAAATAGATACTCAAGCACTTCGCGCCACTTCCTCCTACTCTACTCTCTTACTCTCTCCTCTGTATTTCTCTTTTGTTCTGCTTCCTTGTTCCTTTTGCCTTTCCACCCTCTGTCCGTTCATGCCGGAAAAAAGTCCTGACTGCCTCCGATGGTCTTGTTCTCGAGACCCCTCCGCCATCGGAGTGGCGCCGAGCTCCATACCTTGAAATCGGCGACCAATTTTGGGACAAAGTCACCACTTATCCCGACTCCTCTAAATCTAACCCACCCACCAATACGGACACCAAATACTTACTGTTGGAAACTGAAATAGAGGTGAGCGAGACCACCGATCATTTGACAGCTTCTTCCATTCCGCGTCTTTTGATTGAAAGAGGAGATTTCCCATACTCCTCTGTCCAATACACAAGCACTACTCATACGAATCGAGGATCAGATTGGCTATTTTGGTCCACATACATTCTCGGCAATAAGCATTATTGTGACCTTCTCACCAGGGCTAATATCCTTCAATCGATTCGCCTTTTTCAATTTTTGACGGTTTTGCTTGATCCAGAAAGCCTAGCTGTGCTCCTTTCGAGGTGGAGTTCGCTCCTTCTTTGGAACATGTCTCTGTATTATTCCATCTTCCAATGTCCTGCTCAGCTGATTCTGATCTTTCCGTTGTATCGGAAGAGGGCCAGGAAATTGTTGATGCCTTGCATAGCGCCTCCATAGAGGCGGCACAATGGGACTCAAGCTCTGTGGTATAGCCTTTTTTCCTCCTCCATGTCCGTCAAAATACCCAACTTATGCCCAGTGGTATAGCCTTTTTTCCCCTAGAAGTGTCACAGGGGGTCAGTATGGAAAACGTTATGAGCTAGCAGGCTTCTTATGTTACTGGTTAGACAGGTTTATTTTTGAAGGCAAATCTGAAGGTGGCATTAACGAGAGAGTGTTCCCTTTGGCCGCGGTTTTCTCTCGTGGCCACCAATTGCCTCTTGCCCCTATGTTCTTAGGTACTCTGTACTACAAGCTGGATATGCTGAAGGAAGATTGGGCTCGTTCTCTCGGTTGTTATGAAGTGACTACTTATGCTTCTTGCTCATTCTTGACATTGTTTTTGTACGAACACTCCAAGTCCCAAAATCTTTAGTGAAAAAGATGAAAATGGCCAGGCTCAAGATTGTAGTCATGCAATGAGATGGACCTACCTCATGACTTGCTGTAACTTTGGTGACTACATTGATGAATTTGAAAACTTTTGTGCCCGTCCATATGTTGTGAAGCACAACGGCATTGTTTTTCCAGCTTTTTGTGGGGGCCCAGAAGATGCTGTGGCAGTGTTGAAGTATGACTTCAACATCAACACCTTCATGTTCGTTACAACTGTGTACAAGTGTGCTCTTCCCTACATAACTGAGACTGGAGAGGGAGCAATCGCCTACAACCCTTGTAGGATTGCTCGCCAATTTGGTTATGACCAAGGTGTACCAGGGCCTTCAAGCTGCGCTAGATTTAGCAGTCATGAACTCGCACTCCGTCAATATTCTGCAAGCTTCACTATTCCCTCAGCTAAAACGCCAAGGTAGGTACACTCAACGCTTTCGGGACTATTGGGTTAACATTTTGAAGTTGTTCTGTGCCTTCCGTTCTAGCTCTCCTCAACCATTGGAACCAGTCCCTATTTTCGAAGATGATATTTCCTTGACAGCTCCCAAAAAGCGCCCAAGTGCAGCCTGTGGCAGCTTAAGCCGTTTTGCAGTGGCCACCACCACTGCTGTGGCAGTGCCTTCAAAACCTCAGAACCATGCCACAAGTAACACCAAAAGGCAACCTCCATTAAGTAACCTATCCACACCCAACTCAAAGCGCATGAGAATGGTATTAATTATTTTCCCTTTTCACCATTTTTGTAGGCTTATAGTTTGTGTTTCTTTTTAACTACTTACTCAAGTTCCTGCTTGTAGCTCTCTGAATTATGGCTTGATCACTGTTCTGATGAAGCTCCTGCGTCTCCACCGGTTTCTCCTAGCCGTCTCGAAGGTGACTTCAAGATGGCTAGCAGAGCTCTTGGCACTCTTTCTGACGATGAGTTCTTTGACTGTAATAAACCAAATATTTAGAATTTTAATTTATATTTATTTTATTATTTTTAATTATCAAAATTAATTATTTAATTATAATTGAAAACTTAGTTAAATGTAATTTCACATATATTGTGTTTAGCTTATATTTATAAAGATTGATTTTGAATTATTCATATTTTGTTTTGTGTTAGTTTTAGTAAAAGAAAGATTCTCGTATAAGAATAAGGAAAAGAAGGGAGCAAAGATTCGTTGAAGGTGGAGAATAATTGGAAAGAAAAAAAAAAAAGTAGTAGGAAAATGGGGCAGGTTGGCCGAAAGTAAAGGGTAAGTATGTAAGAAAGAAAAAGAATTAAGGAAAAGTAAAGAAAGAAATGGTGTGGGGACCCAGTAAATATTTTGTTCAAATGAGATGATATTGTCTGACATCTAATGGAGGCCTGATGGTGAGCGGTAGTGAGATATTGTGTCGGTGGATTTGCCTTTATATATTATTATCTGTTTGGTGACTTTGGTGAGGAAACCGAGAGGGAAAGTCAGAAAACTAGGGAAGTACAGAGAGGAGTCCGAGAGAAGACAGAGTTTGAAGCTTGGATGATATGATTTGGGGTTGCTTCAAATAATTTTTATTAAATGTTTTGATTTAAATGTATATGTATTTTGTTTATATATTCAAATGAATATGTATAGTTTGTGAAGTTGTTTTGTTAAATTTTTATGAAATTCTTGTCAGGCTATTTTTACTTAGACTTTTTGTCTTGCCATCATTCAATTTTAGGTACTGAAAATGAACGTGAATTGTTAGTTTTGAATTTAGGGGGAAGAGCTGGCATTGCCAATTTATTTTATTTATTTAGAGATTTTATATATATATATATTTGAGGAACTGATTTTTGTATAAATCAAGGGTATTGTCCTTGCGATCCTGGCAGTATATTAATGTATTTGTAATTTGATGAGATGAATATTTTACTAAGATTTTTGGGTCTTACCAACAACTCACCGTCAAAGAGTGAGCAACAGGGGAGGGCACCTGAATCGGAACCTGAATTGGCACGTGAATCGGAATCTGAATTGGCACGTGAATCGGAACACTTGAGGCTCGTTGATGATATACTAAGAAGTCAGCTTCGAGTATGTCATGACAACATACCTGTTGCTTGGCTCCTTTCTAGAAGTGCTTCTAGACAATTACTCGAACTCCATAAGAGGGATCTATCTGCTGCCAAATATGGGTGTGCGGATGATGTTATTAAGGAGGAGGTTGCATCTCCTAATGTCGTCGAGATCAGAGATAGTGCTGGTGATAGCCACTTGGACTTGGACTTGAGCCTGCCGGAAGATGGAAATGTAAATGTAGCCCCGGCTTCAACTTCATCAGCAGGTGTTTCAGTACCCAACACCAGTCTCATGCCACCCCTTCCTCCACCTCGGGAGGAGAACATTGGCCCTGACAAATTAGTGCAGTGGCGCAGTTATGAATGTAGCTTCCAAAACATTCCATATCTTGATGACATATTTCACAAACACCCCAAGACTTTTGAAGCTTTTAAAGTGAAAAGTGCACATTTTCAAGCGACATTCTTGGATGCCCTCGCAAGTCTGATCAAATCTTTGGCAGGAAAAAGGATTAGCCAAATTACAACCAACGATATCAATGTTGCTAGAGATCTAATGATGGATTGGAAATCCATGGCGGGGTTGGATCTATCATGGCTCGAGCAGAGGTACGCAGATGCCAATGCTAGACTTGCAGTCCATGGACTTAACCAAGAATCTGCACAGATTTTGTTAGAATTGCAACATTCTGATAAATATGTTATGGATCTCCGTCGCGATTTAGTGGTAGAGGAGGCAAAAGCTGCTTCTCTTAGAGCAAGGTGTGAGGAGTTGGCCGAGAATATCTCTTCTCAGCAAGCTCTTATTGATCCTACTCTTAGTTTTGAAGATGAAATTTTGAAAGACTTATTGACTGAACATTCACACCCGGAAAACTTCAACTCTACCCTAAGCAACTAGTTTTTTGATATGACATCGCATATCTCTTCAACTTTTAGGCCCCTTTTGGCCTTTCCTGGGACTTGCAGCCCATTCGTTTTTGTGTGTTTCGATGGCATATAAGCAATGTTAGTGTATGATAGAAATGGCTTGGAAACTTAGAAGCAGTGTAGCTAGCTCACTCACAGCTCTTTTGTAATGTATTTTGTGTGTGTATAAACAACTTGTGATGTGTTCCATGAATCCAGTGTCTTGATCCAACAACTGAGAACACCCCATGATAACTTTTTGCTTTCAATGATCTAGCTAAACTGATTTAGGTTGAGTTTGCATCGACTTGTTTGGTTGAGTGTTTCTTTTGCACACCTGCAAAGTGGTAAAATAGATTACAAATTTATTTGAAGGGAATCATAAATAACACAACTAGGGTTGAAGGAAATAATCCTTTAGTTGTTATAGGAGATTATAATGGAATGCTCAACACTAATTTGGCTTCAAGCTAACTGTTTGTGTTTCTCTTTAACTACTTACTCCAGTTCCTGCTTGTAGCTCTCTGAATCATGGCTTGATCACTGTGCTGATGAACCTCCTGCGTCTCCACCGGTTTCTCCTAGCCGTCTTGAAGGTGTGACTTCAAGATGGCTAGCAGAGCTCTTGGCACTCTTTCTGACCACAAGTTCTTAGGCTGTAAGAATTCCAATTTTTAGAATTTTAATTTATATTTATTTCATTATTTTTAGTTGTCAAAATTGATTATTTAATCAGAAATTGAGATACGTTGTGTTTAGCTTATTCTCGTATATATAAAGGTTGATTTTAAGTTATTGGTATTTTGTCTTTTAGTGATTGTTTTAATAAAAGAAAAAATATATAAAAATAAGGCAAAAGAAAGGAGTAAAGATTCGTGAAAACAAAAAAAAAAAAAAAAGAAGAAAAGAAAAGAAAAGAAAAAGAAAAAGTAAAGATGACACACACTAGATGATTTTTTGGCCAAAATCCTTTGCTTTTGGCTGATGTGCGAGAACAATGGGGTTTGCTACATTTTGTCTTTTTATGTTTGTTTTTTTAGTGGGATTCATTTATATAGAATTTGGTTTTTGTTACATATTATATATGGAAAAAATTACATATAAATGGAATCAAAGTTTCATATTTGTTTAGAGGCTGAGTCAAAGTTTCATATTTCTCTCAAATGGATTGCTGAGGCGGTACATGATTTTTTACTGTTTATAAATTGTGGTGCCTAAAATACCCTTCCGCGAAGGTACTACTTTTTCTTCGAAGGTACTACTTTTTTAAATTGAAGGTACTACTTTTTGGCGTCCAGGTACCATGTTTTTTAAACACCCGCGAAGGTACTACTTTTTCTCCGAAGGTACTACTTTTTTGCACTGAAGGTACTACTTTTTTGTTAGTGAAGGGTATTTTTGGCACCACAATTTTTTAAACAGTAAAAAACCATGTGCCACCTCAGCAATCCATTTTAGAGAAATATAAAACTTTGATTCCATTTATATGTAATTTTTCCTTTTTTATATATATATATATATATATATATATATATGCGTGTGTGTGCGCGCGCGCGTAATGTTTGATGGGTGAGATGGTGGTGCACGTGGAAGACAAAGGAATGAATGAGGAGACTGGGCAGGTTGGCCGAAAGTAAAGGGAAAGTATGTAAGAAAGAAAAAGAATTAAGGAAAAGTAAAGGAAGAAATGGTGGCGGGACCCAGTAAATATATTGTCTAGCCTGATGGTGAGCAGTAGTGAGATATTGTGTCCGTGAATTTGCCTTTATATATTAATATCTGTTTTGTGACTTCGGTGAGGAAACAGAGAGGGAAAGTCAGAAAATTAGAGAAGTACTGTATAGAGAGGAGTCCAAGAGAAGACAGAGAGGGTTGAGAGTTTGAAGCTTGGATGGTCCAGTGAGGAAATTATTTTTTGGTGTAGGTTTCTCAACATCTTGAATGGTTTGGGGGTGATTTTACTTCAAATAATTTTAATTAAATGTTTTGATTTAAATGCATATGTGTTTTATTTATATATTCACATGAACGTGTATAATTTGTGAAGCCTGTTTGTTAAACTTTCATGAAATTTTTGTCATGATTTTTCTTACTAGACTTTTTGTCTCACTACCCTCGGGTTTCAGGTACCAAAATGAACGTGAATTGCTAGTTTCAGATGTTGTAGGCGGAAGAGTTTGTGTTACGGATTTATTTTATTTATTTAGAGATTTTTTTATATATATTTGAGGAACTGATTTTTATATAAATCAAGGGTATTGTCTTTATGATCCTGGGAGATATTGATGTATTTGTGATTTGATGAGATGAAAACTGCTAATATTACCTGCAACTCATCTTCAAAGAGTGAGCAACAGGGGAGGGCACCTGAATTGGAACGATTGAGGCTCCTTGATAATATACTAAGCAGTCAGCTTCTAGTATGTCATGACAACAAACCTGTTGCTTGGCTCCTTTCTGAAAGTGCTTCTGGACTATTACTCGAAGTCCTTGCAGATGATGAAAAGAGGGATGTATCTGCTGCCAAATATGGGTGTGCGGATGATGTTATTAAGGAGGAGGTTGCATCTCCTAACCTCGTCGAGATCAGAGATAGTGCTGGTGATAGCCACTTAAACTTGGACTTGAGCATGCCGGAAGATAAAAATGTAAATGTAGCCCCGGCTTCAACTTCATCAGCAGGTGTTTCAGTACCCAACACCAGTCTCACGCTAGCCCTTCCTCCACCTCGAGAGGAGAACATTGGGCCTGACAAATTAGTGCAGTGGCGCAGTTATCAATGTAGCTTCCAAAGCATTCCATATCTTGATGACATATTTCACAAACACCCCAAGACTTTTGAAGCTTTTAGAGTGAAAAGTGCACATTTTCAAGGGATATTCTTGGATGCCCTCGCAAGTCTTATCAAATCTTTGGCAGGAAAAAGGATTAGCCAAATTACAACCAACGATATCAATGTTGCTAGAGATCTAATGATGGATTGGAAATCCATGGCGGGGTTGGATCTATCATGGCTCGAGCAGAGGTACGCAGATGCCAATGCTAGACTTGCAGTCCATGGACTTAACCAAGAATCTGCACAGATTTTGTTAGAATTGCAACATACTGATAAATATGTTATGGATCTCCGTCGTGATTTGGCGGTAGAGGAGGCAAAAGCTGCTTCTCTTAGAGCAAGGTGCGAAGAGTTGGCTGAGAATATCTCTTCTCAGCAAGCTCTTGTTGATCCAACTCTTAGTTTTGAAGATGAAATTTTGAAAGACTTATTGACTGAACATTCACACCCGGAAAACTTCAACTCTACCCTAAGCAACTAGTTTTTTGATATGACATCGCATATCTCTTCAACTTTTAGGCCCCTTTTGGCCTTTCCTGGGACTTGCAGCCCATTCGTTTTTGTGTGTTTCGATGGCATATAAGCAATGTTAATGTATGATAGAAATGGCTTGGAAACTTAGAAGCAGTGTAGCTAGCTCACTCACAGCTCTTTTGTAATGTATTTTGTGTGTGTATAAACAACTTGTGATGTGTTCCATGAATCCAGTTTCTTGATCCAACAACTGAGAACACCCCATGATAACTTTTTGCTTTCTATGATCTAGCTAAACTGATTTAGGTTGAGTTTGCATCAACTTGTTTGGTTGAGTGTTTCTTTTGCATACCTGCAAAGTGGTAAAATAGATTACAAATTTATTTGAAGGGAATCATATATAACACAACTAGGATTGAAGGAAATAATCCTTTAGTTGTTATAGGAGATTATAATGGAATGCTCAACACTAATTTGACACTAGTTCCTGCGAACTAAAAGAGTTTTTTATATACTTGCTTCATGTCGGATCCTCAAACCAATTCCGCATCTCTCAATCTATTCTTGAGCCTCTAACTAAAATAGAAATTTAATCACAAGAAAAATCTGGCACATAATTTCCAAGTGTAGGCTCATGCTGAAAGATGTATATCACAAGCATTTTATAACAATCCTAAAGGATTAGTGTTCTGAGCAAATCTAGAGAATGATCTCAATCAAATGGCTTCAAGCTAACTGGGGCAGCTTGGAAATGATAGCTGCTGATCTGCCTGTGCTGTTTGCGAGTTGAAAGGTGCTCCTCTTCCAATCGATAATAGGTACTACTTTCAATTCTTCAAGTATCTGATAAATTTGACTCCTGCCTAAGAATCTGATAAATTTAGTCCCCCGGCAATACAGAAGATTGAAAGTTCAAGGGTTGCTCCTAGTTCTTCAAAGGCACCTAAAGATTGTGTGACTCCTCTAAGGCACCCAAAGATTATTTGTTGTCAAAGTTCATTATGTTGGTGGACAAAGCCAGAGCAACTTTGCCGGTGTTCATGTACTATGATCACATCCATGGAACTGGCAAGGTTACTATGCGATTAGTTTTATGACTATAGTATTTATAGTTTCTGTTGTAACTCAGAACTAATATTTCTGTAATGTAATAATGCTTCTTTGATTTTTACTCATCAGGGCTACAGATATCAAAAGAGGCTCCTTTGGCAGGTGAGTTATTTGTCTTTGTCATTTGTATTAGAGTTGTTTGACAGCTTGATTGAAACGTTTTTTTTCTTATTTTCTTCTATAAATATGTAGGACATCCATTCAATATATAGGTCAGCCAGATTGAATTATTTTAGCCGGTTGAAACTTTAATTATATATATATATATATTACTTGGGAGAATAATGGTGAACAGTAGGAACTTTTAAGAAGTTGGATTTTCACATCTTTTGATTGGTTGATTTGGTTATGAGACCTCTTTTATTGCTAAAAATTATTTATATATTTGGTCACATGTGATGCTGGGAAGAAGGCAGCTCATGTCTTCTGTCTCAATTTTGATTTATTATGTGGCAGTGATCCCCCAAGTTCGATTTCCTGCATCCTTTACGAGTTAGTTTGTTCTCACCATGTCTTGTTGGTATAATTCAGTTGAAAGATGAATCAAAGAGAAATGGACAGCAAAATGGAGGCTCATACATCTCTACTACAGTTATTAAATATGAGTAGCTGAGGAGCTTCTGGACTTTGGACTGACAATTGTTTCTTCTGGTATGCTTCTAAACAATGACAATTCTGTGAACTTTTTGTTCAACTTGACGATGTCTGTTGTTCTCAGTATGCTAGTCTAGTAAATTAGACCTCTTAGTGCTTCAGATGGGGATTAACCAGGAGTTTCTTAGAATTGCGATCTTATGTAGTTTGAGGGGAGGGTGTTAAATATTGTGCTTGATTTAGAACCTGAACTTCTGTTTTTTGACAGTATGTTCAAATTAGTATCTGATAAATTTTGGCTTAAAATGTTGAATGTGAATTTCAAGATGAGCTTCTATCTGCATCTCTAGATTGAAATTGTTGACATTCATGTTGTAGTTTTGTACTTTAGACCAGTTTCATTCTCAAATTTCAAGGCATTCATATAGAATATTGTGCAAAACAAGCTGTAGAAATAAATCAAGGGACTCTTATATTTTTACCAAACTATTCATATATTAGGATCATCACTTGTGGGTGTGAATTTTTGGATAAATTCTAGTCTTGTAGGTTTAAGTTCAATGGTCAACACTGATTTTTTTTCTTTTTAAAACTGAAAAATGTGAGTCTTTGTTCAGGTTTAGTTTACAGGTATGAAAATTTTCATTTTCAAAATTTCCAAGGTGATGGATATAACTGTAGAATTTGGCGCAATGGTAAGTGTTAAAAGAGAAATAACGTAAGCAATATTGATGTCTTTATTAGTTTTTCTGTTGTATTTGTTAATAAATTGCTTTTTTCTTCCTTGTTTAAGATGGGGAATTTGCATACTTCTAAGATGCCTTTACCAAATAATTTACGGTTCAAACCTGCTTGGCCATAGATTCTACATTTTGTTTATAATAAAATCTATTTTATTCTAAAATGGATGAATTTCTTTTGGCAAGGTAAGAGGACGGTCACCAATAGGCACTAGCCTATGGTATAAGCTCTCCTCCCCAAAGAAGAGGTCGTGTGTTCAAGCTCCGGGGAAAAATATAGTGCGTGTGTGTGCAGAAGGGGAAAAAAAAAGATGTAATAAGACGGAAATTAGACTTCTTATAAACTGTATAAAAGTAGGAATTTTTACAAGCCTTCCAATCATTGTTCTCCTTTTGGAAATTGCATTGATTTAAATTTATTATTTATTTTTTTTTTTTTTGGTGTGAAAACAAATTTTTTCTACAAAATTGGATTGTAACACATATAGTAGGCAATTGTTAAGAGAATTCCTAATTTTGTAGCAAGTAGCTTAATTTTGTAGCAAATGACTTATCCTTTGCTACAAAATGAAATTTTAGTAAATAGAATTAGATTTCCTACAAAACTCAAAATTTGTAGCGATTTAACTTTCTGCTATGTCACCTTCCGCCGCAACTTGGTGACAAAATTATTTTGTCATCTTTTGCTATGAGAAAACCTAATTTGTTGCAGTAACTCCAATTATGGTGTGTCTTTTTCCTCTGCCCTGTTTTCTGTTCCCGAAATCCATTTGCTACTTGTTCCTCCAACTGGGGATTTTTGTTATGCATGCTAAATAGTTTCTTTTCTCACCTGCAGGCATCTGTGGATGGGGGTGACAATGCACAATCCTTTAACAAAACCTAGTTCAGAAAATAGGAGGTAACTGGTTTAAAATATTCGTTGAAGAATCTATTGAAAAGAAGTTTCAGGTTTCAAACTAATGGTGCATTGTGTTTATTAAATTATCTCACTGATATAAACATATTTTGTCACATCTACACCTGAAGGGATATCACACTGCTTGATCCCTCATTCTCACAAAGCAAAACAACTGGCACATCCTATCTGCAGTGTAAGTAGCTTTGTAACATTCTATTATAAAAAATTGTTCAGTTAATTAATTATATATCTACTAGGCTGTGGTATCACATGATTTTGCCCTCAATACTGTCAGAAGCTTGAATATAAATTCAATGCGAATGAGGGACGAAAACTGCATATGTAAAGAAAATTCAAGGTTTTAGTTGAATTGCCAATCCAGAGCATTAATCTCTCCCTTTTTACTGTACAAACCTAAGCCAGTGAACAACTAGGCTCCACCTATAACACAACATTGTTTCATTTGCGTAGGAGAAAGCAGAAACAGAAATTAGAAAATTGCGTCAAACTTCCTGCTTCAAAGCACGGCCACTGCCTGACTTTTACGAGGACAAGGAAACACCAAAGAATCAGATAAAGAAGGTAGCTCTATCTATCATGTAAAATCAAATTGTTGTCTGCTCTGCTTATGTTACACTGATTTGACAAGTATAGTGTCTTCAACAATAACAGAGATCCAGAGAAAAATTGCAAAATAGTCCACGTCACAAATGTCAGCACCAAGCCTTTAGCTTCATAGAAAACTGTTCTCTTTGATTCCCTACTTTTCAGTAAGGCATGCTAGGTATTGAGGGTGGCCATTCTAAACCCTCTTACAATCACCTGATCCATCAATCTTCCATTCTAAAATATTGTTTGGTCTTTTCTCTTGGAATTTTCAGGATTTCTGGCACGCCCGCCATTCCACTAGCACAAAAATATTTTGTAGCCAAACACCAGCAATGTAGTACCCCGATCAATGGTTAATTGTTAATTCCTATAATTAAGAAAATTATACTAGCACAAAAATATTAATTGATTGAGGTGTATTCCATATTTTCCCCCCTTTTGTACTCAAAAATATACTATGTTTATTAAGAAATTTTTTAAATTTAAAGATGATTTAGGAAACACCTCTTTTTGGATTGACATTTTAAAGTGAATACTTATTTTAGGATAATTTAAAAAAAAAAAAAAAAACACTCCAACTTCTTACAATCATTTTTTCATAAATATGGGTTTACGGATTTTAAAATCAGAATCTTTTTCAATGTTATTTTGGTCCTTGTATTGTTCACTACAATGCAACAATTCAACATATATTATTTTTTGTTTTTAGGTATTCAAATAGAAAGAAAATTCTGTAAAGCTACCCCTATATGTTAAGATCATAAATTGGGATTGATGATCTATCATACTCAGAAGTTCTATCATAGTATACATGCCTATAATTTTCTTTAAGACTACCCCATGTGTCGCTACAAATATAATTTTCCTTACTGAACACTGCTATTTGTTGTCACATGATTTTTCACTCAATACTTCCAGAAACTTCAAGAGAAATTCAATACGAAGGAGGCACAAAAAGTGCAGATGCAAAAAAATTTCAAGGTTATAGTTAAATTTTCAATCCAGAGTATAAATTTCTCCCTTTTTACTGTACAAAACTAAGCCAGAGAAACTAGGCTCCACATTTAACACAAAATCGTATCGTTTGCGCAGGAGTATGCAGAAACAGAAATTAGAAAATTGCGTCAAACCTTGCTACAAAGTGCGGCCGCTGCCTTGACTTTTACAAGGACAAGGAAACACCAAAGAATCAGATAAAGAAGATAGCTCTATCCATCCAGTAACCTCAAATAGTTGTCTCCTCTGCTTAAGTTACACTATTCAACAAGTATAGTGTCTTCAACAATAATGGAGATCCAGATAAAATTTGCAATATAGTCTCACATCAGATTTTCTTATCCATTTGGATGTGCTCCAAATATCAGCACCAAGTGTTTAGCTTCATACAAAATTGTTCTTTTTCAATTCCCCACTTCCATTAGGGTACTCTAGTGTTGACCAGAAGCTTGAGCTATTAGAGAGGGTGTAACTTAAAAATCTATATCCTCCAACATCTAGGTGCCAATTCTGTTCTCAGTTGATAATTTCCCTGTATAAAGTCAATAAATCCGTTTATATACCCTCACATTTCTGGCACGCAAAATTCATATCTGAAACTTACGTTATCCTAGTGGCGGTCAGAATTATCATTGATGGTTTTTTTATGTTATTTCCTTCTTCTCGCAGAATCCATTGTCACAGCCTCAGTCACCCAAGCTAGGAAGAAAACCAAGTTCCAGCACAATGCAAAGCTCTCTGGCTTGCCAGACTTCTTCGTCCAATACCAGAGGCTCCAAGAATGCCATGAAAAAGAATAGTCGAATCCCAACTCATTCTCTCATGTCTACTTCACAGCCTAAAATGATTGTTTATGAGAGCACATCCCCAGATGTTCAGCATTGATCAACAAAAACAAGTGGTATTGCATTTCAGACTACATCTGAAAATTGTCAGCGCTGAAAGCTAAAAGCTACTATGACGAGTAAACAATGTGCAGGCTGAACTCCATTTAGTAGAATTCCCTCGAGAAAATCAGAGTGAAGTCATTGTTCACTACAAAAAAATTGGTATATGGTGGCAAAATTTTAGCAGCACTTACTAAAAACTTCTGTTAATAAAATATTTCTTACAGCACTTTTTAATAATTGCTGCATGACTGCCGTAGCATCACCTTTTTACTCTCTGCAAAATTTTATTTTTTTTCATTTTGCTCACAAATTCTGAACAACTCACTCTCGCTCCATTCTCAAAATCAATGATTCTCTCACTCCATTCACAAATTCTGAACTTTTCTCTCACTCCGTTCACAAATTCTGAACTCCTCACTCTCTCCCCATTCTCAAAATCAGCAATTCTCCCATTCCATTTACAAATTCTAAACTCCTCACTCTTGCTCCTTAAACTCTATTCGCCAAACCTTTCGTTTCAATGATGCAAACCTTTCATTTACATTTCAGAGAGAAATCGAAACCCTAGCTTCATACTGAAGTAGTAAGGAGTAGCCGCTCTCGAGCTTTGATCAGATATATGACGTATGTATGTGTACATATATATCCATATATATTTTATGCTTCCTTTCATGATTCTCTCCAGCATTTCACCCTGATAAAATCATATTTATGTAATCAATTATCAAACAGGATTTCAAGATCGGAATCACGCAGATCCAGTTGCTGCAATCGAACTTTAATGCCGAAACTAAGAAGTTCGAAGTGGTTGAGTTCACTGCTAACCGCCTCAAGTCAGGTCTGTACACCTGTTTGAATTTATTTTGCTACCTAGACTTGTCTAATTGCATGTGCTTTGTTATCTGTTTGCTTCATTTTTGTTGGAATTCATGCTTTACTTGGGGATTGATGTTAATATTGTACGAAACCCTAGCTTTCTAAGAGTTTGAAGCTGGTTTTAGAGCCCTGTTTCAATGTGAATATTGGAATCCTTGTTCTATATAAGTTATGGTTTGTGGCTACAGAACCATAATGTGAATATATATATATATATATTTTATTTTTCATAGTTTCTTACTGTTCGTGATTTTGATGAATTTGAGGATTTTCTAGGCTCAGGTACTTCAATGAGTAGTATCTCCAAACTTTTCATAATTTCTGATAAATTTCTGTTTTTCCTTTTTTTAGATTCACTAAAACTTTTTTTTTTTTCCTGTATTTTAGGAATAAAATTTTTTGTGATGATTTGATTTTCTTAATTTGTTGTTGTGCTGTCTAAATTTGATACCCTTGGGTTTCTTTGAATAGTTTCTTGCTTTCTGGATATTTGTAGAAAAGATTTTTCTGCTATCGTTGTCTGTAAAGTAATGTCAATGGTCACTGTTGTGTAAACAATGTCATCTGTAATTATTAGAATATATTTCTTGATCTTTCTGTTGCAATGTCTCGGCATTACGTCACTTTTATTGCAACTGTTCCACACTCTTGACATATTCAAACTAGCAAGTAAATTTTTTTTTTCCTAGTTGCCCCCGCTCCTCCTCCTCAAGGAATTGTTTTCACCCAAGATGATTCAACTTGAAAGTCAATTAGGCAAATGCTCATCCAGATTAGGGATAATTGTTGTTGTTATCACTACTACAACTACTGCATTGGGTATATATATTTTTATTATGGTCGAACTAATTAATTAACTATACATTGCGTTCAATCAAAATTAGAATTTCAATTTCATTTTTGTTTCTGTTTGTATTTCATATGTTATTTTGTTAACTTAATCTCTCAGTTCACTCCTAAGTTGCACAATCTCTGAATTTTTGTCACAAATTTGTATAACTTACTGATGTTCTTTCTCTCTCTGGATTGGAGGTTTTTGAATTTTTATTTCTTTGTGGTTTGGAAAAGGTTAATGTCTGATCAGCAACATTTTTGTGCATAGTCATCTTGAATTTTTCAGGCAAATTGACATTTCATGTGCAGAGTTATCTTTGGCTTTTGCATCTACCTGACCCTGTCATCAATATATTTCACAAATGTTCACTTAAGGTATTGAAATTGAAATGTTGATGTTATTCACTCTCTTGCATGTGCTTAAAAGTTCAAAGTGATGACCGGAAGAGGACAGGGGCTTACATCATTTTATTCATGGACAAAACCTCTGTTGGACTGCACTCGACAAAGATTTTCTTTATCACAAGGAGTGTATAATTATTAAACAATTAAACCATGATCAGCTAGTGAGGGAGATAAATACCAGATTATGTGTGTATATATATATATATATATATATATCCTCATTCTTAGAATAAGATTAATAAATTCTTGTTTATAACTTGCCAAAAGAACTGGCAGACATGGTTGGGAAATTAAAATGGGCTCATATCCCTATTATATGATTATTAAGCGTGGAAACTAAGCACTTGGTGTAAGATATCAAAGTTCTAATAGCCAACAAACTAATTGAAAGGTCAAAAGTTATCTAGTTTACTATTGAATATTTTTCATCAAATCAAGTGAGCTTGGTAAAGCTTTTTTAACACAAGTACTTAAAATCATGAGATGATATATTTTGAACAAAAAATTCAATATCATGATATATGATGAAGAATGGTCTCCTCATGTGTGTTAATTAGACAAAGTTAAGGAATTCACTATAATCGCTCATTACTTATGGTATGGGTCCTTCTCCATCAGATTTTTGGGGGCACAACACCTAGTCGTGTAAAGTCAATGAGGATGGCTTCAGAGGCTAGAAGGGCTTGTGAGGAAGAAGTGCGTGATTTGAAGGAGCAAATGCAAACAATGAAGCTACTGTAATTGAATTGCAGGGCCGGATGTATGGTAGAGATAACCTAAACCAACCAGCTGCTAATACTGAACAATATAGCACTCAAACTGATCCTATTAATACTCATCAGATAACTATATAGCAAAATGATAAATCTCAAAAGCTTCATTATCTTTTATCATTCAACTTAATCTCATTTTGTTGTAGGGCTGGATGGGTGGTGGACATAACCCACACCAAAAAACTGCTCCAACTGAAGAATATGCTGCTTGTTCTCTGCCATTGAAAAGACAGCAGATAATGAAAACTTCCCATCTAATATAGCAAGGAATAATGCCCCTCACCGATGTACAGGATTATTCATCAACTGTTATAATGCGTGAGAGCTTGAAACAAAAGAAACCCATCTGGTCCAAAAATATTTTAATGATTTAAAAATATTTGTTCTCTAGTTAACAAGTTTTTTCATTGCCTTCATTTTAACTTTGTGCTTTATGAATATTTTAATTTCTTTAACCAGAAAGGCATTCTCTTTGGATCTGAACTAAAGATATTGTAAGATCTGTTTGAACTTTTTTGAGTACTTTGGGTCATTTGCACATGCTTAACTTTCATTGCTAATGGTTGTGGATCCTAAGGTCAATAAAAGTAAGAAAATGTGTGTTTTTTATTCCCCTGAGAATATGGAAGAATATTGAGAGAAGGGAAGTTTTAACAATGTTGACTGGTAGATGCATTTAGTAATCAATTACAATATTCAACTAGGCAAACTAAGAAAAATATAGTCACTTCTTTACTCTGAGAATAGGACCAGAGTGAATGGGTGAAGCGCCTTCCTCTAAAAGGTGGTTGTGTAATTCTCCTAATCGACTACTTATCATCATAATGACTTACACACTCTTGAGACCAGACGACTACTTTACTTCATCGGCAATACTGTACTCTTGCTCATCTGGTACATCTCTATTATTGTTATAGTAGTGCATTAAGGAACGGTCAGTTTCTTAGTCTTACTGCCCCTTAAGCTGTGGTTAGATTGGTCTGCACAAATAGATGGTCAACGGGTAAATTGACCGTGACTTATTGCACTTCCTATCATGAAACCGAAAGTATCAAAATGTCATGATCTGATATATTTCACTTTGATTTAATCATATAGCTAATGTGACATGCATTAAATTTATCTCGAATTATGGTTATTAACTTGAATATTCGTTTTGTTTTTATAGGGGCATAAGTGAAGTTTTTTTGTTATGCCTAAAAAAGCCCGATGTCAAAGTAGCCCCGGATTTATTGTAAGGACCACATTCAAAAGTAAGGGGCATTGACTTGGGACCTCAAAATTGGGAAGTGATGCTGTGCCAATCATGCAAGAAGAACCAGTACATTTAGCTTCTACACATTTCAAAACTATTGAAGATATAGCTAGAGCTAGTGTTTCTTGGCCTTCTGCTTATGTAAGTATAACATTACATTATCTTCTTGTAGTAAAATCAAGGAATAAGGATTTTCTTGCTAAATGGGGTTAATTTGGAACAGAGGGGCTGAACCCAAAACCAATTGCAGATTGCTACAAAAGTGGACTTGATTTTTGGTTGATTTTGCATGCTCAACTGTAAGCGCATTGCATCGTGGTCCTGGAGAAGTTTTTGTGCAGCAAAGCCTCTTTTATCTAGAGGTTTAAGATGGAGGATTGGGAGTGGAAATAATATTAGAATTTGGGATGATAATTGGCTACCTTCTTCATCTGGTCAGCAGGTCACTTCTAGAAGGACTGATTTTTTAATCTGCGAACGGTTGCTGATCTTATAGATCAATCTGCACATTCATGGAGAATCGCTTTGATGAAGAAGCAATATAATTTTAGGGATCGTCAGCTTATTTTAAAAATTCCTGTGAGTCTTTTTCCTACTGAAGATTGTAAAACATGAGGACCAACGTCAAATGGTCATTTTTCAATAAAGTCTGCATACCAATTGGCCACGACTTTGATGCATTCAACTACTAAAAAGGTTGTTCAGGGTGGTTGTAGTTATGTTGCAGAGAGGAATTCCTTTGTGGAAGGATATCTGGAAGATAACAGTCCCAAGAAAGGTGATTTTTTTTCTATGGCAGTGTTGCCATGATAAATTGCCAGTCTTTGCAAATCCGAAGGTGAGAGGTTTGGTTGATGTTGAGGTTTGTAAAGTTTGTGGTCAGGCTGAAGAAACTACTGCTCATGTGGTGTTTGAATTTCGTATTGCTCAGTTTGTATGGAGACTTAGTCCTTTGAAATTGGTTGTTGATGCTCCTGGTTTCTGTTGGTTTCAAAAATGGAAGTGGCTGTTGGATCAATGGGTAGGAATGACTGAAGCTCCTAATTTAATTGCTCTGGCTTCTTTTTTAAGTTGGCAAATTTGGAAATCCCAAAACGGCTTGGTTTTTAATGGAGTTCTTTGTGATCCGGTTCAGATTATTAATAAAGCTCAGTTCTTCTTCCACAAGTTCTCTGAAGTGCTGAGGCAATTGAAGTTAGAGAAACTTCCTCAGGTCTCTGCTCTGGTTGTATCTCAGCAGTGGAGTGCTCCAATGGAAGGTCGGTTTAAAATGAATATTGATGCTGCTTATCATTGTCAGTCCCTTGAGTGGTGGAGGCATGATTTTGTGAGATCATTGGGGCAGGTTGATTGGAGTTGCTACAGTCTTTTATGAGGAAGTGTTTAGTGCCTGCTACTGCAGAGACTCTGGTGCTGCAAGAGTGTCTTCTTCTCCTCCTAAAATGGGGTTATAGAGATGTTGATGTCGAATGGAATAACCAGTCAGTGATGGGTTTACAAGCAGTGGATGCTGCAACTGAAACTCTAGTTGTGGATATGTCAGGTTTGGTCTCTTCAGTTATAGGCTGCATACTTGTTTGGGCTTCTAGATCCTCAAGTGGCATAGCTCATAAACTGGGCAAATTTGCTTTGCAAGAGAGAGTTGGGAATCTTCACTGGGATGAGAGTGGCCATCATGGCTTATTTCTCTTGCTTTCAGGTTTTTTTTTTTTTTTTTGGGGGGTGAATTTAATTGTTGCATGTTGTTTTTGAGTATTGGGTTAACATTTTGAAGAAGTTTATTGCCTTCACTTGGAGCTCGCCTCAACCACCAGACCCAGTCCCTATATTTGAAGATGACATTTCACTGAAAACTCCGGAAAAGCCCCCATATTTAGCCCGAGGGTGTTTAAGCCATTTTGCAGTAGCCAGGACCACCACCACTGCTACAACAGCTCAAAAGGGATATCAGCAACGTAGCTCTGTGGCTGCAAAGCCTCAGAAGCATGCCACAAGCTGCGGCAAAAGGCAACCTCCATTGATCAGCCCAAGGCCACCCAACTTGAAGCGCACGAGAATGGTATTTGTTAATCATTTGTGTTTGTTTATAATCCTCACTCTACTTCCTGCTTATAGCTCTCCAAAACTAGTTTAACCTTTTCACCATCTTTGTCTGCTAATCATTTGTGTTTTTTTATAACTACTTGCTCTACTTCCTGCTTGTAGCTCTCCAAAACCAATTCTGAGGTTGGCTCTACTGATGAAGCTCCTGTCTCTCCACCTGTTTCTCCTAGCCGTAGTGAAGTCGACGAGTCTACCAACACTGCTAATACCACCAAGAAGTGGGCAATTGAATCGCAGCAGGCTCCTAGATCTATCAGTAGGTACTTCAGCAGTAACCAACACCACTCTGGCACTGCCCCTTCCTCCACCTCTAGAGGAGAACATGGGCCGTGATGAATTAGTGCAGTGGCGTGGTTATAAATGCAGTGGCCGAAGCATTCCATATCTTGATCGCATATTTCACATGCACCCCAAGACTTTTGATGGTTTTAGAGTGGAAAGTGCATGTTTTCAGGGGATGTTCTTGGACGCCCTTGCGCATCTCATCAAATCTTTGGCAGGTAAAAGAATTAGCCAAATTACTACTGATGATATCAATGTGGCTAGAGGTCTAATGATGGATTGGAAATCCTTGGCCGGGTTGGATCTGTCATGGCTCGAGCAAAGGTTCGCAGATACTACAGCTAGACTTGAGGTCCATGGACTTAATCAAGAATCAGCACGAATTTCATCAAGATTGCAACGGGTGGAGGCAAAAGCTGCTTCTCTTATTAGAGCCAAGTGTGACAAGTTGGCCAAAAAAATCTCTTCTCAGCAAACCCTTATTGACCCTGCTCTTCGTTCTGAAGATGAAGTTTTGAAAGACTTGTTCACTGATATTTAGTGTGACCTTAGCTTCTGAGTCCTTTTGGCCTTTCCCGGGACTTGCAGCCCTCTCTTATTTGATGAGCCTTTGAGGGCTAAAAGGGCAATGAATGGTGATAGAATGTGTCTCAACAGTATACAAGTATGTTATGATGGACATGGCTGAGAAACTTAGAAGCAATGTAGCTAGCTCACTTGCAGCTCTTTCTTTTGTAATGTGTTTCGTTTGTGTATAAACAACTTGCGATGTGTTCCATGAATCAAATGTCTTAATCCAACCACTGAGAACATCCCATGATAACTTTTTCCTTTCTACTATGATGTAGCTAAACTGGTTAGGTTGAGTTTGCATCAACTAATCAGACAACCATTTGTCTGGTAGAGTTTTTTGGTTGTCTGGTTGAATTTTTCTTTTGCATACTGCCTCTCTCAATCCACTCTTGACCCTCTAAAATAGAAATTTAATACCAACAATAAGAATATGGCACATAATTTCCAAAAATAGACTTACACTGAATGAAGTTTGACACAAGCATTTTAAAACGATCTTAGCGTTCTGAGCAAAATGATTGCATCTCAAGAGATCTCAATCTAATGGCTCGAAACTGAGGCAGAGATCTTAGCGTTCTGAGCAAAATGATTGCATCTCAAGAGATCTCAATCTAATGGCTCGAAACTGAGGCAGAGATCTCAATCAAATGGCTCTGGCAGCTGCTGATCTGCCTGTGCCCTTTGCGAGTTGAAACCCTTTTAGTACTTGCTCTAGTAGGCTAATTCCAAGCAAATCTGCCCACTCAATAAATACAGGAGAATAATATGGCAAGACAGTGGCTATAGCCTACATGAGGGGAGGTAACTTGTATCTCATTTTAACATCATTAAACTCCACCAAGTAAACCCCCAATCATGCTCTCCTATTTTTACTACTAAAAGTTGATACACACAAGCTAATCATCTTGCATACGGAGTTAAAGGGAAGATGCTCATGTTTAATAAACACGGTTCAGGTCAATATAGACCTATTGACCAAAGCAGTTTATATAAAAATTATTGAAACAAAAAAAATATATCCCAAACTTTTTAAGTACAAGAAGATCTGAAAATGACCAAATACAATTGATGCAAACGTTATTAACTTCAGAAAATACTAGTTGTCCAAAATAATCCCTGAATAAGTCAATGCACATCATCATACTTCCAAAGACACTCAAATTTTAAGCTGAAGCTGCTTGATGTTGATAATTTCTTTTGCAGGGTTCAGTCCTTTAGGGCAGGCACGGGCACAATTCATTATTGTATGGCAACGGTATAGCTTGAACTCATCACATATCGCATCAAGGCGCTCCTTTGTATATTCATCACGACTATCCATTATCCATCTGCAATACAAACCAAAAAAAGAAGAAGAAAGAAACAGTATCAAATATACAGTTACTCATATCCGCAACTTGTGAAAATCCAAAGTTATATCCAAACAATTTTTTTAATAATCATAGACTAAATGTTCAGCTCCTTCTCTAACCCTTCAATTGATGTTACCACATGGAAATAATCAAAGAGAATCATGCTTATGATGGGAATCAATATAAAAACTAACAGGTATCCAACTGAAACAATGACTTTCAAAGTGCGAAAGTCCCAAGATGGTAATAAATCACAAAAAGAGTAGAGCCATTTGCAGAAGAGCAACAAACTAGATTGAAGGATGAATGCAATTGAAAATTAATTTTTTCCTAGGTAAGAAATTGATTTAGTTCCACCAAGTATAAAGACCTCAGGATATATGTATTGTGCACATCATGCATAATATAAACATTCAATACATCTGTACAACTTAGCTGCCAACTTGAAAGTGCGACTTCGGAAGGATAGCAGACTACCACAAGGGCCCATTACTTGTGAATCATCATCATCATTCTCTTAATTCTTTCTTGAACCTAAAAAGACATTCTTGCACCCTAAACCATTCTAATCTTCCTGTATTTTTACCATTCCTCACCAGAGTTACAGACATTATATAAAATAAATCAACAATAACTGGCATGAAATGGGATCAAAAGTCATAAAACTAAGCCCACACTATTCAAAGAAAACTGCCTTCTTGACAGCCTACTTCAAAATAGAAGTCCCTTCTTGCTCTAGTTGTGGATAACAGATTCTCATACTCGTGAATGATTATCATCATTCTCTTAATTCTTTCTTGAACCTAAAAAGACATTCTTGCACCCTAAACCATTCTAATCTCCACACGTCTATTTTCCATTCCTCACCAGAGAGTTACAGACATTATATAAAATAAAACTACAATAACTGGAACATGATATATTGGAATGAAATGGGCTAAAGACACAAGTCATACAATGGATAACAGATACCCATACTTGTGAATGATCATCATCATTCTCTTAATTCTTTCTTGAACCTAAAAAGACATTCTTGCACCCTAAACCATTCTAATCTCCACGTCTATTTTCCAATCCTCGCCACAGACTTACAGACATCATATAAAATAAAACAACAATAACTGGCACTTGATATATTGGAATGAAATGGAATAGAGACACAAGTCATACAAGTAAGCCCAAATATCTATTCAAATAAAACTGCTTTCTTGGCAGCCTACTTCAAAATATAAGTCCCTTCTTGCTCTAGTTGCGGATAACAGATTCCCCCCACTGGTCAACCTTTACCGATTGTAACAGAATTTGCCGTTGTCATCATTCAAGTTTCTTGTTTACTAGTTTTACACTCGCTCAAGTCAAAGAAAAATGGATATAGTATCCAACACAACTCAAATAAAGGAAATGCCCTCTTTCCAATGCTTTAATTCCCTTCTACTTTTAACTCTCTTAGAAGTGAAATGATTAATTTCTGGTGGAGTGGCAACGAGAAAGATTCCAAAATTAAGTGTGTTCGTTGGAAGAAAATGTATGATGGGAAGGAGATTGGGAGGCTGGGATTCAAAGATTTGGAGGCATTAAATTTAGCCTTGCAAGCTAAATTGGCCTGAGACTTGAACAAGGAGAGGACTCGATATTTTATAGATTTTCAAAAAAAATAATAATTTCCCAATTACATTTTTCTGGAATCTGCTTGCAAGACGTGGAAGTCAGCTTGAGCAGCTAAAATAATATTATAGAAGGGTTTAAAATAGAGAGTGGCTTCTGGGTATGAGGAGAAGATTTATGAAGATGAATGGCTCTCCAATAAGGAGAATTTCTGCATTACTTCAGTATGTTCTAATCCAAATATCCGGACAGTTGAAGATGAATGGCTCTACAATAGAGGAGTGGTGGTTGACACTATTTGCAAGGTTTGTGGTGTAGAGGAAGAATCATTAGTTCACCTTTACTGTAAATGTCCTGTGGCGCAATTGGTGTGGAGAACATGTCCCTTGAGAATTGATATGACCAAAGTTTTTGGAGTGTCCCGGAAGCAATTGTGGACTTACTAGGTTGACATTTGGGAAAGAGCTACTAATTCAAGGTAGCTTTTGATCTTGTGAGCCTTCATTCGTTGGCAACTATGGAAAGGAAGAAATGTTTTGATGTTCTAGGGTACTAAATGGGAACCTCAATTTATTATAGAGAAGGATGTTGCTAATTTCGATATGTATAATGAAATGTATTCTAAGGAAACGGAAGGGCTCTCATCTTCTACAGTTTCCTCTTCAGCTTCTGTTGGTTGGTTAGCAAGGTAAATGTGGATGCTGTGTTCAGTAAGGAAACCATGGAAGGTGGTGGTAGCTTTATTCTGAGGAATTGGAGTGGTCGGGCTATTAAAATTGCAACATTTTTTTCTGGAAGAATGTGGCTAATGCAGAGACTGCTGAAGTGCAAGGTGCTAAAGGCGTTTGTTGGGTTGAATCGCTTTAAGTTGATAGTTGAAGGTGATTGTCACTCTGTAACAACTTTGAAGGTGTCCAATGAGTGTGCCACTATTGTTATCGAAGATGTAGGGGTGCTGCTGGACAGATTTCCTGATAGTAAAACTTCATTGCGTTAATAGGACTAGCAACTCTACTGCTCATGCTTTGTGTAAATGGGCTTTGGAGCATAAAATGGGTGATGGTAGTTGGAATGTGTGGACAGTGGACTAGCTGACTTGTGAGCCTTACTAATTCTGATTGTATGGCTGTTTTGAATTACTAAATTTCATTTTGACAGGAAAAAAAAAAAAAAAAAAGTACCGCACACAACTTAAGGGACGCCTATAATTGGATATTAGATCTAATAATTAACAAGTGGGAGGGACATCTAATCAGCAGAGATTAATTCAAACCAGATTTAAGGAAAACTTATTGCTGTTAACAAGACCAATATGACATTCAGTAGATAGCCTTTCTATAAACATTAGGTAGAAGTTCATGAAAGAGTTCTCCGCTGTTTCCTCGGCTATTCATGTATCTAAACCATGGTGAATTGATTTGGGCAGGATGACGAGTGTGGCTGCATATCTTGGTATGATGATATCAAATATATATATCTTAAAATCTTATGAGAAGCAGAATGTTTAAAGTGACAAAATGTACATCCATGACCCACCTCCCCGAGTACCCGGACCCAGGTGCAGTAAGGTTATATGCACTGTTTTCTGTTTGACATTGGTACCTATTTCTCCTTTTTTTTAATCTCTCTTTTGGCAACACCACCTCACTAAATTTAATGCATCCATTGTTTTAAATGAACAGGCTAAAAAAAGTAGCAAAGGGCATTTCTAGTAAAGTTGTATTATGGTTTCCTATCCCTTCGTTAGACATGCCCAATTGAATATTTATGCATGATAATCATATATCAGACACAACTTTCACCCAAGTATCCACGTGACACTATGCCCCACACAAGTACTCCCATATATTTGGAAGTTTGTAGCAAATGCTTAACATGTATGAAGAAGAATGACAGACATAGAGCATGCATAAAGAACCATAATAATTTTTGTTTTGTACTTATACACTATACTTGTAATAGTATACTTGCAAAGTATAAAGGTAATGAAGTAGCATATATTTCCAGGTTAAGACAGCCAGGACACTTCCAATCCATGGTTTCCGGCATTTCGGCTGTTAACTTTCTATGCTTTCTTTACTATTTTTTGGTTAGCAGAGCATCAAAATTTTCAACCGGTATAGAAATGAAATATAAAAACTTTAATCTAGTGAATAAACTATTAATAAACTTTAAGCAAAGATGACATCTTGGTTTAAGGATATCAATCCATCTGTGCCATCAAATATGCATGCAACTGTGTATCTTCTTTAATTAATTTATACCTTAATTTATCCATTCAGCACAATCCAACTTGCCCCCACTTTTAAATATCACACATTTTTGCTTAAACTCGGAAGCAATTACCACGAGTCCTTTTATTTCATAACAATATTTTTTTCTTCGTGTCATTTATGTGTAATCACTAATCAGTAATGGAATATAGAGCCCGGAAGCTAGTCTCTTTAGACTTGCTTAATTTTTCGCAATGGTGATAGAGTGTTTTGCGATGGAGTATACGAGAACACATTTCTAAGATAGTAAGATGCTATTATTGACAATTTTAAGAAAATATGGAAGTACACAGCTATTTGGGCTTCTCTCGAACAAAAATTTTACTAAACAGTCTCAACTATTCTGCAGAATGCAATTATTACTATTTTTTAATTTCATAGAAGCTCTTTAGTCTTGTCTCTATCTTCTTCTTCTTCCTCCTTTTTTTTTTTTTTTTTTTTTTTTTTTTTGTGGGTAATTAAGCATTGAGAATTTCATTAACTTAAATAAAAGATAGTGCACAAGCTATAGAAAGGCACACCCTTCTATACATCTATTCCAGGGACTAAAGCTATACTCAAAATTTTGTTTAATAGTCCTACCTCAGATGAATCTCCTACTCATTGAGGACATAGTTATGTGCTGTTAAGGATGATCTATCAATCACATTAATAATTCAAACAACTGCAATTTGGAACCATTTTAGCATTTAATCCTCTTCTATCATAAACAAAAAGGGTAGACCCGTACACAAGACTCCCGCCACTACGGGGGCAGTCAAAAGACGTACGCAGCCTTATGAATCTTGATGTCCAACAAAAGATGGCCACAGTCAAAATCCCTCTCAATTTAACCCTCATCTCATTTCAATTTCAAAGCAAAATACCAAAAACCCTATGATTCAACACATAAACACAGCAAAGATTGTTTTTCAACCTAGTCCTATATCAGTTTTCCAACTTGGGACAAAGCAATCAAACATAAAGTATGTATTTCTGATGCTACAAGTGCAATGACTCTGAGGCACAAAGACATATAGATAGATTCTTCCATAAGAATTCAGTGGGGGTAGAGGACAATGCATAGGACAAAATGCACATGGTATGCACCCACCAACCTTTACAGAGACACCATCTACAAGTCCTTCAACAAACTACAACACCATCCTAAAATTAATTGCAACAATCCAATGTTTGTACTAAATAATTTTCATAAAGAATTTATTAAGTGGATATTTTTCGGTGTTTAATACTACTGCAAAGGTTAAATAACACCTGGCCTAGTGTCTGCGCCTACCATTACGCTAATATCATTAACAGAATCTGAATGTGCCAAACTTAACTTTTTATTACTGTAAGAATTTAATAAACTATATGCACATATTTGAGAGAATGGTTAGTTTCGAGATCGCATAATCTGAAGAATGGCTTCAATGTTTAGACACAAGGGTAAATCTATAAGAGCTACTATATTTACTTAACGTCAACCAGTCCTACAGCTTAAGACTGCCATAGCTCAGCCCCACATTTCACTTCCTATATTATTCATATTAATCATTGTTGTGATTTATATTCAGCACCCAATGCTCTTGGTAATTGCTTCCGGGTGCATCTACATATAAATGCATTATATATATAGATAGATAGAAAGAGTAAGAGGTTGGGAAAATTACCGATTGGCTTGGAGAAGAGCAGCGGGACCGAGATAAGACTCAGGGTTCCACCAATAACTGGGGCAGGATGTGCTACAGCAGGAGCACAGTATGCACTCGTACATCCCATCAAGCTTTGCCCTATCCTTCTTGGTCTGCAGATACTCCTTCCCAGTCGTAGACGGGTTCTTCCTCTTCAACCACGGCTCAATACTCTTGTACTGGTTGTAGAAATTCGTCATGTCCACCACCAGATCTTTGATCACGAACATGTGCGGCAACGGCGTCACCGTCGACGACGTCCCCGACGGGATCTTCGTCAGGCAAGCCAATCCATTACCGCCGTCGATGTTCATCGCGCAGGACCCGCAAATCCCCTCGCGGCACGATCGGCGGAAGGTGAGCGTAGGATCGATCTCGTTCTTGATCTTGATCAGAGCGTCGAGAACCATCGGACCACACTCCTTGAGGTTGATCTTGTAGTCCTGAAGCTCCGGTTTCGTCGGATTGTCCGGATTCCACCGGTAGATTTGGAAGGTCTTGAAGTTGGTGGCGGTTGTGGCCTTGGGCTCCACCTGTTGTGCTTGAGCCTCCGACGCGTTAGCTCGAGCCACCACCAGTTTCGCCGCCGGCGACGACTGAACGCTATATATTGCTCTCCGAACCAAACCAGTCGCCATTTTTGTGCTATGCGCCTAGATAGGGAAAGTGGATGAACAAATGAAAATATTAGAAACAACAGAGTAATGCGTATATAGAGAGAGAAAGTGGTGTTTTGAGCTGAGATGTCATATGGTGGGGGAAATGACGGAAATGGCTATAAATAGGGAGAGTGATTAACTAAATATGGCGTAAGGTTGAAGGGTAGTTTTGGGATTTGGGAATGAAATTAGAGGCTATAAATTGGTTTAGTTGGCATTTTATAAGCGTTGCGAATGTGTTGAAGACTGAGGGTGGGCGTGATGACGTGGCACGTTTTGAGCCGTTGGAGATAATTTAGGTAGCGTGGTCTGCTCGTGGAGATTCGACCTTGGCAACAGTCGCCGTCATAGTAAATACTATCCATCCGATATTTTTCAACCTGCCTAATTACAGTACTTATCTATATCTATATTTATATCTATCTATTATATACTATACTATATATATATTATGTATAAAAGGATATACTATTTTTATTAAATTACAAATTTTATAAGTGGGTTTCGATGATGGAGTCCGTTTAGATGATGATGGAGTATTAGTATAACACTTGATATTTCCAATATACATTTTTACATCATTAAATTTTAATTACGTAAAATTGAAATGAATCAAATTAGTAAGATTTTTACATCTTTTCCCATTGATACTACTGTAGTTTTCACTTCTGATACTACTGGATTTCCTTATATCTTGTTCTTTATTAGCTCTTGTTTAGTTATATATATATATATATATATATTTTTTGTTACCGTCTCATCCATATTTAGTGCCCTGTGCTTTTATAAAATTTCAATTGTAATACATAAAAAGGGTATATATATAGATGTTCTGTCTTTGCAATGTTAAAGAAATTCAAACATGAAAAATGCAAGAATATTAATGAATTGAAAATTAAAATTTTCTAAAAAAAAAAAAATTGATGTTTTCAACCAGGTCAAGAAAGCTATCATTATGTGCAACTTTTAGAGTTCTACAGCTTTGAACTCACCCTCTAACACTGAACAAGATTTATTAATGATAAGAATAAAGTAATATTTATAAGCATGTACAGATGATTTGAAAATTTGAGTACCTTCATTTAGTTTTAATTTTACATTGGAATTATAGAATTTTGGTGTACATTATTTACATAAGTGATAATCATTGCAGGAATCATAGCAGTTGAATTATACGGTATCGGTTGCGTCGGTAGTGGCAGCCCGATCTAATTTGGAGAGCGAAAAAAATAAAAAATAACTTTTTCAACAATATAAATAAAAGTAGTCACAACTCACAAACAAAATATATAAATATATATATATATATATACACAGATTTATTTTAACAAAAGTTAATAAAACTAAAATAAAATTAAAGAAAAAAATCATAGAAACTGATTTAGAAAATCCAAATTAAATACTCCTACAAAATTTTCAATATAATAAAAGTGCGTTCATAAGACCACTGTAAACTTGTAATAAGAGAGGGAGGAGAAGACTTGTTGGAAAAATAAAAATAAATATATGTAAAGTTTTCGTCACTTTCCCAAACAATAATGTTAAATACATATTTAATATTTTAACTTAACCATAAATTTTTTTATTGCTGCTATTAAAAAAAAAAAACATGAATGAGGGAGAAAGAAAGAGGGAAAAAAATTATTTAATGATACAAATTTTTAGGCTCAATATTAAATTTCTATATTGGTTAGGCTGTATTGGAAAACATGAATATAGAGTAGAGAGAGAGAGAGAGAAAGAGAGAAAAGGTCATTTAAGATGTAAATATTTCGGGCCCAATATTAAATTTATGTTTAAGTTAGAGTTCAATGAAATAAGAGAGGAGAGAGAGAGAAAAAAAACCCAAATCTATTATTCGATGTATGGTTTCAGTGTAACTATCATTACTCATAATAAAAACTACAAGAATCAAAAGTTCAAAACCTTCTTTCATATGCTATACAAAGGCAAGAGATGTAAGTGTACAAACATCGTCATTATTAATATAATTTCAGTTTCTCTTGTGAGTGTGTTCTTTGTGAATTCAAGGGTTATAGTTTCCGCTACAGTAGTTGGTATCAAAGCAAGGTTCCAAATCCGCCTTTGTTTTCGATGGCTGGTTCACGAGATGGAAGTAACCCCTCCAGCGACGATGATCATGATGGAGTAGCTCTTTTGAGGGCTGAGTTTAGTGAGTTCCAAACCAACGTTAATCGAACTTTGATATGCATGAAACTATGCGTCAAGTTTTGGTGAGAATTAAGGGCGGATGTAGGGGTGGGCTTGAGCCCACCAAAAAAAAAAAATTTACTATACTAATTTTGGCCTAGACCAAAAAATATATATATATATATTAATAGTATTAGTCCACCCAATCAAACCCAAGTCAACTCAACCACCATACTAAAATAAAGACCCAAACCAAATAAGTCCAGAACCGACCCTCACCCAAGGCAAGGGCCTCAAAAAAAAAAAAAAAATTTAGGGCAAATCATTTCTACCTCCCCAATCGCCTCCATCTCTATTCTCGTTCTCGACTCTTAACTTGCCTCTGCAAACTACAAAATCTACAAGAATCAGAAGTTCGAAACCCATATATTTCAGTTTATCTATCTGTCTGCAAGAATTAAAAGTTCAAAACCCATATTGGCATATCATTTAAGATTGTTTAAAAAATCAAAACCCTCAGGTTCGCCGTTCGCAAGCTTCAGCCGTTGTCTCTCAACTCTCAAGCTTGTCCCTCCCTCTCTCTGCAACTGCTAACTTGTATGTATGGGTTTTGTTTTGTTTTTTTTTCTTTCTAAATCAACTAATCAAGGTCTGTAATTCTTGTTTTGCAAACTAAATCCTATTTGGTGAAATTTTTTATGATCTTTTTTAAATAATTTTTTTATTTTTTTTAACAATATAAAGTAACAAAATTTGATCTACATTTTATTTCAGCAAAACAAATATATATATTTTTATTTCTATAACTTCTATTTCAACATGCCAAGCTTTTTGAAGATGGAAATCTTTTCGGTACTTAAAAAAAAAAAAAATTATAACAAGAACTTTGACAAGCAAAAGTACTTAATATAGGGTAAAGCTCTAAAGTTACTTCTTGAAATTGAAATACTTCCAAAAAGCATGCTTTTGATTGAATTCCATAGTGTTGGAAGGGGCTTGCCATGAACCACTTCACACTCTGCTTCCACTAGTAGATTTTCAAACAAGATTAGTAAATTGGTCAAAAGAAGAGATAGGTACTGAGTGATGAATTGTTCGGAAATAAATTGGTAATTTTTTTTATTAATTACCCAAATAGGATGCCTTAATCAGTCATTTGTCTAAAGAAACATTGTTAGTTAACTAAAATTGAATTAAACAACAGTTGATTTTGGTTGATATATTTTGATTTAGCCCACCCCATTGAGAAATCCTGGATGTTTTGTTTCACATAGAAATACAATCTGTGTAATGCACGAATGATATATTCAATCTTTCTTCCATATTTTTAGTTTCAAATTTTGATTCTCTTTTGTTATTAGAATGCAGAATATCATGATATTGATCTGTTAATTTTGAAGATTATTCCTAAACTGATGCATTGTACTTTGTTATTGGATTAGTATAATATGTGCTAATCACACCTATCTGTAATCACACCTCTTTTTACAGATAAGTGTCTAACATTTTAACTGAAAGCATAGTTGGGTTGGGTTGATACATGATACAGATAGTACTTAGATGGTGGTGTTTTAATTGTTTTGAGGAAGATTGTGAAACATCTTCCTCACAACTTGAGTTTTTTCTTATTTTTAGGTTAGCATCGGGCATTAACATTTAGCAAGAATAAGGTTCAAGAAACATGCCTCCTCAGTCATCAAGTAACAAATTCTTACTTTTTCTAAAATTTTAATTGGCATTTTTAACAATTGGTTACATTTATTTATTCATGTTTTACATACTGATTTTTTGTTTTTGTTTTTGTTTCTACATACATATATATAATATTGTTATGAAATGGGAATTAAAGACTTGGAAGTTTAGTATTTAATGTCAGAATATATGTTTTGCAAGTTTTACAAGTTTATTAAGGCTTTTAAAACTTTTTCTCTTTTGTCCTAATAATATAGGTCTCTTTTATGAAAGAAGAGAGTTGGCGAGAGAAATAGGAAAAAAGAAAATAGATATTCCACAGTCATTAGTATATGAATACTAACCAACTTTCAGGGTGACTGTGTGGAATATCCTCACCCAACAAGAAGTACAGGACATAGGCCTTACCCGTATCTAAACTCAGAGTTCTTCTTCTTGTATGCACTTCCCCTATTTAAGGGGACCTATGGCTAGGTGTTACAGTGTAGTGAGTGTTGCGGGGATAGCGATCGAGGTTTGTTATTTGATTGTGTTTCTGTATCATGACGCGACTCGCCGTGTGAGTAAACTTAAATCTATCATATTTATAATATTTTTTCTTTTGATTTTATATTCATTCAATCTAATTGTCATTTCAAATTTAGGTGATGATTGCGGCTTGCTTTGGAAATGCTTATGGTAGCATTTATTGCTATCCTTGCACTTGTGGCTTATCACGCCGAGAAGAAGCTGGAAATAGTTGGCATTGCATGTTGTATTACGGGGGTGGTTATGTATATATGTCCACTTTACACTGTGGTAAGTATCTATAACCTTTTAAACGGCACTATGTTCTGTGTTATTTTTTTCGTCCTATTATTCACTTTATACATTTGAACAGTGGCAAGTGAGTAGACAAAGGAATCTTCAAGGCTTCCCATGCGCAGCAAGTTTGGCTAATAGCCTAATGTGGCTCATGTATGCGGTCACTCTCGATAGGCATGACAATTAAATCTTGGTAATTTAAGTATGATTTACTACTTAAATTGGATTTTTTTCACTGTGGCTTGGTGTTAAATTACATAGTTATTTTTTGGTTTAGATGTCAAGTTTGGTTGGTCCAGGTTGGAATCTCCTCCAGTTCCATGCAACTGTTCATTTATGAAATTTTTGTGTTTGGCTCTCGAATGTTGTATTTTTTTTTTTTTTTTTCGGTTTC